TTCAGTGTGCCGGACGGATACGTGGGAAAACGGCATCATCCACCGTTGCTGGTTGTGCCTTTCGCGCATTCCAATTTGATGGCCAGGGCGCTCATCACGCAAACAATACGAGTAGTTAATATTGTACACCAAAAGGTTGACATTTTCACGGGGTATTGGAGTGAAATAGCAAATATTGTTCTTAACGAAATTATTACTAGAACTAATGAAAATAGTTATTAAAACTTAGTTTTCATATGTATTTTTTTTTATATATTGTGTATTACTGTCGAATTGGATTATATCTGTAATGGCAGCATATATTTGTGTAAATAAATAAATAAATTAGTATTAATGTTTTTGGTATAGAATATGATCTGATGAGAAACTTCGAAAAAACTTTATTGTTGGACCACTCTTCTTCACAAACGAAAGAATGCAAACGCATATAAATTCCGTCCAGATGCCCCGCCAATGTCAAGCTCTACGGCAAAGAAATTCCGTGGCAAAAATCAACTAAATACCTAGGCGTCACGCTTGATAAACAGTTAACTTTTCGCGAACATATTAATCGAGTCCGCCGTAAAGCCTGCTACGTTATGAGTAGGCTATACCCCATGATCTGCGCGGGTAGCAAATTGTCCCTCAGACACAAAGTTACGCTTTACAAAACTTGTATTCGTCCGATTCTGACCTACTCCAGCGCCGCGTTCGCCCACGCCGCCCCTAGCATATTCCACAGGCTACAGGTGCTTCAGAATCGGTTCACTCGAACCGCCACTGGAGCCATCTGGTGTGTGCGGAATGCAAATCTTCACGCCGATCTCGAACTACCGACCCTCAGTCGGTACTTCAAGGAAACGTCCGAACGTTTCTTTAAAAAAGCCGCGACGCATCCGAACCCACTGGTAGCCCGGGCCGCCAACTACACCGTTCCCGTCAATAAACGCTGGAGAAGGCCGCGTAACGTTCTTACCGACCCCGACGACGACTTAACCAAAGCCGTCGATTTACTTATCGCTATGCGATCGGCCGACACCGGTGCCGATCGCCCGCAAACGCTACTACGCCGGCGTAGGCGAGGTCATTCGCTACGCGTACCGCTCACCCACTAACCCACCCTCAGTCCAACCAGGCCATGCCCCCCCGGGCACCCTTGGTCTAGGCGAGCGCTGACGCGCTCGCCCAAAAACGCCCCCGGTTAGTATTCGTGGCTCCATAGGACACAATACGAAATAATCGTTAAAAAAATCATTTTATTTTTTTTTTTCTCAGCGTGGCATATCACGTATTGGTATACAACAAAAAAATGTGGTCATAAAGCTTTAAATGGTGAATCGGTGGTTTTTCCCCATTTTTTTTCTTTGATATTTCAAGGGAGTTCATAATGTTTGTTACGAAAAATTTAGAGTTCCTCTTATCGTCCCAGATATTTTGCATAATTTAAGTAACCATGACGCTCATTTTATTGTATATGCCTTAAACTTTCAAGAAGTCTTTAGAGGTGCTCCCCCAAAATAAAGAAAAATATATCTCATATTCAAAAGTTTAAAAAATAAACAATCACAGTGTAACTATTCGATTCATAGATTCTTTTTTTTATTATTAAGTAACTACTTTAATACATTAGCCTTGAACCACTTTGAATTCTTAGTCATAAGAAAAATGTTTACCAACGGCAAAGTAACAGTGAAAGAGAAATTCAACAGAAACTCGAAATTGTAAAAATAGACATACAAAGTTATATGGCTGCTTTCAGAAAATTGCGCTTCAACTTTATTAAAAGTGTAGAGCGGGCATTAGGGCCGGAAGTGGCCATTTTGAGCATCTTTTGCAAATAAACAACTTACAGTCTTTTTATTCCACCTTCAAATCTGACCCTCGCTACAAATAATGGCGCTCAGATCTATCTATGTGTGTAGGAAATAGTCGAAGGTTACTTTGTAATCCTTATGAAATGCACATTTTTTAGAAATAAAGAAAAGTAAGAGAAGTCCTCCCTAGAACGTCGAATTGGAGTGTCAAAGTCACACGCACATCTAATTCTCCAGCGAGAGTCTTTGACCCATATCATATTTAAAGAGTATAGCAACTGAAGCGCAAAGATTACTCGAGAAGAGTGGCCTTCTTCGTCAAGGAAATGTTGCGGCGTCAAGAAACCTAATGATAATGAAAATTTTCAATGAAAACTTTAAAAGGTGTGGGATTTTTAACATTCACAATTATCATTCTTAGAGCATTGAAAATCCTCACCTATCACGTGCTTCAAATCTCCAGGAACAAATCAGTTTGAACATGTGGTCCGGCAGTATAAACGGACAGCTGATTGGTTTGTTCGAACTACCTGATCGATTGAATGGCCAGTCGCACTTAGATTTTTTGAAACTAAATAATTTGCTAGAAGGCGTAGACCTGTTAACGCGGAGGAATATGATGTTTCAAAACGATGGTGCTCCACTCCATGTCATTACGCGAGAATTGTACGACAATATTTAAATCAAAGGTTTGGAGACAAGTGGATCGGGTGAGGAGGGCCAATTGCATGGCCTCCGCGGTCCCCAGATTTGAACCCTATTGACTTCTTTGTCTGGGGTTATTATAAAGAACAGCTGGTCTACGTTAGAGAAATAAAGAGCATACAAGAATTGCGATTAAAATTGCGACACGCAGCGGAAAAAATAAATTATAACAGAATTGCGTTTGTTCAGTTACAAGAAAACTTTTTTAGGAGGTGCAGAATTTGTATTGAGCAGGAAGGGAGACATTTTGATAACTTTTCATAATAAGTAATGTATTACAGTTTTTTTTTTGTTTCATTTAGTTTCCCCATTAGATATCTGCTTTGTCATCATTTTCTACTTAACTTCAAGAATGCAAAGAAAACAATCTCGTTGCCAAATGGCTAATAATTAAATTTTTACGCATACCTGTCTTTGAGGTCCGATATTAGCAAAAGTAGCGTATTATGTAGTCCTTTTTTTTAATGATACTTAATTTATATTACTTAATTACCTTGGGATAAATTATTTATGTACTTGACGCACAAAGAATATGACGATATACTCGCAGGATCGCACACAGCTAGCATCGTTTACAACGACCAGACTGAACAGTTACAGGCAGATTGTAAGGTCCCGCCCAGAATACAACATCTGTGTGTGTTGTAGTGATATTAGACCTGGAATCCTGCACAGGAGTGATTATTACGTATGGCCGTGGGAAGAAACGCACTTCCTACGAGCACAAAGTTGTGGTATATGCTATGTGGATGTGAATTCGCATGAGATTATGCATATCCCCGCATGGTCATGACCCACAACGACATTCGCTTCCTGTTGGATGCAAAATATTTCTGGTGCGTGTGTGGGCATATGGCGTTCAACCACACTATCCTTTAGATGGCAGTAATCAAAGATGGTAGAAAAATAAAAACTGTTGCATTTTCCATATGACATTATCCGGATTCGTAAAAAAAGTAAGATATAGAGAAGAAAATATCACAACTTGCTAATATATAAAAAAACAAGCGCCACATTTACAGACGAACAGGTAGATAACTTGGCAAAATATACATCTAAGGTCCATTTGAACTGCCCAAAAACTTAACGGGAGTAAGTTATTTAAGCTTCTTGCAACACGACCTGCGAAATAAGGTGGCCGAAGAAGTCAGGGAATGCCATTGGTTGCAAAATGATGGTTACCCAGCACAAAATGCAACGCAATAAATGTTCGAGCGTATTTAAATGCCACATATCCGAAAAAATGGATAGTTCGTCTGGGCCCTGTTTGGTGGCCTCTATGTTCTCCTCCTGTTTTAAACCCACTAGATTTTTTTTACTGGGGCTCAATAAAATAAGTTTATTCCAAGCCCATTACAAGTTTGGACGAATTACGCAACCGCATCCATGAAGCCATGCACGATTTCCTAGAAGATCATTTATTAGAAGGTGTCGTGCATGTAAGGGGTGTCTGGCCGCAAATTTATAGTTTAAAAACCGAATATCTCAATAAGTTATAAACAGTGCGGGGGGAAGGTAGTGTCATTAGAATCACCGATTGTGCGGATTTCTTAGTCACGATGTCGCAGTGGTCGGGTGAGCATCGCGCGTTCGCTATTGAAGCATTTTTCAAGAGTAACGATTTTTACGTACTCGCTCGCCGACAGTTTTGTTCACACTTCAATATTCGACGAATAGGCGATGGGCCGAGTGTGAATTTAATTCGTGCTTAGGTGGAGAGGTTCCGCGCAACTGCTTCGGCTATGAACACACCACGGCCAGGACCTAGTCGATCGTCGGACCCCGGAAAACTGGTTGAACGCAGTTTAAGTGAAAATGCACGACTTTCGATAAGGAAAAGGGCAGCTTCACTGGGACTTCCAAGAGCAATTGTGCATGAAATTTTGAAAAAAGATATGACGTTTCATCCTTTTAAAATTCAAATAATTCAAGAATTGAAAAATAAATGACCGCGTCACGCAAATTTTATTGTGAAACCATGTTGGAGCGTTTTTGGACAATGAATTCCATTTTTTGGAGCGACGAGGCTCATTTTCATTTAAACGGACACGTAAACAAGCAAAATTGCCGTTACCGGGCTCTAAGAACTCGCAATCCTCGACTGAAGCACCAAAAACCATTACATTGGCCAAGGGTAACTCGTTTGGTGCGCTTTATCCACGAATGGTATAATCGGACCATTTTTTTTTTTGAAAATGCACGGGGCCAAGCGACGAATGTCAATGGTGAGAATTATCAGCTCATGATTTCCGTACCGCTCACCCGGGTGAGCTTCCGTCCAGCTCTTCAAGCTCCCACCCGCATTGCGGCGGTCCAAGCCGAGGCCGATGCCCCCCTAAATATATATAATTTTATGGAAATTCCATTGTTTGATATACTTTTTTCTTCAAAATCCGTTTGTTGCATAAGTGCAACATTGCGAATTTACTTTCATAGAAATTTCATTTTTGAGTGATATATTTACCATATTTTATCTAAAGTCTAATCGTATTTTTTTCTAGAATGGCGAGCAGGCTGAATGATCAAGTTATTGAGGACTACCTCCAGAACCTGGACCAGTCTGAGGATGATATGGAATCCTCTGCAGGAGAAGAGGATGATGAAGAAGTTTACTTCGAGAATAATAGGCAGTTATTAGCGGATTTAGAAGATGAAGAATTTGTTGAAGATATGGATATACCTATGGAAAGTACTACTGTTGATCCACCTCTTATTTTTGATAATCATAATGACCCAATTTTAGAAAATTTGAGTGAAACGCCACAGCCTTCTGGTCAACGGAATGGGACAGCTCGTCCACGACAAAGCCGTGTAACGTGGAGACGCACAAACCTCACCACCATTGATGATATTCAAAACTTTTATCAACTGCAATATCCTGACAGCATGTTAGAATTAGAGACGCCGTACAATTTTTTTTTCTCTCAAGAACTGAGGGATAAGATCAAGGCAGAGAGTAATTTGTATTCTACCCAGAAAAATCTTTCCAATCCATTTGTTATCACTAGCAATGATCTCAATAAGTTCCTTGGGATTCTAATTTATTCTTCTATTGCAAAGTTTCCAAACTTCCGGTTATACTGGTCAGCTCAATATGGCTATGAACCTATAAAATCAACCATGACACAGAAGAATTTTGAAAAAAATTGTTCGATTTTACATTTCAATGATAATACCACTCACTTACCCCAGGACCATCCTAATCACGACAAATTACACAAAATTAGACCAATAATTGACGATCGAAATAGTAACTATGCTGCTATTCCTTTAGACCAACGCTTATCTTTGGATGAACAAATGTGTGCAACTAAAATAGGTCACTACATAAAACAATACCTCCCCAATAAACCACATAAATGGGGATTCAAGCTTTTCTTGGTATGTAGTGCCTATGGATTTGCACACAAGTTTGAGGTCTATACTGGCAGTGATAAGAATCCTCTCGGAAATGGCGAACCAGATTTAGGACCAACTGGTAACACAGTTGAGCGGCTAATGCGTACTGTTCCAAGACGTGCAAACCACATAATTTACTTCGATAATTACTACACATCTGTGCCCTTGGTCACTTATCTTGCAAAAGAAAGAATATATTCCTTGGGAACTGTCCAGTCTAATCGTATCCCAAATAATAAACTGCCAGATAAGATGACGCTGATGAAAAGAACAGTACCAAGGGGACACCATGACGAACAGGTTGCCAATGTCGATGGTATCGACATCAGTGCAATAGTATGGAAAGATAATAAACCAGTTACTTTGCTGTCAACCTATACCCCTATACCGGAGCCTTTCCTGTGACTACTATTTCGAGGTATGATAAAGCAACGAAACAGCGGGTACAAATAAATTGTCCTAACGTAATAAAAGACTATAATATCCATATGGGAGGAGTCGATCTGCTTGACAGTTTCATTGGAAGGTACCACATTACGCGTAAAAGCAGAAAGTGGACAAACCGCTTGCTTTTAGACGTGACCATTGTAAATTCCTGGATTATGTACAAAAAAACTCTAAAACAGACCAGACCCAATAACTACACTTATGAATCTATGTAAATTTAGACTAGAGCTGGCCAATGCACTATGTAATCTTGGCCTTCACAGCAATGGTACAAAAAGGGGCCGCCCAAGCTTTTCATCTTTAGAAGCTGAATTGCAGTTGAAAAAGAAGCGTGGACCAGCACAAACTGTACCTCCTAAAGATGTCCGCCAAGATAAAATCGACCACTGGCAAAAATGGGGGGATCGAGCCCGGTGTAAATACCCGAATTGTAAGGGCTACACGTTTACATACTGCGAGAAATGCAGAGTGAGCTTGTGCTACAATAGAGACAATAATTGTTTCTATAAATTTCATCAGGAATAAATAAATAAATAAATAACTTTATGTATTTATTTTGAGTTTTTAATTTTCACCTAATTTACCATACATGGTATTGTCCTATAAGTGCGCACTGTTGCAGATATGCAACATACGGTTTTTTTTTAAATTTTCATTGGGTGTAAGTCGATATAATTTTTTTAACTATTTTTTCGGTACATCTTAAAACCTAATATAATTAAAAAATAATATTTTAAATGAATAACAAAATTCGCGCATTTAAGGGTTAAAAGAAAATATTCGGCGAGAAATCAGCGCAATTGAACCAAGTTTACTGCAGCATGTGGCGCGGAATACGAGGCTCCGTTTCGAACAGTATGTGCAACAGAATGGAAGACATTTGGATGACATTATCTTTAATAATTAATGAAATCCGCATTTGTACTTTATCTTGTAATACTTTTAGTAAAATTATATGTCAAACATATTATTTTTTATTTAAATTTGAAAACATAAATCTGCCACCAGACGACCTGTACAAGAAAACAGTTTACCAACGGGATAATAACAGTGAACAAAAAATTCGTCAGACGCTCGAAATTGCTAAAAATCCTGTTATTTTTTTTCAGGCTGTGCTTCAATTTGATAAAAAAAGGTGCAAAAGATTTGAGCATTTTTTTTTATAATATAAAAAACAACTTAGGTTGCGACTAAATGGATGAACCGAGAATCTTCTTTTTCTTTTAACAACAACACTGCTGTTGTTCAGAAACCAATTCCAATACTGCCAACACTTGAAGGTACGACTGCCCTAACAAACAGTTTCCCGCACAAAATCCAACACTTGAAGGAACCGTTTAAATGTTTAATAGAAAATACGGCTTCAAAATTACCAAGCACCCGAGATCCAATAATAAAAAAAATAACCCAAACGCGGATCACCAATAAAAGGACACCGTGAGTCACTTATGTGAAGACCCAGCCGTTTCCGCAAGTCCCTATGAGAAAATAAATTTTAAACTTAGCGTAATTGTTGCAAATTTTCCCTTACACATAGTCACAACTTTAGTTTTTTATGGTACTAGCCAAAGTTTGCCTATCTATAGACTTCCATAATTTCTTATTATATGCCAATTTTAGAAGGCCATCTTATACTTTAGAATCTATCTAATCTAAAACGAATTACATCATGGAAAGTGTAGTAGTAATCTGTATACTATTATTGTGTATCTATTTATATTAGTATACACAGAGATCTATAGGGGCCCATGGGGCTACTGTCCCCATATCCATATAACAAAAGAAATTTATCAGAACAATTGTAAAGAGTCAAACTGATGTATAGTGCAGAGTGAGACACCTAGTGTAAAAAAGTTGTAGTACATATTTTAATACGTAATTGAGAAACACCATTTTGTTTAGGCCTTTTGAAACCAAGCAGTACTGTCAAGAACAAGCCAAGCAGTACAATCAAGAACATACCTTTTAACCAAAGCCTATTCTTGCGAAGGACTATCTCTACCCTAGCTGAAGATGCACTGATGTAGAGTACTAGCTCGGCTCTACTTTGCAAATTAGTAAAGAGCATCGAGAATGGTCACATGATCGGTTCTTTTCAGAGCAGACCACATTTAACACATTCAGCTGTTAAGCATGTATTTTGGTCTCGTCAACATGTTCTGTTTTAACTATTAATTCAGGTACAGGACAGATAATTCTGTCTCTAAATTACTATGTCAAAATACTTTTTCCAAAGTCAAAAGAACAAATAATTATGAAATAAACTAAAATACTGTTCTAGATTTAGGTATAGTTCACAACATTACATTTAAATAACTCATACTACAGCCAAGATGTAAATTTACCCAATTTAAAACCAATACTAAAATATAAGTTATGTAGACACAACAGATTTCCTAAAACCGTTAAGTATCATTATGAATTCCCAAAGTTTTATTCACTTCTAGATGAATTTAAGCCAACGTATAGAGACAATTTCAGTGTCTATCAATTGATTTTTAATATGCAAGTGCAACACAGCCTTCAGTGTGGCGCCACCAATAAATAAAAATTAAAACAAGACCTTCAATGCACCAAAATATGTAATATGTATCATTAATTATACAATTGCTATAAATTAACCACATGTAGTAAGGTTATTTTGTCAATTTTATATATCTTGAGAGAGAAAGCTATATTCTCAATTAATTAGAACTTTGGATATTGTAGATTGATGGCCACAAGTACGATAGCCACAAGAAGACAGTGAAATAAGTAAGAACTAAGAACTAAATTCTACAAAAGACTAATACACAATGCACAAACATGAAACAATACCATACTGTATAAATGGTAACAAACACAAATTCAAACGGATTGTAAATACAACTGACATTATAGATAGATCCCAATTAATTATTTTCGAAAAGACAACCAACAAACCATAAGCTAACCAACAAACACTACTATTCTTGTTACAATTTTATAAACACGTTTAAAGTTGGCCACCATTTTGTTTTTTTCGTTAGAATTTCACTATTTTTAATATTTCCAAATTCATTGGCGCCATTATTAATAATGAGTGCTTTTTATTCGAAATAATAAACAAGAAAACGATCCAGACCACGTTCACAACGAACACAACAACCAACGACCAATTGTAGAAAAGCTTTCGTGAAATTTATCACTATTCACGAACTTACGACCATTTTGTTTCTCACAAAAACAAAAAACTACTTATTTCACACCATGATATCCAGCACACGATTACTACTGAAGGTACCGGGCTGGCATTTGGCAAGTATGGCGACTTTACAAGCAAGATCATTTTTCGTAGATTTAATTTCAATTTGCTTTATATTGAATTTATTATTTGCGCTTTGTAAGGCGCAGAAAGAATCTGACATTGTAACGACAAAACCACTTCCAAATCACACAAATATTTCTAGTGCGTACAAACGCATTATTCATATCACACTTCACACGACGCCAAACTCCAAAGAAAGGAAATATCAACAATTTTACTAGTAGTCACTTTTTTTTTTAATGACATAACGGCTAGCGGCTAGCGCATTTATTTATTCTTTGCTGAATGTTGGCACTACTTTGTCTATGCTGGGATGGCTTACAGAATGAAAATTTCGATATTGTAAGGCACCGAGCACAGATTAATAAACACTTTGGTGACTTTTCACAGTAATTTAAAGTTTTTTTGTAATATTACAGCTTAATTTATAAATCTTCTGTAGTTTTTTTTTTTAATAACTATAATATAATTTCCTAAACAAATTGTGATAGTCACTTATTAACGGTCAGTGTAAAGACATATTAAATAAATGTGTCATAATATTATTGATAAGTCTATAGTAAAGAATATAGTTTATAGCTATTTGCCTCATGTCAATTGTCAATCACCTCTATGGCTTTCGTATAACAACATCGTGTTGATACAAATAAATAAAAAAGCCTGAATTATATATTGTACGAAACGCCTAACATAAATATTTTTTTATTCATCACCTTATTATAACAAAAGAAGTCATTTCACGCAATATAGTAGAAACGATATATTTAACCAGATAACATGACTACAGACAAAGTGTTTATATTAGAAAAGGATTTATGTAGATGCTGTCATGGAGAAGGCACATTTGAAAGTTTATCTGCTTCAGATAAGTGTACTAGTTACAATACAATGTTAAAAGAATGCTTTAATATAGAAGTAAGTACGGCGTAAGATATTAATATATTATAGATATTACACTGAAAGCCCAACATTTAGACAGACAGTTTCTTAGAAATACTAAATTTTAATAGCATTTTTGGCACACATTTTGCTTAATGTACCTGTGACATGTCATTCACAGATGTATCCCATACTGTGTAGATTAATGGTCATATTTTTTTCAGATAACAGCCTTAATTGACTATGCTAGTGCGTCAACATTCAATATATGTCCTCAGTGTGTTGTTCAGTTGAAAGCAGCTGATCTGTTTAAAAAACAAGTACTGAACTGTGAAGAACGGTTCTATGAACTGTATCGTAGACTCAGCCCTGATGGTAATTAAACATTTTTCTTAACAGCACACAGCTGATAAACACATGATACACAGCTTACCTTTTTTAAACAATCAATAATCTTTTTTTTGTACGCAATACCACCGTTATACACAATACTATGATGCATATGACCTAGGTAGCACAAGACTGTCCACAATTTAAATATTTCAAAACACACATTATTAGGACTTCATCATATACAATTATATAAATAAAACATGATTTCAGATGCTTTCGAAGATACAAAGGTCAAAGCTGAACTGGAACCTATACAATTTGGTTAGTACAAAATAGAATTTTAATAAAATGTAAATCAGAAACTTCAAACAAGTTAAAAAGTGTTGTAACTTTGTTTATTAACAATATCTTTATAGTTTTTTTATTTATTTAAACAGCCCAATGACAATAAACATTATTGTGCCTCTTGGATTGTACAATACTTTGATGGCCACCCACAGACGCTTCAGTCTACAACCTGGGATATTGCACAATAATATTTATCATCTATGGGCCATAAATTTATTTTTAACTATGAACTAACTTAGTTTAAACTATCTTATTTAGGCTATTTCTTTTTTAAGATCATGAGTATAATAAACAAAATGAAGGTGATCACAATACAACAGACTTTAAAGGTAATAGTTTTTGTTCTATATTTTATCTGTATATCTCTTATCTTTCAATACCAAGTAGATTTTCTTACGCAAATTTATAGAACTATATTTCATAATTTTGTTGATTTTTTACCTCGTAAATAGCTTGATGTCTGTGCAAAACCTATATGCATATATGGTCCAATGCAACCACTGTTTAATTTTCACACTACATAAAATTTTTTAACATTTTAAAGAAATTAACAATTTTGTAAAGAGATTAAATTAATGAATGAATGAACTAAAAAAGTATAAATAAATTTTAATTTCAGGTGAATCTGAAGATGAAATAAATTTAAACTCATTAAAAAAAGTAAAGAAGAAATGTAACTATAAGAAGAAAAACCAATTAAAAACTGAAGACTTAGATGGTAAGATTTTCTTTGAATATTTAATATTTATTATTAGTATGATTTAAATAAAACAATTTCAACGGCTTAAAACGCGAAACATCTCAATGCCATGGTAATAACTGCCGTAAAGTATTCAACACACAACAATATTGAGTTAGATCAGGTATAAGCATTGATGGTAGTTAACGCAAGTAGTAAACATTTAAATAAAACACATCTTACGGTTTCAAACGCGAAATATATTAGTAAATTCCAAACGACGTGTTCTAGTTATTATTATTATTTGTTTTAATTTTCATATATCTCAGGTTTTGAACCGTTAACAGTAAATACAAAAACAATTATAAATTAAAAAAAATTACGAGATGGGTGGGACTTGAACCGGCATTGACAGCTCTAACCAATTGAGCTATCGTGTCCTACAAGTCATTGTCCAATTTTGTCAACCTATTAATACATGCACCTCTCGCCCTATGTAATTTCAACTTTAAGACTTTGCTAAGCTTACTTAAATATTTTATTTATTTATATAGTGCCATCACATGTGAAAAACATAAAAGTTTTCAACCATTAAGAATGTTTTACTAAAATGTAAATATTTTCAGTTGCAGATAACCCAGAAAAGAACATAGAAGGCATAAAGAATATTATAAAATTAATCGTGACGTTGTCTACAGCGACGCCGTTCAGGTGGCACTGCAATAAATTTAGGTGTTTCCACTGCGACCAGTTGTTCAACAAAATGTCAGAATTGAAGCAGCACAATTATGAACACTATAACGTCAATTCACAACAGTGTGTAAATAACGCCAAAGTAAAATTCGAAATAACAGATCTATCGTGCAAAATTTGCCCGAAGAGCATGGCAACACTCGACGATTTCCTAGATCACGCTGTCATTGCGCACAACCAGAAGTACGATGTCGCCATACGCGATAGCATTTTCGCCTACCGCATCACAGATACGCAAACTGCCTGCCCAGAGTGCGACCACATCTTCTCATTTTTCGGAAACTTGTTATCCCATCTATATAAGACCCATGTTAAGAGTGGTCCGTTTCTATGCGACGCTTGTGGCAAGGGCTTCCTAACGAAGTTCCTACTACGGAACCACTTAAAATCCGCTCACAGTGATACCATGTACAATTGTAAACAGTGTAGTCAGACTTTTAAAACGTACGGCGCGTATTCTTACCATATACAATCGCACAAAGGCCTTTACGCATGCCCGCAGTGTCCGGAAAAGTTTTCCTCGTTCTATTTGCGTAAGCGCCATCTAGGTTTAGTGCACGACAAGTCGTTGTTACTAACCTGCGAATTGTGTTCCAAGACCTTTGTCAAATACAATTGTTTGAAATTGCATCAAATGTCGTCTCATCACAATGACAAACCGATTTCGTGCGACTTGTGCGATTATAAGTGCGTAAACAAGTCTTATTTGAACCGGCACATGCTCAAACATTCCAATATACGCCCGTTTCAGTGCCACATTTGTGCAAAGTCATTTTATCGGAAGGAACACTTAGAGAATCATGTAAGGACACATACGAATGATAAACGGTATGCTTGTAAGGAGTGCGAGAAGAGGTTCGTGCAGTCTGCAGCTCTTAAAACTCATGTGAGAGTGCACCATCCTAATGTAGATACGTAATACGTTACTTTAACGATTTAAAACGCTAAGCATATTCGTTAATATTATTTTTAAAATTGTTATAAATTATATTTTTCTCGTTTTAAATCGTCGAAAGATTTTTATTTATATACCTTGCAATAAGGTTTTGATTAAAGCTGAATAGGAAAAATACTTTTATTTACTCCTTTCTTTTAAAATAGATAGTCAGTACTAATCGGACGTTAAAAAAAGGTTTCGCTTTTCGCGTACTAAGCTGAAAGGGAAAAGTGGCGTGATTGGTTGAAGAACTAGATCTTGACTGAATATACATTTCGGATGTCAGCAACATATAATAAGACGATTTTTATTTTATTTAATAAAACATAAAATATAAACGTTATTTTATTTTAGCAAGTCGTTATAATTAAAAAGTGACTTGCATTAACTTGAAAAATAACCTATACTGTCGTTCAAAGATTGACTTATTGTGCCTTTAAAATACTGTCTGTAATTTACCAGTAGCAAATTTAAATAAAGTACTAACACGCAGTAGTATTAGTAAAACTTTAACGTTTATAACGTATTATGTCTCCCCGTGACCACGTGTGCTGCAAAGCATCCGAAACATCGGGCCTTATTTAGAAAAAGTTTAACGAATATATACCGCATTGTTTTCCGTTAAAGTGTTTTATTTAAATTTAATTCGATAGCTCTCCCATTCTGAAGAGATTCTGTAAATGTTGACGGAATGACGACGTAGTAATTTAATAAGTAAATTAGTATTGTTATTTTTATTTTATTTTATTGACTAATGGTATTAAGAAAAATCACAGTATTTAAGAGACATATTGTATCTGTGTTTGAAGTATGAACGCAATACAAACGTCACAGCTGATATCTGACAGTGACATTCAGTTACGAATCTAACCTCGCGTTAGCACTTGTTTTGTTCAAATAAAAAATTCAAAACAAAGTGAAATTAAATTAATGTACGACAATGTTTCTTTATTTATTGAGTATTTTATCGTTAATTGTGCAAGCCGTGTTTGTTACACTAGCTATAGGTGCGTGGAATTCTTAAAATTGTAACCATTCAGTTCGGTTCATAATATTATTGCTAAATTAATATTTTTATAAATGAATCAATTCAGTGTAATATAATTTTTACCTTATATATGTCCTTTTTAATGTAAATTTTAAAAATATGTAGCTTTCTAAAGCGTTTTCTGTGTTACCAAACAATAGTCATTCTTTTGTTTTGTTTTAAGTTTTGAACATTTTATCATTACTTGGAGTTAATTTTATGTTAAATGATAACAGTTTTGCTTTCTTAAAGTTTAATATTTCTTCAACAATCATTCTTTAAACATATTCTATGCTTATATTATTTAATATTTTTTTTAGCGGCTGGACTGTACTATTTAGCAGAACTAGTTGAAGAATACACTGTAATGGCAAAATATGTAATATCATGGACCGTGGTGGTATGTATTATCTTATTTTTTATACTGTATACATATGTTTGCCTTCAAAGAGGAATTAAGGGTCTGAAATGCCACCTCTATAGTATATTAGCTGTTTCAGCGACTTTGTCATCTAAGAATATTATTTTCGGGATCCAAATTCGTTTTTGCAAACCCCTTCATCTTTATAAACTTAAGCTGTTATCCACGACGTCGGTTGCCTCCCTTCCCGTCTATCTTGCAAGTTAATCTTAAAAGACAAACATATAACGTCCCAGACTATTTTTTAGATCATTTATAGAGGAATCATTCTTCATATATATTTTTAGGGTATCTTAAACCGTTTTCGCAGCTAACGCCTCGGAAACCCGCAACTGTGAATAATTTTTCCATTTTTTTCACATTTCTTGCTGTATCTTTGCTTGTATTGGTCACAGGGCGATGTTTTATATATACCTCCTCGATAAATGCTCTAACCAACACAAAAATGTAACAAATTTGTTTTGTAAATAAAACATCATTACTGTATTCGAACCAGGGTAAACCCTTTTTTGCACAAAGTTAGTTATTTTGTTAATTTAAGTTATAGTTATATAGTAGAAGTTATTTTAAATATTAAGTTATACAGCGAAAAGTGGTCCATGGCATAGATGAACCGCTGTAGTGTTCATGCCAAGCGTATATATGTATAAAATGGATAAGGTAAAATAAACAAAAAAACTTACGTACTTACTTTTAAACTTTCAGGCAACAACGGTTATCCATCTAGCATTAATTGCATTTGAAGATATACCCCTATATCTTAATGGCTTGGGCCTACTGCAGCAGCTGTTCCACGCGTTCCTATTGAGGGACTTCCCCGTTTTTAGACTAACAAGTGTGACATTTATATGCGCAGTACTAAATTTAATACTCCACCATTACTGCGCGTTTAAGTATTTTGGTAGTATGTACTATGGATTTTCTGAGGTGAGTGTATATGTATTAACGTATTATAATTGAAACAGTTTTTAAGGTTTAAAAGAAGCATTGGATTTTTTTTGGAAGAGTTTTTTTTTTAAACTTTTATAACTTTGAATAAAACAGTTTTTAACGGTTTAAAAAATATTAGTTAAACGAAAGTGATTTTTAACTTCGGCCCGACGTTTCGGATGCTTTGCAGCAGCCGTGGTCACGGGGGACCGATAATAGTAGTAGTTTTAAACCGTAAAGTTAAGTGTTCTCGCGTAACAGTATTTTTAAATTTAAAACTGTTTTATGGGATGTTAAAATTACAGATAATACATACAATTTTAATAATAAAATACGTGAACATTTTTAAATACATTCAGTTATTTGAGAAATTTGTGTGTGTTGGGTTTTTTTTTTTTTATATGGAGTTCACTTGATGGAAGGTGAAATACCTACATATCTCAACATGATGTACTAAAGACCTATTTTTGCTTGCAATGTTTGGAAATCCACAGTAAGAAACTGTATCGCGATTAAACTTTCTCGGCCCTTTTATCTGAGAACAGAATTTCTATAGTCATGCCACCAATTCAATATCCAGATCCACGAAGTCCATCATGTTTTAGAAACATATTAAATCCCTAGAAATATGATTGAATCAGATAACCTATCATCATTAGCCACGCCTTGGTCCCACTAGTTAGTGACTAGAACAACTAGCCGGTCAAAAATTATAATGAACTTTATAAAAATAATTTTAGCTATAATATAACTGTAAATAATATGTCGGCTATTATTTCTGTGTTAGGTTAATTTATTTGAAGGTTATGTTAATATTTTTATTTTAAAACGTCAGTTTTTTCTTAGTTTTGGATTCACAACAAGAACATTTTCTCAATAATTTGCCCCGAACAGCTGGAAATCCTATGTTGTTTTTGAACATGTTCTTAAGAGTTGCTCAATAATTTAAAATTTTTTTTATTTCAGGTGCTGGCATATTTTACTCTTTGCTTATGGGTTGTGCCGTTCGCTCTATTTGTATCGTTGTCAGCAAATGACTATGTGTTGCCGACTACTGGGGAGAGGCAACATCTTCTAGGTAAATAACTTTATTTATTTATTTATTTTATTTTATTGAATTGTTATATAAGAGGAAAGGAGAAAGGAACCACCAGGAAAAATCTATTTAAAAAGGGGTAATCATTAACTGGTTATATTTATATAGTGTCAGTAGTTTACGCGGGTAGTACACATTTTAAATGAAACACTTAAACGTTGTTTAAACTTATTTGAAAATTTTTTTAACTACGGCCCGACGTGTCGGATGCTTTGCAGCAGTCGTAGTCACGCGGAGACTTAAGATGGAGGGTGTCTCTGACGTCAAAGTAAAAACTGCTACGCTAGCACCACCTGTTCCGTCGAAGTTGGTTTTCGGCCAGTTTTCACCGTATAATTTACAAATAAGTTTAACTAATACATATCGCGTTTTAGTCTTCTATTACATTAACTCACAACAACCAACAAATAACACAACAATGAATTATTTAAGAGAAAGACAGACTGACTATTCAATCGGGCAGAGTCACCCTTTACGCAAGTTGGGAGTTCCTGTGTTTAGCTCGTTCAAACAAGCAAACCCTTCACCTTTATAATATTAGTATAGATGTACTGAAATATGTTTTGTCTCTTTTCAGGTGAAAACAACGTAGTAACTGACTACCTGTCGCAGAAAGCGAAGAGGTACAGCCTTCTCTCGTTCTTCAGTTTTGCAAAAGATTCAATATTGCCACAGAGACATAAGAAAGCTTTCTAAAAACCTTGTACGGTTAGTTCAATTTTGTACTGATAGATGGCGTTGTAAATAAAAGTTCAAAATGCTGTGGGTAGTTTACGCGTGTACATTTGAATAAAACACTTTTAGTGAGCACGGCTGCTACAAAGTATTCGAAATGTCGGGCCGTAGGTTAAATATTATGTAAATAAGTTAAACTAATAATAAATACCTTTCGTGTTTTAAACCGTTATAAGTGTTTAATTTAAAAGTTCAATATCACGTTTCATGGCTGGGCTCGGAATAAATTGAAACTTGACAGTTTACTTAAGAAGCTATTTATAACTTGAGTTATTACCATATTTTTTAATAAATTAAAAAACGACAAATTTAAACCATTAAAAATTAAATCCATAAAAAAAAATCATATGTCGAGCACGAAAAAACGTTAACCTGCGGTTGGTCGTGGATTCGATGCCAGATAGTGTCATAGTTTTCAATCCATTTTATAACTCTTGCATATACTAACTCACCAATGTATCGGGTTTTAACTAACACCCCCCCCCCCTCTTCCCTGGTATTGCTTGCTTCCGAGCCCTGCTCGTTCAAGCTGATTACTAGGCACGTTGAAATTTCGTGTGGTTTTATTTACTTATTTCTTGAATTAATATTTATTTTAATTGGGTTATATAACGAAAGTATATTTTACACCGCAGTAAATTGGGAGTATTTTCTCTAAAATGTCAATAAGTGTTGCATGTTTATCACTAGCTGTGTCAGCCTTTCGTCCGCGTAGAATAGTTTTTGCAAGCTAATTTAGAAGATTTTACAAACCTTTTACCTTTTTAAAACAAAAGCGTTTTCCCCCCCGCCCGGTGCGGCCCTTTTCAGACAAATAGCGTCGCGGACTTCTTTCTAGATCATTTAATGAGGAATCAATCGTACATATTTTTTGAGTGTCTTGAACCGTTTTTGCAGCGGACGCCTCGAAAACCCCTAAACGAACGAATAATTTTCCCAATTTTTTTTTACATTTCTCGCTGTATCTTCGCATGTATTCTTCACAGGACAATGTTTTATAGCCTATAGCCTTAAACACTGTCTATAGTTTACGCGAGTAGTACACATTTAAATAAAACACTTTAACGGTTTAAAACGCGATATATTAGTTAAACGTATGTGGAAATGATTTTTAACTTCGGCCCGACGTTTCGGATGCTTTGCAGCAGCCGTGGTCACGGGGCTGCAAAGCATCCGAAATCATTTCCAAATAAGTTTAACTAATATATCGCGTTTTAATCCGTTAAAGTGTTTTATTTAAAAGCCTATAGCCTTCCTCGATAATTTAAATAATTTTTAAATTTTTTTAATTCCAACTCGTAGTTCCTAAGATTTGCACGTTCAAACAAACTAACTCTTCAACTTTACATATTAGTATCTTCCTTTATATTATACTTTGTCGTTTTGTTCTTTCATAAGACGAAAAATTATTTCTTTAAAATTTTGATGTTATATATTGTATGTGTGATATCTATAATACTTAGAATGGTTTAAAACGCAAAATATTTATACATTTTTTTTATATACGACGTTTCGGATGCAAACTCACATCACAAAGTAAGCAATAAGTGGTCACTGCCCGTTAATAAAAAATGAACTGTAATATGTCGCGTTTCAAACCGTTGAAAGTTCTTTATTTAAGGTTAAATAGTAGTATCTTCTCCACCAAAAATACCTTTGTGTATAAAAACTGTCTGTATATACGCGAGTAGTTACACTTAAAACAAATACTTTTAACAGTATTTAAAGTTTAATATGATTTACAGCAGCTGTGGTAACAATGAGATGCAAAGGCATGGCTGCTGTGAAGCAATCCGAAACGTCGGGCCGTTTCGCGTTTTTTACCGTTAAACGTGTTTTATTTAGGCCTTTATGTAGATTCTAAGACCGAAAATTTGAATTGTGTTACTATATTTTGACTAGTGTTGCAGTTGAATGCCTGGAACACCTTCGTCCCAGCTGTGGGACTGTTGTCTAAGACTAGGTAGCACGGTAAATACTGTAGTTTATGCGAGTAGTACACAGTTAAATAAAACACTTAGCGGTTTAAAACGCGATATATACAAATGAAACTTATTTTAACCACGGCCCGACGTTTCGGATGCTTTACAGCAGCCGTGGTCACGGGGAGAGTCTCCGTTAAAGTGTTTTATCTAAATAGTTTCAATCCAGTCTTCAGTCTAGTCTAGAAGGCTGTGGCAGGGTCAAGTGTTGGCCTAAGACAATGACAAATAGAACTTAAGTAATTTATTTGTACATATTGTGTAATCGTATCAATTTATGGGTTTTCTACTTTGTTTGGAATAAAGAGATGATAAAAATAAACATTTGTTCTATTATGAATACCTCTAGTGTATTTATCCTAACTTGACATTTTAAACAAACTACCTCCTATACCTAAGTGAATTACTTCGTAAAAACATCGATTTCAAATGGACAGATTAAAACTTCTTTAGTTTGACATGGACAAGGATGGGATACAAGCAAAGTCAACGACGATCGAAGGTAGAAGGCACACTCAAGCTCGATCGCTGAAACGTAATGAAAATGAAAAAACAAAGTCATAATCATTTTTTTTTTAAATATTGAAATCGTTGGGGTCGGGATGGTTTAAAATCGGCCATATTTGTTATGGTCTTTTCTCAAGTTAGAAAATACACTTTAAATATATAAATAAATAAACAATCCGTTTCTTATCACAAAGTACGTAATTTACATCTAAAGTAAGTAATAAAAAAGAAAACTTACAAATAAAAGAATATAGAAAAGTACAATTTTAACTTTGTGCTAAATGGCTTCAAAACTCCGCATGTGCTCAGCAAATAAATGTTGTGGAAAAGTTGGAACGAACTTAAAAAAATATAATTATGACATCAGTCACGCGACTTCGTACGCGTAGAATAATTATTTTGGATATCGGATATATTATGTTTGTTTTTGCAAACTCTCGTCAGCGAAATCACTACTCTAAACTCTTGCCGCGACGTCGTCCGCGTCCCGTCGTTCTTGCAAGTTAATCTTAAAAGATAGACATATATTGTCGCGGACTTTTACGTCATTTAAAGAGGAAACATTCTTACATACATATTCTTTGGGTATCTTGAACCGTTTTCGCAGCGTACGCTTCTGGAACCGCCAGAAATGAAGAATATCCCCCGTCTTGTTCACATTTCCCGCTGTTTCTTCGCTCCTATTCGTAACAGCGCTATGTAATAACTAACTGTCAAATCAAAAAATAATTATTGAATTCCAACAAGGAGTTCGTGAGATTAGCGCGTTCAAACAAACTCTTCAGCTTTATATATTAGTACATATATAGATTTTAGTGGCAGCGCGAATGTAAAACAATTGCGTAAGTAGAAAAGTAAAGAGAATAAATGATATTTTCAACAGTGTCTTGTAAAGGTCATAAGTACTTAGTCGAGCTAATTTGGAATTTCATTAATATATCGCGGCACTTTATTAAATATACTATCTCTAGGACATAGCTCAAAGATTAATTAAAGCTCTATGATGATGAAAATCGAAAATATTTTCGACTCGGGCAGGACTCGAACCGGCATCGTCAGCTATTTATTTTCGATTTTTAAATTATATAATGCCTTCGTGTGCAGTTTTATAAAATGTGCTTATCTTAAAGCGTATAGCTTCGACTAAAATGGGTAGTCGATTTGATTTCTAGTGGTTCTTATACCATTACTGTGTCCGTTTCACTGATAGACTTGCCAGGCAACTTCTTATCAGACTTCTATGCCCTGCCCGACCGAAACAATTTCAATTTCAAGTTTCGGCCGAGCAGTGCATAGAAGAGACACAGTGCTAAGCAACACGTTTAACCATTTGGCTACACAGGCTGCCAGAATCTGAAAAGCTTAGGTACGCTAAATGGGTCGTAGGCATATCGAAAATTACTGATAGACAAGTTTGTTTGCTTGCCGTTCCTTCAATTGTTTCAAGCTAAAAATGTTTATAAGACAGCACATTTTAATTATATTTCATATGGCCGAATACCTTTCATCAAGTGAGCCCCGAGTGAATGCTATTCTTAACATTTATAGAAACGAGGGTAGTCTGAAATAAAACGACAAAATCAGCTAGTGATTACTCTTCAAACAGTGTTTCCGCATATACTTTTTACTCTTAAACATCTTATCGCACGAGTTGCACTTATACTGTCTCGTAGCCGCATGCGTCAGCATATGCAACTTCAGCACGTGCTGCTCATAAGTCCGATAACCGCACACATCGCAGACGAAATCCCTCACCTTCAAATGCCTTTGTTTCACGTGTTTTTTTAGTAAACTCTCGAATATAAACGAACGCGAACAATACACGCACTTTTGTAAATCCCTGGTCTTGTGGACGTCTGCGACGTGCAAGGAACGTCTGTAGTGGGACGTAAAGAATTGGGAACAAGACGGACACCTATACCGCTTCTTATGCACCAGTTTCATGTGTTCCACCAGGCTCTCTTCTTTAATCTGCCGATTGCAGTCCGTGCAGGACGGTGCATCTGCTCCTTGTCTCGCATGCGAGCACAAGTCTTTGGAATCCAAATATCGCATATCGCAAACACTGCAGGACATCTTCGAGAAGTTTCTGTGCAAACCCATGTGGGTGACTAAGCTGCTGTGATGCTGGAACTGCATATCGCATACCGCACACCTGCATTTGCGCAAATCAAACGGCACTAAGCACATGCCTACAGTCTCGTCAAATATACAGCCGTGGTCTCTCAAATGGTGGACCAACTGGTGGAGATTGTCTATGGACTCCTGGCAAAGTTTACAGGCTAGGTCCGTTATGTCGACTAGAACGTTCACTTCATAGTAATTGTCTATGGTTCTATGGATGTCGGCGGGTGTGTGGCTGGAGTGATGGGTCTTGAGTTCTTCGGGCGTGTCGAACATTTCGTAGCAACAGAAGCAACGGAAGCATGTCTTGAGCCAACGGAAGGGCATTAGAGTGGAGTTAATGAGAGCTAGTCTAATGTTATTCTTGATCGCGGAATATTTCTCTTCTTGCGTCGATGTTGGTTCTGTGTCGCCTGAAAATCACACAGTTATAAAGAACATTGAATTACAGCATGAAGTACTACTTGGAGGAAAATCACTCGGGGGTGCCTTTGCGTCGACTCAAAAATCTTGAAAAATGTATAATGGGTTTGTCAAGACCATGCCAATTTTATAAAGCTGAAGAGTTTGTTGGTTAAACGCGATGATCTCAGGAACTATTGGTACGAATTGATTTTTTTTGCGTTGGCTAGAATGAAACGTATGCAATATTGTCTATGCTCTAGAATCTACATAAAAAAATATTTCCTTCTTTTTATAAAAATCTATATTTTTATTTTACTGTTGCTTTTTGTATGTATCTAATTTAATTTGCTTTTTCTACTCAAAGTCTTCCTAAGTGAATTGTCCGCTAGTGGCCGGACATTTACGTAAGTATTTACTCAAATAATACGAAGAAATCTGCCTTATTTTTATTATTTACTCGCACGATAGGGTAAATTGATCTGACTAAAATATTTACACATAAAGATATATTAGCACAAGAGAGTATAAAAACTTTGATTGATTGATGAAGTTTTATTTACATAGTAGATTTCTATTGGACACTATAGTATTCAATAGCAAAGAAACTTTTAAAAGCACGACAAATTTGAATAAAACACTTTAAACGGTTCAAAAGGCAAAATCTTTAGCTTATGTAGTGACCATGACCAGACCCACTGTAAATCATTCAAGATTAGTAGATAATAGAAATAAGGAATATATTTTGCGTTTTAAACCTTTGAGTGTGTAATTGTTTAATACAAGTTTTTAGGAATAAAAATGTTCATTTATGTATTTAATATTTATATATTTCATATATATATTGTAAATAAACATAGTAAATTATGAATCAGCCACTGATATTCATTTAGATGAATTAATATTCCAGCGCTGGACACAGTCTGCTTTCGCTTAGGAGGGGATCGAAAGAACTTTGACACCCGCTACTTTCTGACGTATTTGGGCGATGAAACTTTTTTCCAACCTTTTCGTATGTACGTACGCAATTTTCTTGAAAAAAATTTTAGTAACCAAATTTATAGACATTATAAAAACCCATATAAATTCGATACAACATCTACCACAGTACGATTAACGCAATACTCCTATTTATCTATCTCTTCTTGCATTTTCAATAGCCATATGCCTCATCATAGACCATGCCCTTCGGCGGCACCCCCTTGTGCATCCTCACAAAATGCGCGCGCATAATCTTCCGCGTCGTGAACATCTTATCGCAACCGTCGCATTTGAAGTTCTTCTCCCCGCTATGCTTGTACATGTGGTTCTTCAGTCTATGACTGGTAAAGGCCTTCCAGCCGCAGACGCTGCATATGTGGTTCCTGACCTTCAGATGGGCGTCCCGGAGATGGGTCATCATCATACTCCGGAAAACAAACGTTTTCGGGCAATGGAGGCACTTAATCACTTCCCGATTCTTATGCTCCTCGACCATATGCCGCGACCGCTTATAATGACTGCGGAACACCTCTGGACAAACGAGACACTTATATTTCTTCTTATCCAGGTCGTGCTCGTACTTCTGGTGGTTCTTCAGCTTGTATTTGCTGTCGAACTTCTCGCCGCACTCTTGGCATAGCAGACTTATGTTCTCATGCATGGACTTGACGTGGAGACGCAGAAGGTTCGCGTCTTTGAAGTTCTGTCCGCATATCTCGCATAGGATAGCCGACGTGCCCTTATGGTCTTTGTTGGTGTGCTGCAAGAGAGTGCCAAACGTGTAGAAAGTTGCGCCGCAAGACAGGCAGTTAAGCGAGAAGTTGTCAAGTTTGAATGGTATCATGCAATTGCCGACATCCTTATTGTAGACCACGCCGTGCTTGTCGACGAGGTGGTTTATCAACTCGTACAAATCACTAATATTCTCCGGGCACAACCGGCATGCTAGCTCCGATACATCCACGTACACAACTGTCTCCCAATACTTATTCATCGTGGTCTCCTTTATTTCATCACCCAAATGTTGGGATTGGTGGTTCTTCAGCTCCGAGGGTTCAGTGAATATGTCGTAACAGTAAAAGCATCGGTAGGAGCTCTTCAGCCAGCGGAAGGGCATGGCCGTCGATTTGACGAGGACCTGGAGGACGTTGTTTCTCATTATTTGGCGTTTCTCCTTCGAGGTAAGCGGTTTCGCGATTTCGTATTGAAATTCTTGGTACGGTTGTGATATACTATCTTCGGTTATGCCTGAAATGAGAATATTCCCGTTGTTTAGAAGTCCCGATTACTGTCCTTTTCATCAACCTTATATTTTTAAAACCATACATTGATACATAGCTTTAGATTCTATATTTAAATTATTACAACTATAATAAATTAATATATAAAAAAAATGTTTAATTCAACAGATTGAATTGTACCGTATATAGTTTACGCGATTACCGAGTAATAAAACACAGGAGACAGACGGAGTCTCCCTGTGACTACGGATGCTGCAAAGCATCCGAAACGTCGGGCCGAAGTTAAAAATAATTTTCAAATACGTTTAACTAATATATCGCGTTTTAAACCGTTAAAGTGTTTTATTGAATTATGCTTAATTGCATTTCTTATGTATATGTTCCTATTATTGATTCCTATTATTAACTCCAGGTTAGAAAAATTAAATCCAACCTGTACCGTAACATAATTTGAATTCTAAATTCTAAGATTTGTAAAAGTTTTTTTATTAATAAGTATTATTATAAAATTAAGGAATGTGAATAAAACTATAACTTTGATATAAACTTTTTTATATGTATACGTATGTAAATTTACAAAATTAAACAGTTTCCTCAACAATACCATAATCTGTGCCTAACTCTATATTCGTTAATGTGTTATCTGTTACCCCTTCTGTATGATCTGGATGTCGCGTTTTATAATGTAGCTTCAAATTCGGCCTATGCGCAAACTCCTTGCCACAAGCAGAACAAGAGAACGCCTTCCTCCCAGTATGTATAACTGAATGTGCATTTAAATTACTTTTCTTCGAGAATTTCTTTCCACACACCGTACACACAAAGTTCTTATCGCCGTTGTGTTTTAACATATGTAACTTCACATCGTACGGACCAAAAAATCTATCACCACAAATGGGACACTCGACGTTCTTCTCCCTCAAATGGACGCGCCTCAGATGCCTCGACATTAGACTCTCTTGGGGAAAAACTTTTGGACAGTGGGGGCATTTGATCCTCAACTCGGCGACACCGTGCACGTTCGCAAGATGCAGCTTCTTGAAGTAGGGGCTTTTGAAGATCTCCGGGCAATACTGGCAGGTCAATAGATTCGCGAGGTGTACGTTCTTCTCGTGGAGTGTCTTTTTGGAGAGCGTCTCGAGACGTATCCCGCAGTGGCTACACGTGTAGCCCCCCTCCCTATGGTAGTATCGATTGTGCATTCTCAAATGGTTCTCGCCTTGGAAGCTGGTGCCGCACACATCGCAGATATAATCGTGCGAAAGATGGTACTTATTAGCGTGTCTCAGGAGGTATTCGAAGAAGACGAACTTCATATCGCATATTGGACACGTCGGCTGATCTCTCTCCAATTTGAAGGGTAAGAAGCAGTTCGGCACGCTCATGTCGTATTCAGCATCATGAGCTATGATGAGATGATGGATGAGCTGTTCCAGACCGTTTATAGTCTGCAGGCAAAGCTTGCAAGTGAGGTTCGTGATGTCAATTTTGACAGCAGCATCTCGATTGCGATTCGTCTTTGTTCTGTCAAAAATCACCAGCTCCAAGTTGGCAAACTGATGGATTTTCGTATGCTCCCTCAGGACGTCTGGGTCTTTTATCGGTTCCGTGCAAAAGAAGCACCGATATTTGCCCTTATAAAAGAGGAAGGGGGTGGCGTTGCTGTATTGCAGCACATATTCAATGTTTCGTCGTTTGACGAATAGCTTACGTATGGTCTCGTTTCGCTTTTGTTGGTCCTCTGGCGTATCCGAACCTGGAAAGAATGAGGCTCTTATCAATTTCTCTTCTCTCTTCTTCTAAGTCTTGGAGTCATATAGAGTTTATAGAATTGTCGCTTAACTGCGAAAATATATGTTTCGCAGATATAGAACATCATTCCATATACACAATTTTTATTAAAAACATTTTTTTATCCCAAACGTACCACTAGTAATAAATAAATAAATATTTTGTTTGAATCATTTATTTTATTATCGAATATAAATACTTAATGCCTAATAAATTTACAGTCAGATACAAATAGGCCCTATTAAATACAAGATAATTAAAGATAAATTAAACCATTTACAATCACTATTATAAAAAAATGATTTTATACAAATTAATAAATACCTAAGCGCACAACAAAATCTTATTTTAATTAAATATCCATTATAATAAACCTAATGTATGTTTATCTGGCTTTTGTCTGTGAAGATAATCGTCTTTTAAAGAACTAATTATAATTTATTTAAACTAGGTAAATAACAAAAAGTAAACAGTGTCGTTGCGGCGATATCTATACAATATAAATATTTAATCAGTTATTTACATAAGGAACTTTATTCATCTTAGAATCGGGCGTATTTTTTCCAAAATATTATAACTACCTTCAAAATGAAAAAAAAAAATTATATATTGAGATTCTTACTTCGTGTTGTATTTACAGTAATACACATTGTAAATTATTCTGTCTGAAACGAACGAGTCCTAATATAGTAAAGATCATATTACTCAGTAACAACGTGCCCATACTTTTTGTGCATGCCCATGTGCGAGGCCAAATTACTCCTGCGCATGAACGACTTGGAGCAAATCGAACAGCTGAACTTCCTGACACCCTCGTGCTTCACCATGTGCAACCTCAACAGATGGTTATCGAAGAACTTCTCACCACAAATGGAACACTCCATATTTTTCTCCTTCAAATGCGTCCGCCGGATGTGGTCCCTCATAAACGAATTTCTGGTGAACATTCTCCCGCAGAAGGAGCACTTATGGCCTATATCATGGACTTTGATCAAGTGCTTCTGCCTTTGATATGGTGATTCAAACTGTTCGGAGCAATTGGAACATTTGAAATCCTTCGCGTTATGGCACTTGGCGTTATGCCGGTTCAGACACCACTGATTCCTAAACTGGATGCCGCAAATGTGACAATCACACGAGCCCTTATGCGTGTGCGCAATGTGCGCCGTCAAATTTGAAGCTTTCTTGAAGCTGCGGCCGCAAAAGTCGCACACGTGGCAGTTCGTCGTGTGCTCAGCGTTACTGTGACGTAGTAACGTCGCGAAGTACCTGAACACACTGGGGCAGTGGATGCAAGAACATTTGTCACTGAGAATATTAAACGGCTCAAAGCAGTTCTTTATAGATTTGTCAAAGGACGCGTTGTGTTTGGATATAATATGGTCTATTAACGTCTCTAATTGTTCAGAAGTTTGACCGCAAACCTTACACGATAAACTGGAAATGTCAATTTTGACGGTAGTTCGTTCACCCTTACATTTCTTAATACTGGCCGATGATAGGTCGCAAAACGGGTGTTCCCCAATGGTGTGCTGTTTGAGATCTTCGAAATCCGTGAACCGTATAGAACAGTAGAAGCAAGAGAACTTGCCGAAAAACTTAAACGGAATTACCGTCGTCATATTCAATACGTTGACTATGTTTTGCCTTATTTGCGTGATGTCTTGCTTCTTTTTCGGTTCTATATAATTCTCGGAGGGTAGCAGCGCTGGTGACTTATGTGACTTCAATTTACAGTTCTTCACGTGTTGCCCCACGCCCTGCCTAGAGTGACAATCCTTAGAGCAAAATGGACATTTGTTGTTTTTGAAGGACGAATGTTCCTTACTCATGTGTTTCTGTAAGAGTGAGAAAGAGGCAAAACTGCCATTGCAATATATGCACTTCCTAAAATGGTACTTGTTCTTATGAGTCTTCCACGCCTGTTTGGATTCGAACATTTCCGTGCAAACATCGCACGGATAGCCGCCGTGCTTATGAAAATCGTGCAAATGAAACGCCAAATCGCGTTTGCTGTTAAATGTGGCGCCGCAGTCGTCGCATACGTAGTTATTCTGCGCGTGCGCCAGTTTCAGATGCCGACGCAAGTATACGAAATAAGAAAAATCTTTATCACAGTACTGACACTTCATATCGGCGAGCCGGAACTCGGTGAAGGGTGTCTCCACACTTTTATCGTAATCCAAATCGTGTTTGCCAACCAAATGATCGATAACCTCGTTCAGGTTCGGGAACGGTTCGTTGCAAATCTCACATTCGATATCTGAAATGTCTAGTTTTATCTCCACTGCGTTCCCTTTTATCACTTTCAGCGAATAATCCTTAGTTGAGCACGCTCCGTGTGATTTCGTATGCTTCTTTAGATCCGACCGGTTCGCGTACTGATTCGGGCAATAGAAACACAAGAATCTCCCGCGCCATTTGAATGGTATAACGGACGTGTTGTTGAAGAGCAATTGTAAGTTTTTCCTTCTTCTCTCAGATGCGTAGGGTTCGAATTCCGGATTATCATCTGTGAACAAAATCTCTCTTCAGTCTTCTTTATATCAACAATCATTTTCTTATGCTTCATAGCGAGCTGAAAGTCTTCTAAAGATTTTGGACTTGGGCTCTTTATTCCTAAACAACTTCGTTATAGAGTGGATAACTTACAACTTAGGGAATTGAATAAACAAGTTTTATATATTAAGGAATCTGGTCGTGTGACGTCATATGACCTCGCAAATTCTTCTTCCACAGAAACCGTTTCCCGCAGATGTCGCAATGGTAATTCCTCTCCCCGATGTGTTTGATCATGTGAGTCTTCAGCAACGGCTTATCGAAGAACTTCTCCGCGCAGACGTTGCATTCGAAATTCTTCTCCTTCAAATGCAGCCGACGTATGTGGTTCCTCAAATGAGAGTTTATCGTAAAAACGCGATCGCAGTACGAACATTTATGCCCAGTACTGTGTACCTGCATCAAGTGCTTCTGCAGAAGATAAGGTGTACCAAATTTCTCGTCACAATCCGAACATTTGTAGCTCTTCTCTCCGTGTAACCTCGCTCTATGGCGAGACAATTTATCTATGGTCGCAAACTCTGCGTTGCACACGGTACACTTGACGCCGTCTTGCCTATGGTAACGCGATATATGGGCGCGGTAGTTGTAATGATTGCCGAACGTCTGTCCGCAGAACGCGCAAACAAAGTTGTCTACAGTGTGAAGGGAGTTCATGTGTTCTAGAAGCTTTCTGAAGTATTGAAAGACATCTGGACAAATCGGACAAGGTATACTATCTTTGGATATCTTGAAACACTGCAAGTACGTCACCGATTTGTCGTACTTCACATTGTGTTCGGATATAAGATGATCTATAAGCGTTGTAATATCTGTGAATCTATTTGAACACTCCTTGCAGTACAATTCGGTGATGTCAATTTTGAGAACGATTTCTCTGCCTTTGAGAAACTTCATCGTTCTACTCTTCAAATCGCAGTGCGTGTGTTCGATGGAGTGATCGCGTAATAATTCAAATTCGGTGAAATCTTTGGAACAGTAGAAACAACGGAATCTGTTCATGAAAAACTTAAACGGTAGAGCAGTCGACATGTTCAAAATACAAGCTATGTTCTCCTTGACGGCTTTCGTCTTAGTGCTTTTACTTGGATAGACTCTGCACTTCTTAACATGATACTTATAACCGCATTTGGACGTGAAAGGTTTAGCGCAGTTGTCACACACTAGATCTGTGTCGCAACCGTCTACTCTTATATTAACTGGCTTCAGATTATTTATATTAATATATTCGTGTCGTAAAACCAAATGCTGCTTTAGTTCACTAAAATTCTTGTACACTACATCGCATTGCTCACAAGTCGTGTCAGAAATATCAATTTTAATAGTTTTTGGTATATCGAACGAGTTCTCTAGGAAAGATTCGGGTTTGTGCGATTTCGTGTGTTTCTTCAGATCGCTATAATCCAAAGGTCTATTGCAATAATAACATTGGTAGGGATCGGGGCCTTTAAATGGTATGACGCTAGTGTTTTTGAAGAGCGTGAGAAGGTGACCTCTCGCGTCAGAAGACTTATCATCTGAAAAGAAATTTGCCTTCTGTATGATAGGTTTGATTGATTTAACTAATGTTAAACATGTGGGTAGCTAAGAGTTTAATACAATGTAAGCTAAGGAATTTGGAAAATTAAATTATGAAAATCATTTATTAGCCAAAGTTATAAAATAATTTTGTTTCATACAGATTCAATAAACATAATAAAATATACCTTTTTCAATGACTAGAAAAAAAAAGGTATAAACTACCTACATTGGTACATTATAAATAAATAAAATTTGATATCACGATCACTTGCGATACAAGAATTTTACAAGTTACGTAGGGCGATATTTCTTAAAATTTAATTAAATTATTCTTAAGCTTTAATGTGGCAGTTCATCGTTCCTCTTATGCTTAGCCATGTGAGTGCTCAAACTCTTCTTCCAGTAGAATCTATCCCCGCACACATCACAATGGAAGTTCTTCACACCACTATGCTTAACCATGTGCCGCTTCAACAGAATATTATTGAAGAACTTCGCGCTGCATATGCCGCACTCGACATTCTTCTCCTTCAAATGCGTCCGGCGAATGTGATCTTTCATGAAGGACTCCCTCGTGAACAACTTCCCACAGTATGAGCACTTGTGGCCGGAGTTATGCGCGTCTATCAAGTGTTTCTGTCGCAAGTACTGCGTTTGGAATGCCTCTGGACAGATCGGGCACTTCGCCGCCTTAACCCCGTGCTCCTTGGCCATATGCATGAACAATCTGGACGGAATGTCGCAGTCTATGCCGCACATCGTGCAGTTGAATTTGCCGACGCTATGCCGCCGCCACAGATGCACCCTCAAATTCTGTTCCCGCCGAAACGACTGGCCACAATGCACGCATATGTTCTTATTGTCCGTGTGTTGTGTGTTCATGTGTTTTAGGAGGGTGCCGAAAAACCTGAAAACTTCGTGAGGACAAAGGGGACACTGCATCTGGTCTTTTATCAATCTGTACGGCTGGAGGCAGGTCTGAATATTCTTGTCATAGTTAGCATCGTGTTTGGATATGAGATGATCTAGTAGAGCGTCCAAACTGTTCATGGACTCAAAACAAAGCTTACACGAGAGCGAGGAAATATCGATTTTGACACAGGACTCAGATTCTCGACACTTTCGGATGCTTCTCTTGATATCGCATGTGGGATGTGTCAAGATGGAGTGCTCACGAAGAGAGTCAGGGTCCTGAAAATCTTTGGAACAGAAGAAACAGTTGAACTTGTTCTGAAAGAAGTTGAACGGCACAGCCGTGGACATTGTTATGACTATAGCTATATTCTCGCGCAGCTGTTTGACACTAGTCCGTTTAGGAGCGTCATATTTGATATCGGAGTCCATGACGTCAACGTCATTATCATCTATTACCATATCGATGCTTCTACAGTTCCTGGAATGCATTTTGAGTCCAATATCCGTGTGAAACTGCTTGAAACACAATTTGCATTTCAACGTACCGTCGTCCGGATGCTCCGTTTTCATGTGTTTCCGCTTCAGCACGGCCGAGGGTAGTTTCAAAAAGCAAATGTTACATCGCGTTATGTGCCGGTTAATTTTGTGTTTATTCAATATATTTAGGGAGGTGAACGTCTGATCGCAAGATTCACATACGAAACCGCCTTCGCGATGGTAGTTCTTCGTGTGCGAGAAGAGATCGCGTTTTTTGTTGAACTTCTGTTGGCAGGTGTCGCAAGAGAAGCTGTTTTTGGGGTGATTGCTGTTCACGTGGGAGACCAGATAGCCGAAGAAGGAGAACTTGGCTTCGCAGATCAAGCACGCGAGGTCTTTCAACCGATACTCCTCGAAAGGCATTTCTATATCTCTGTCATAGTCTACCTTGTGTTTGATCACCAAATGGTGCGTCAGATCATTTATGTTTTGGAGTACTTCGTGACAGAGTTGACAACTAATTTCTGACACGTCAATCTTTATTTCAACATTGCTAACACCCCTTATCGACTTCAGAGAGTGGGTGCGCGTTGAACACTCCCCGTGGTCTTTTGTGTGTGGTCGTAGTTCAGAAAATTCTACGTACTTGCTGCAAAAGAAGCAAAGATACTTTCCGCGGAATTTAAATGGTACTATAGAGGTTTTATTGAATAGTGCGACTAGGTTTCGTCGTATGCGCATCGAGGATGGCACGCCGCCGTATCTACGCGTTTCATCTGGAAAGAAACATATTGAATGTACCCTTGTATTTTTGTAAAGAAAAATAATAGGGTATATTCGACATTCTTGCAATGAAGAATGAATATTTTAATTATATAAAAAGTCCGGGTCATAAAACTGTTCTTTACACGTTTTATTCTCTATTAAAAAACAGAATGTATCAGACACTCCGGCGCATACGCATTACGCAAATTTTGGGGGATTTTTTAAAATTGCTTTAAGTCACCAAAGTAAATTTTTAGGTAGGATATTTAGTTTCTTTCATCTGATAAAATCAAATCTCAAATACGATAAATATTAGGAAAACATTTGTCCCGAGTTAACGCCAATAGTGCATTAAAAAAATTAACGGCTTAAATCGTGAATTATATAGTATATTTTTAAAAAACAGCCCAGTAGTCGCGGTTTTTATATATAAACCGAAACATGTTTCTATTATATTTTGCGTTTTAAGCAGTTTAGAACAAAAACTCAATTTAAGGATATGTTTTCGATTCTGTCTCCTATATATAACTGGAGTGATGATATTCACATGCAACTAAAGACTATTTAGTATAAACGCACTTTTCATCATGTATCCGCATATGATCCCTCAACGTCTGCTTCCGCATGTAAGTCTTCTTGCATATGCTGCACTCATGCACCCTTTCCCCGGAATGCTTGATCATATGCTTCTGCACATGCGTACGCGAGAAGAACTTATGCCCGCACACCGTACACGCATAATTCTTTTCTCGCAAATGTACCTCCTTCAAATGTACCCTCATTTTACTTAGAATTTGAAACGACTTGTGGCATATCGGACAAGATATGCGCGGAACGTCCAAGTTATGTATGAGCCCGTGATGTTTCTTCCGTAGTGTGTAATTCGTGAAGCTCTCTGGACAGAAGAAACATTTTATGGATTTGTATTTCTTATGGATTGCTATTTCGTGGTTATTCCTCTGCGTCAGGGAGTCGAAGGTCTGAGGGCATACGCTGCAGTGGAAAGCGGCGCCGTGGCTCAGTGCGTGACAGCGTAGCCTATCCTGGCTCAGAAAAGACTTCCCACAGAGGTCGCAGACATAATCACTAAAGTGCTTGTTCATGTGTTGATTTAACTTGATGAAGTATTCAAATTTCTCCTGGCACACAGGGCACTGGTAAACACGCCCGATGTTGTACGGAACCACCCCCAGGCCATGGTCATCGTTAAAGACTATACCGTGGACAGTTTTGCTGTGATCTACTAAGTCTTCTGTACCATGTAAATGCTTGTTACAAACGCGGCATGCTAGTTCCGAAACGTCTATCTTGACTTTTTCATCCCCTTTAAGGAAACCGACGGCCGATTTTATACTCGATTTTTCGTGATCGACTCTAGTATGTTCTTTGAGTTGGTCAAAATCTTTGTATGGCCTGTGGCAGAAGAAACACAGATAGCTATGTCTGTGCCATTTGAATGGAAAAGCCGTGGACATTTCTAGGATGCTTATCGCGTTCCTTTTCATGAGTCTGTTTCGTTTCGTTGAGGATAATTGTGCCGGCCTTGCAATGTCCGTGCTTTTTGGACCTAAAAAGTTTAAATTCTTCTGTTTAGCTCTTCTTTGCAGTACCCGTCACCAGTTTATAAGAACTCTCCGTATCGTATAATTCCAATAACGTATTTTTTTATAAAAGTACCCAACCTTGCGTTTGCTTTATAAAAAAACCTTTTCTCATGGTTTTATATATGATTGGAGATAAATTCGTTAAGTTATTGCGATACTACAATAATAAATCGATTGTATTCTCCATAGCGTATCTTAATTGTTTGTTTCTTGTCATTGTTTGGTTATAAAACTTATTTAACAATTTTTCTTACTATCGAATGCCTTATTTTTTTTACGTGTAAAAATCTAGCAAACAGCATAACTGTGATAGTAAACAGTTTATCGTACCATACACTTCGTTTAAGCACTACGTGGACTATTTTTGTCATCTTTAAGTAAGATTTAAGGGGAAGGGGGAGTCTTCAATCAATTTAAAGATATAAAAATAAAATCGTAAATTCCTACTAATGGTTATTGCTTATATCATTGCCATCTAGACCCTCCCTCCCACACTTATATTTCGTAACTTGGACACTCCTATATAAGATGTATCAAATTTTAATTGTGGTGTATATAAAAGCTTATAATTCATACATAGTACTCAAAACATTCAAAAATAGCTCTCAGAATAGGGAGTGAGTAAGTCAGGCTTACTAAAATAATATTTAAATAAAACACATTAAACTGTTTAAAACGCGAAACGTATTAATTAAATTTATTTATAGCCTAAATTAACTTTATAGCAGCAGTAGTCTGAAAGGTCGGGACGTAGTTCAAAATAAAGAGAAACTAAGTTTAACCAATACATTTTGCGTTTTAAACCGTTAAACGTGTTCGACTCGCAGAAATTATAGTAAATCTGTTAAGTATATCCAGTGGAAACTATTAACTTTTATTATTTCTGGCTTAATTCTTCCGTTAAATTTATCTTATTCTAACAAAATATTGTGAGCTATTATTGTGGCTGTAATACAACTGGATGTAGTTAACAATAAATAAAATATCCTAACAGAGCGGATATGATAGATATAGAAATAGGGAATTCGACGAATAAATTTCGCGTTTTAAACGGTCAATATTGTTTTATTTAAATGTGCTCCCGTAAATTACAGACAGTATTTGTTTTTGCTCTTTTAAATATTGATAAATTGTTGTAAATCTTTCATATCCACTCTGTATGTTAAATAATATAGAAACTTACCTTTGATTGATTTAGATGTCTTTGGTTTCTCCTCTTTTACTTTCTTAATTGGTTTTGTGACAGTTTTGGTCGCCTTCTTCTGTCTACCACGTTTGCATTTAACTGGCAACGGTTCAGCTGTTATGTCTTCGGTCGTCTCATCTGAAATATATTCATATAATATATGAATTTCTTTTACTTTTCATGAAATATACATATAATGTTAATTATACATCAGACTCAGTGGCGTAACTATACCGTTCGAGGCCAGTGGCAAATTCGTCGAATGGGCCCTCCCACTTCCCCAATATATAAAGCTGAAGCAACAATTGAGATTTCCTCTGACCGGGGGCCCCTTCGGGCTGGGGGCCCGTGGCATTTTGCCGACTTGCCACCCTATAGTTTCGCCACTGATCAGACTAGCTGTGCCAGCGACTTCGTCCGCGTAGAATAGTTATTTTGGGCCTCCGAATTTGTTTTTGTAAACCCCGTCATCTTTATAACTAGCAGGCTAACAGCTAAAGTTTATTAGCTGTTAGCCACGACGTCGATTGCGTCCCTTCCCGTCGTTCTTGCGAGTTAATCTTAAAAGATAGACGTATAGCGTCGCGGACTTTTTTTTAGATCATTTAAAGAGGAATCATTCTTTAATGCATATTACTCGGGTATCTTGAACCGTTTTCGCAGTGTACGCCTCGGAAAACCACAGAAATGAAAAATCCCCCCCCACTTTGTTCACATTTCCCGCTGTATCTTCGCTTGTATAAATCATAAGGCAACGTTTTATAGCCTTCCTCGATAAATGCTCTAACCAACACAATAATAATTTTTCAATTCCAACCAGTAGTTCCTTAGATTAGCGCGTTTCAATAAACAAACTCGTCAGCTTTATATTAGTATAGATGAGCTTGTTAACCTAATGCTATACATTCGTGGAGATCGAACCCAGGACCAGTATGAAACCACCGGTTACAACATTTTTCTAATCAAGTTATAATTTTCATAAAACATGTTTGACTGCATATCAAAATCTGGACATTAAATAGGTAGCAATATCGAAATTTCATCCACCCAGGTCATGAAAAGTCGTGATTATACCAATGGCATTTCGGTTTCAGTCTGGTGGATTCCAATCATCCAAAGCTTTATAAGACAACAGCAAATCTTGTAATCCACCGTCTCTGTAGCTAAATTGTTAAATGTGTTGCCTAGCATTGCGTTAAGCGTAAGAGGTTCTGGGTTAGAATCCCGGAGGAAACGGTAAATATTTTTGGTTGGGGCAGGGCACAGAAGTCTGATCAACTGCTTGTCTGTAAATAAAACCGATCAGTGAAACGGACAAAGAAATGTGTTCGCCCTATGCCCCACGAGGGGCATTTGTAATAATGTTATTTGGCTGGGAAATTTCACTCAAGTGAAACTTACTCTTGTGTATAGGACACTGTATAATAAGAAAATGTATGTACCATTATCAAAATCCATTGGTGGATCCGAAAAGTCATATTCTGCTGTTTGTGCTGGACCTTCGGTGTTTTCAGCTTTGAAATTTAGCTCTGCGTCAACTGTAACTGATGAAGATCAACATTACTTACTCTCTTATAGTAAGCAAGCCAAACACATTTCTGTAAAATACTTTTGACGGTTTAAAACATTCATTATACACATTTCAACTACGCTTTGAGATCTCAGAAGCTTTGTAGGCGTTGTCCCTGGTAGACTAATATTACGTGTTTTAAACCATCAATTTTTTTATTGAAAGGATCAAAAGTATTCTTGTTTACAAATTGCGATATCTTGTTTTTTTTTTAATTTTATATATTTGTATAAGTGTTGAGAATACAGTCTTCAATGAGTGCAAATGTACTTATAATCATTACATTAACGCATAGTGATTTTCACAAGTGCTAAACATTTTATGTTTTCCCTCAGTCCCCTTGCAGGTATGTTGGTTTATCCAGGTTGAAGTTGTCTTAAATATATGGATAATAAAAAAATTACATGCATCATTTGTATTAATAAATAATTATATTTACACCTCTGTAGCCAAATGGTAAAAACCTATTGCCTAGCATTGCGTTGAGCGCGAGAGGTGCTGAGTTCGAATCCCAGGGAAACAAAAAATTGTTTCGGTCGGGCAGAGCACAGAAGTCTAATCACCTACTTGCCTGTTAAAGAACAAACACTGAAATGCCCCACAAGAGGGAAATGGGATTACACACATATTTACGGCTAAAAATGTTACCTGTAATTGCCTTTTGTTTGAAATCCCCTCTACCTATCATATCCACAAACTTCTTTTCACATTCCAACACTTGCTTTTTGAAATTGCACGCGTCCCTAAGGCGAGTGATGCAAACCTCACAAATGAGTCTGTTGGTGCCATTGGGACCTTCGGTATGTTGTGATATCTAAAACAAAGTCAATAAGAAATGAACACAAAAATGTATAAGACAAAGACTAACTTTTTAAAACAATACAATCTGTTAGAACCACTTGTACAACCACATTTTGGGTACCAATCCCACAGTTGATCAATTGTATTAGTCAGGCCTGTCAAAGTCTGATTAACTACTTGTCTGTATTTAAAATCAACCATTAAGTAAAAAAGTGACCAATGGTGCAAGGGATAGCCTGTGCAAAAAAAATAAAGATAATTCACATTGAAAGCAATGAAAGTGTTGTATTTACACATATCCTACTTGCATCAACCGCAAAAATGTAAACTACCCCCTCTATACAATAAATAAAAATTCAACATCAGATTTATACTTAACATTGAAGTGTTGAAGTTTTTGAATTTAAACAAATTCATGTAATATAAGGATATGCTTTACATAGATCTGGAACCAATAGAGTAACATTGATGGTAAAAATTAATATTTATGTTAATACTAGCTTTGCCCGCGACTTCGTCCGCCTGGAATAGTGACTTGTTTGTTTATTAATTTATGTAAGGGCGCATTTAAGACAATCTATGTTGTAAGTGCTATTTTGCTGCAACACTTCTGCTCTAACTCCCACACTCATTCCTACACTCACTCTCACTCCCCCTCCTAATCCCAAAAAGCCAAAGAAGAAAGTTTTGTTTTAGCTTCAAAAAACTATGAATTTCCATACGACTTAACACCCCCCTTTTAACCCCTTACAATCCTCTTTTCGCAAAAAAAAGCCTATGTTCTTTCTCAGGGTTTAGACCATCTATATACCAAATTTCATTCAAATCTGTTTAGTAGTTTTGGCGTGAAAGAGTAACAGACAGAGTTACTTTGGCATTTATAATATTAGTAAGGATAGAGATAGTGCAAATTGGCATGGATATATTGTTTTATACCTTACCTAACTAGATTACCTAAATAGATATTGATTTTCACAATTATACTGCATCTTTAACTACAAATACAAATATACATAAAGTATATTTGTATTTATTTTAAATTATAAATCTATTATCAATAATGGTATGGACTTACATCGGTGTGTTTATTTATAAATGAAGCAAAATACAATTAAAAACAAACATTGCTTTCAATTAGCCAAACTATTGTATAATAAGACTAACAAGAAATCGACTATCAGTATAAATTAAAAACACTTACGCTTATATCAAAACATTCTAATAACATATCCGCATAAACTTCGTTTTCGCCCATCCAAATATATTCCGAACCAAGCTCCTTATAACATCCTTCGGAAAGGCAGCAGCGGCACAGACCGGGATTTTCTTTCACAACCACATCGTCAAACTCCATTTTGATTTATAATTAAGGCAATTAGGTAAATGCTATTCCGCTATACTAATAATACGTAAATTTATTGAACATACTGATTCCTTTCTAAAGATAAAAGATTTCAATACACAAGCGAAAAGCATCCTCCATCTTTATCAATATTTATTCTTAATGGCAAAAGTGACACTTGAAATCTTGACACTTGACATTCAATATGTGAACTACAGATAAAAACTGTCAAATAAATATTTAACTGAATTAATTTTATTAAAATTGAAAGAAAATCTTTTAAATTTTTTTTATAGCCCGTAATTTTCTTTAATTATTAAGTTTTGTTTTTCTCTTTAAATCAAAAAATTATTTAGATTCGTCAAAAAAAAATAATTGAGTAGATTTGTCTTATTGTTGACATATTATATTATACTCTGTGGTTTTTGATGTACACAAAGGTGTACGTCAAATCAGCTTGAAAAAGTAAATACAAATTTTAATGTTTTGATTTTATTAAAAATAATTAAATTGATTTTAAAAATACATTAAATGATTTGGTAATTAATTGCCCTTGTATATTTATTTTTATTAATATTTTTTGGGAGGGAAGCAATGGAATCTAAAAGTTTATGTCGATGTTGTTTAGTTGAGGGAAAACATACAGATATGAATATGCCGCAATTATATCAGGAAAATAAAGAAATATACTTAGACATGATAGAAGAATGTTTCAACATTGTTGTAAGTATAAAGTTGCTGTACTTTTGTTAGATCTAATATAATATCATATCAGGAATATTACTTTGTGGGTTAAACGCTAATGGTTGTGTTTTGTTGTAGTTATCATCTCAAGGAACATCAAAAACAATATGCGACAAGTGTATAATTCGCTTGAGAGACGCATATTACTTTAAGCAGCAAGTGTTTAACTCGGAGAATAAATTAAGCAAGATGTTGTTGCTGTATAAGGAGAAAGGTAATTATTTATTTTAATGAACCATGGTCTATGGTAGTTCTTGTCCTTGGTAAACACTTATTGGAACTGCATTATACAACCAACCACCACCAACACAGCTGGAGGTTTTATTCAATTTTGGGGAATTAATTAAAATTATTTTTAAAGAAATGTTAGTAGGTTGTCCAACTCTACACTGGACAATACTTAAAGCATTCATTGTCTCTGCCTGTTATTTTTTTGATACACCTCTTATACTTGAACAGAGGAGTTTATTGAAAATACGGGTGTAAATATATATCTGTAATTTATCAAAATAATTTCTCATCACATAAAAACTTGTTGTTGCGTTAATATCAAACACTTGGCAGGGATACAATAATCTAAATAATATAAATTAAGTGAGAGACCAAAACTTATTTAATCATCTAAGTTGTGCATGACCAATATGCAGAGTAGCCAAATGGTTTTCTAAGCTGTTAGCATTCATATAACTGAGAAGAATTTCTCATTTGTTACTGTACTCCCTCATAGAAAGAGAAAGTAATTAAGAATTACATAGTAAAACACCAGTTTTATCCAACATAATGCAAAACATATCTATTATTAAATACTGTCTGTGGTTTACACGAGTATTACACATTTAAATAAAACACTTTAACAGTTTAAAACGCGATATATTAGTTAAAATGATTAGAAAATAATTTTAACTACGGCCCAAGGTTACAGATGCTTTCCAGTAGCCGTGATTAATTATATAAGTTTTCGCTGAAGTCACCACGACAAATAAGTTTAACTTATATATATCGCGTTTTACATCATTATTTATTTAAATATGTATATCTATTATTTTCAGAAGTGGAATTTCTAGGGTGCAATGAATCTCTATTGATAGATAAAAATAAAGTTGGATTACAAAATTCCACCATGCAGAGGGCATTAGGTGATCTAACTAAATACCTAGGTAGTGTATTCATTTAATTTTAAATAGTATCACAACATAATCATAAAGAACTTTACGTTAAAGAACAGTGAATAATAACATAAGATAAACTTTATTGCAATTAAAATATTTCTTAACAGTAGATTAAAAATAAAACTAATTTTATTCACTCTTTTCACACAAGATTGAAAACAATTATTAGAAACGTCGGGCCGAAGTTAAAAATAATTTTCAAATAAGTTTAACTAATATATCGCGTTTTAAACCGTTAAAGTGTTTTATTTAAAAGTGTTTTATTTAAACAATTATTATACTTTAAAAACTCTTTGAAATCACATCACATCAATAGAGAGTTATCTTCATCATCATACCGCTAAGGTTTTTGTCATGTTCATCAATATATTAATTATTTAATTATAAAGGACAGAACTTGCTTTGAAATTACACATTCATATCATTATTTATTATGTGAACACATTATAAATAATGATATGAAAATAATTGTAAATTATAGTCTAATTAAAGTATTATATTAATTATACATAGTTTACAAGTACAGCGCAACCTTGGTTACAATCAAAATTTTGATAATAATTTTCCTCATTATTGTTAGATGTCCGAAAGAGACATTGTAATATACAAATTTGTAATATACATTTTTTTTGTACTGGAACAATATGGGAAAATCAGTTATTGGATCAGATATTGGAATAAAAAATATAGGGGGTAGGAGTTTGTCAAATTCAAAAGCATGTATTATATACCATGCAACAGGTTAAGCAGAGTATTTACATGCTGAATCATTGAGACTAACAAGCACAAACATGTTCTTCTATGGTTTTAGATTTCCTATTTTATCCTAGTTAAAAGAAACACACTGTATATTATAGTACTCCCTATAGATCAAACCAAAACACTTATTGCCACAGCTTCCAACCTGTTATTATTTATATTTTCTATTGAGACACCCATAGCGGGCCAGGGGATTAGTGCACACCATCAGCTGATCATTTCACCCATTTCTCCATGTACAGCAAAAATCCTATGTATTGCATATTTATTATAAGGCATTTGCAGCCATTTTATAAAGCGCTGTTGAAGTTAAAATAATCATCAAGTAGTTAATATTAACGGAAGAAATCTCCAAAATAGGGCTCCTCCAATGATAGAACAAATAATTTTCTTTCCTTTGTTGATTCATTAATAAATAAAATTTTAGTTACATATTTAATAATTAATTTCTTATAGAAAGTCTAATAATTAAATTAATTTTTATTGTGTTTCTTTGGTTACTAAGTACTCTTAACTCGACTAGGCAAACAGTCTAGTAGTAGTTGTCTAGTTAAAACGTGTAGACTAAGTCTTTGTTTAGTTGAGTTTATTAGTAAATACAAGTAGATTTCAAATTATTGTATGGATCGTCTTTACATCAACTTGTAATGCAGCAAGTATTATCCCAAGTCCTATAACGAAATTGCATATCGGACCACTAACCTCTTAAACCATGCCAAAACACAAACACTACTCTTCAGCGATACAGTGCAAAACGTTTTTAACATCATAAGGATTTAAGTGCTGGTGGCCTTCTGGCTTTAATCTATCGAAATATTCTTTAGACATCTCGTCAAGTGTAACGTCCTTACTGGGTGTTGGCGTTTCCGTCGGTTCACTGTCTTCGCGCGTGAATTCTATTACAGTTACTGAGCTGGTCGCGATTTCGAAGGCGTCCCGTATATAATCCGGCCAAAGTATGTCACTATTCAGCCAGTCCTGGTGCATTTCTCTAAAAAGATCTTCGTTCTGGTTGCACTTCAGCATACGCCGTCTAATATTGGAATGAAATGCTTTACTGAAACGTTTCAATTTGTTTATTTGGTCTACGGTCAACTCGCCACTGTAAGACGACTTAACAACTAGGTACAATGCCAATGATATCGGCGTATTTTTGCATTGTTGAATTTTAGCATATATATCCATATTTGTTTTGTATCCGAACATTTTCGGCTTTTTAAAACGATGGCTATTTGTAAACAATGAAGCAATTTGCGATTCGCGACACTGACAGTTGATATTGTGTTTGGCACTTGACATTTGACATTACCTCTCGTAGTTTTTTACGTCGGAATATACTTTTTTTATTAATGTTGGTATAATACGGCCGACGTAACTTGGCAAGTCTCATCCGGCTACCTGCAGCCGCGAGCACACGTGCCCTCCGCTGTGCTAAGCCGTCTTTTTTGTGAAAAAGATCCGCTTGGCCGAAGCATGGAGACTTACATCCAGTAGCCGCCGCCGTCGTTCCCGAACCGATCGCCACTAGCTGGTTCGCTTGCGGACTGGCTAGGGGTCCGGAACGGGCTCGATGGCTAGGGCAGTGCCTGTAGGCCCTCTGTGCTTCGGCTAAGCGCGAGTATCGCGCGCCTTACCGAGCACGACATCCTGACCGCAACGCTTCCCGTTACGTTTACGTTCACGTTGCGTACCACCACACCGCAGACATCCGGACGAACGAGCGCATCAAGTGCGCGGATACATCGGCGGGCCGCTGCCTGAGGCTGCGGCCGCGATGTATCGCAAACCATCACCGAACAGGACTCCGGGGCGCGGCATTCCTGCGGGCGCATTCTCAAAGCGATACAGCCGCTGGCTATGCCTCGCTGGGCTTCCCTCGGGATTACCGAGGGTCTCACCCGGTGGGTCTGTGCCGCGCGCGGAGTAATGCGCCCTCCCCCCGCGCCCCTCCCCCTCAATGAAGCTAACAAGGCGACTGGAGAACCCCACTCGGCGCAACTTATTTTCGCCGACGAAGAGGACCCATTCCCGGTTGCAAATGGGACGTTTATCGATTCCACTAGCAACCCGAAGCATATTAGGACATCCACACACCCAACGAAGACCTTTACCCGGCTGCCGACGGAAGCCCCGCATTCGCCGCGCTCCCCGAAGCGGCCACTGATGCAGACAGGAGAAGATTCACAGGAGGCGGCCACCGCTCCCGAGCTAAGCCGGGAGTTGCGACTTGACCGCCCCTCCCCGGTCGCTGAAGGAAGCCCCGCATGTTCCGAAGTAGCTGCGATGCCCCCCACTGGTCGCGCCGTGCCCTGCTGGTTGAGCGCCGGTCGACCGCCCCCTCGTCCAGGGCCCGTCCCGGCTGCCCCTCAGGCCCACAGGCCCCTTTGGCCCGGCCCGGCTACCGCCATGCGGCTCTACCCCGACGCGGCCTCGATGCAGAAGGAGAAGCACAGGACACGGGTGCGCGCGACTTTATCCCGCCCGTGTCCCCGATCGCCTGCAACCGCGTGTTACCCGCGGTGCACCCCGGACGCCGGTGCGAGTGACTAGTTCCCGCCGGCGACCAACTTTCTTACAACCACGAACGCCGACCCGCATCTATATCCGCTGGCTTGCCGCGAGACGCGGAGGCGTTCCTGAAACATCGACAACGACCCAAGGGACCGCCCTGTATTCGCAGGGCGCGATAGATCACCCCTTGCAGGGCCCAAACGGGCCGATCAAGGAGGTCGCAGGAGAAACACACGGCAAGTCTCATCTAAACGCGAAACGCTGCGCAGAAACGTTCCTTAGGATGTTAACGGTGGTAGGAGCGAGGGGCGCGGGACGAAGATCTAGGCTAGTGATTGACTCAACGTCAACACAATCGAACGCTTATTCTATCAAATTTATCGATTTAGATTATGGATTTTAAATCGTATCAGATATTGTACTAAACGGATTAAAGAAAACAGTGAATGGTGTAGTTAATAAACAATACCATGACTACCTTTAAAGGAAAATAAAATCATTTAAAAAGTTTTTCATTATTGAACTACCTGATTTAGTTAAATATGAGTTATTATTTATATAATTACTTTTTATACCTTCTTTAGGGCTTTTTATACAAATATATTTCTACGATTCAATTTTGTCTATTTCAATAGGAATATTAATGGCTTGGGCACACCAAAACAGTTGCAGTGCGGTAGCAGTGCGTCTACATTTGTAAATAATGTAGTTATATGCGGGCAGACTCACCGACAAACGCGGGCTTGCTGAACCAAACTGCTGCGCTACTGCGCCGCGCACTCGCTGCTCTTTCACAAAACACGGGGCGGGGCAGGCGCAGGACCGCCGCAGTTAGCACGCGTTGTATTACTACGTCCGCCATTGGACTGTTCACACCAGAGCAGTTGAGCGGGCCAGGCGCAGTTGCTAAACGGTTGTAATTGTTTACAAATTTATGATGGAACCAAATGAAAAATTCATGGAGTTGTTTAGAAAATATAAATGTTTATATGATAATGAAGTAAGTTGAAACTAATGATTGTTATCAAAGTATGATAAAAACTTTTCTCTCACATAACAAGCAAAATTTGACGATGATTTGGTGCTGCGCCTGCCGTGCTTTTGGTGTGTCCAAGCCTTTAATCAATCAGTGGTACATATTTTACTTTTGAGTGCCATATGTAAAATGTTTAATTTATCCCAGTAACAAAAATAAATGGCAGCATTAGTTTTATTTACGAGTGTATAATTTTATTATCTAATTTTCTGATTAAACGACACTCTCAAGGATCGCGTATGGACATCTCTGTTTGGTTATGTCGTAAAGCTTCGTACATATTCGGTAATGTTCGGCAAACAGTAGTGTGTCTCGGTCACTCCTTGGCGTTAATTTTGTTATCTCTGTCTTGACCGCAGTCTGTTAGAAAAGTGATTGTTTATTGTTAAATTTAATATTATTATTTCTCTCTTGTTATAATTTTGTTTTGTCGCTGTATTTTAGTGAAAGATAAGTGTTTCTACAAACAACCTTATTCTCTTTGAATCAATTATTGGTATGTTACTTCTGCTTGCTAAAGGTAAAATCTTTCATTTATCCCAGTAACGAAAATAAATGGCAGTATTAGTTTTCTATACGAGTGTACATGCGCTAAAGTTCGTCTAACCTCTGTTCAGACTTGCCAAGTTACGTCGGTCGTATTATACTTAAATAGTCGATTATTCGTACAATGATTAAAATTAATCGTAATCTAATCGCTGTAAGATTAATCGATTATTTAACATGTATACATATTTCTAATATTTTATTTATTAAATGAAAATTAGTTAAGCATTCTTATTAATTTAACAATTACTAATAATTTAATACAAAATAATTTTTTTTTTCAGATGATGTACCCGTAAAATGTGAACCCAAATCAGAGAACGACAATAGTAATGATTCGGACAATTATTTTCTTTCACATATCGGTAAGGAACTGCTGTTTCATCGATTAATTATAATTTCCATGTATTTTCACAAAAGAGCTTCTATTAAATAAAACACTTTAACGGTTTAAAACGCGATATATTAGTTAAAGTTAGTAAACTATAGACAGTATTAAGAGCTTATATTAGTTAAGAAAAGTGTTAAAAAAAACATGCATATCGTTTGGGAGTAGAATCCACTATAACAGGTGAGGGGGTAGTTCATGAAATAGAGAAACAACACTGCATTTTCTTCTCAACATTTACTTGTTTTAAATGAATTTCCACTTTTATTTGAATTGTTTTATTAGTTAAATGTTATATTACTAAGAATATAAATATTTCTTGACTTGCTCTGATTAGATAAGACAATGTGATTGGGTCAGTAATTTTTTTGTGTTTCAGTAAAAGAAGAACCTTTGCAAAAGATATTGGTTGAAGAAAGAAAAGTGAGATTAAAAAGGAATAGAAATATTTCTAAGAAAAATGTTATAAATAGAATTTCAGGTAAGTAACACTTATAACGGACGCGGGTCTATGATCATACTTTTGCGTTAAGTGCTTGAGGTCCCAGGTTTATTTTTGGGAAAAATACTAATAGTTTCAGTAAGGCAAGGCATTTAAGTCTGATGCATACTGACACGAAGATGATCAATAGATAAATTATATAGACACAATTTTTTATCCCACTTAAATAGGTTCAAATTATTTACAAGATAACCCATAATAAGTAGTACGTACTAACCTAAGTACTATCCGAACCCGAGAAGTACACATTTAAATAAAACACTTATAATTTTCGTTTCGGATACGTTTGAGCTGCCGTGGTCACGGAGGGACTGAAGTCAAAAGTATCCTTAGGAACAAAAGATTCTACTTAAAATTAAACACGTTTGACGTTTGAGATCTATATAAATAAAATACTTTAACGGTTTAAAACGCGATATATTAGTTAAACTTATTTGAAAATGATTTTTAACTTCGGCCCGACGTTTCGGATGCTTTGCCGCAGCCGTGGTCACGGGGAGACAGTCTCCCCGTGACCACGGCGTTTTAAACCGTTAAAGTGTTTTATTTAAATGTGTACTACTCGCGTAAACTATAGACAGTTTGAGATCTATATTATTTAACTATATTTTATTTATTTTAACTACTGCCCGATGTCTACTTTGCTTTGTAGCATGCCGTGAGTCATAGGTTAGTAAATTAACCGTTAAATAATTCGTTTTAACCCGTTATAAGTATTTTATTTAATTGTGTGTACAGCGCTTGTGAACTTCAAACAATACGATACTTAAAATAAGTTTAACCAATATATTTCCCGTTTTAAACGGTTAAGTGTTATTACAATCGCATAGGCATTCAAAAATAATGGTTTCCTCTTTCAGATGAAAAGAAGGATCGCGTAAAAAAGAATGATCTATTGCTATCCGAATCTATGAACGTCGACATAAAAGTGATCACGAAATCGAATTTGGAAAGGCGGAAACACAGAGACAATCTAACAACGATACTAGAGTTTTCAAACGTCCTACCGTTCAAAGATAGATCGCTCCTCGGCTTCATATGTGGGTACTGCGATAAAACATACATGGACCCGAAAGATCTCAGAACCCACACGAACACAGAGCACAAAACACAAAGACTAGACCTACCCACCATATTCGACCTGAACGGGTACTTAGTGAAATTAGAAGTGTCAAACCTCAAATGCACCATTTGCGACCAAGAAATCGACAATTTATATAAATTAAGGGAGCACTTGTCCAAAAGCCATAATAAAACAATACACAACGATGTAAAAGATTACTTAATGCCGTTCAAACTAACTAAAGGCGACATTTTTAATTGTAGCATGTGTACGTCCACATACGAAACATTCAAAATGTTAAAACAACACATGAACAAGCACTACACGAACTACATATGCCAGAAGTGTAGTTCCTCGTTCATAACAAAGAGGTCGCTGAACGCACATAAGGCGACGCATATTGAGGGTAGTTTCAAATGTGACCTCTGCGAGAAGGTGTTCTCGAATAACATGAAGAGAATGGACCATGAGCGCAAGTCGCACATGGGTTGCCGGACTATAGGCAACTGTCCGTTCTGTGACCAGTCGTTCAGGAGTTACTATCAAAGGAACCAACACCTGGTGAAAGTTCATAACTCAGATGCCCAGTACAAATGTAATGTATGCAGTAAGGCGTTCATTTTGAAGTCTCTTCTGATGACGCATATAAAGAAGAACCACATGATGGAGAGGAACTACCAGTGCACTGAATGCGGGTACAAGTTCTTCAACACGAAAACGCTGAAAGCGCACATGGTGAAGCATACGGGGGAGAGAAAGTATGCATGCGAAGTGTGTCACAAGGCATATGCGAGGAAGTACACGTTGCAGGAGCATATGCGGATACATAATAACGATAGGCGGTTCAAGTGCGAGCTGTGTGGAAATGCGTTTGTGCAGAAGTGCAGTTTGAAAAGCCATTTACTGTCACATCATGGTATCAGCATGGCGGCTAGTGAAATAAGTGTTTCATAATAAATCATGCATCATGTTTGTCGTTTTATTTACTACGTTCTAGAACCGTGCTCGTTGGTTTAGTGACTAAAGTTCACTAATACCCTAGACTACAAATCATCTAACTGGCTCGTCTAGGGCAGCTATGGCTAATAATTTATTTATTTAGAAAGGTTTACCAACGTTATGTTACAATCTTACATGCTAAATAGATCATTAATTCTAAAAAGAAAACAAGATAACTGCAACTAAACAATTTTTTGTTACACAGAAGGACAATAATATTTTATATATAACTAAACATCCAAGTTTTATACATCTCAACTTTAAAATTAATTTAAATTTATGATATACTAATGATTAGCTACTACAATAACAATAAAAACTAAGCTGTAAGTTTTTGGGTGAAATACAGAAAATATCAATTTTATCACTATAGTTATTAAGGAGTTTACTAAGCCTAAAAATAGGGGAATTTGAAGCAAAAACAGTTCTACGGAAGGAGGTTGAAAGGGGAGTTATGGGCTTTCTTGGGTATCTAAGGGGAACGCGAAATTTAATTTTTTAAATTGGGGACAATCGATTTTATTGTTTAGCATTTTAAAGAGAAAGGTTAAGTCTAAAATTTTACGACGTTTATCTAGAGCCTCCGCCAACAAATGTTAAATGCCAGAGGAATCGTTTTTGAATTCTAAATTTGAATAATCAACGGGTCGTGGGTTTGATCGCCGGCGTGCCCAACATGTTTCCAATTTTTCTTAAAATCTCGTCAGATATTTATTATCTGTTGACGGTGGTTCGTAAAGCATAATCGCTTTTCGACTTTAGTCTGTGGATTTCCGAATATTCAAAGCCAAAAAAAAAACAGCGAATCTGGCTTAGATGTTTAATGGCTGGGGTATTATACCTCCCAATCTAGTAAACCATGCTTGTCTGTTCACCTCCATGATTAAAAAAAAGGTCCCAGGGACGAGCTAATTGTCTGTATAGTGCATTTTTTCTTACTAGGCAAATGCTCACAGCAGATATGGCCGATTTCAAAAAGTGATGTCCTTTATAGAGTGAAGTTGTTTCCACAGATAACATAAAGATAGAGAATCATCGATTCTATGTGGACCAAACGATCTCAATATTCAAAATCACTGTCATGGTTACATTTTTTAGCTCGACGTTTGTATCGTTTTTCAACGATCGAGCGTGAGCGGGACTTCTACCTTCTATTGTCGTTTACTTTGCTTACATTCCAAAAGAATGTCTCCCCTGACCTGACCACGGTTGCTGCAAAGCATCCGAAACGTCGGGCCGAAGTTAAAAATAATTTTCAAATAAGTTTAACTAATATATCGCGTTTTAAACCTTTAAAGTGTTTTATTTAAATGTGTACTACTCGCGTAAACTATAGACAGTATTCCAAAAGAAATTTAAATTTGCCCATTTACGTACATAAATTTATAGGATTTTTATGAATTTATGAAAAATGACAAAATATCTATAGATTTCTTTTAACGTTTTACAATGAGAAGTATAACTAATTTTAAATTGTATATTGGCGTATATATTTGGGTATAGAGTTAAGAGTGGTTTATGTAATACAATTTTGTCATTTTTAAATTGGTTAAAATGCTTAAATTATTACTATTATTGCAGGTATATGAAAGAGATAAATAATTTAGATATATTTATTTCGATAACATGCAATTCTTATAAATAACACTTACACGAAGAACTGATGAAAATCTCATGAATCTGACAACTTAAAATGTTGTAGGGTTCCATAAAAACTCAATCGTATTTCAACAATTTGAATACAGTAAATAACGAGTTAAGATATCACCAGGTCAGTTATTAATATGGCATTGTTGCTATCTGTCCTTATCCTTTATACACGATCGTGGGAAAGAGACAACGCGACAACGTCTATGACATTGAAATAAAATACATTAACGGTTTAAACTTATTCATTATTGACGGCTGCTGTAAAGCATCCGAAAAGTCTGACTTGAGTTAAAATTGTTTTGACTAATATATTTCGCCTTTAAAACCGTTAAAGTGTTTCATTTAAATGTGTAATACTCCATTAAGCTACTCTAAAAGCCGTCTCAGCGTATAAAACGCCATGTTCGTTCTCCACTTTGCATCCGTAGTATCCCTTGTTCTTTTCCTCGGCGGCTTTGATGGTCAAATCGGAGGTGGTGAGGTTTCCCTTCGTGTTCTCAACGATTATGAAGTGACTGTCCGCGGTCAACGGCTCCGCGTTGTATGTCCAGGTTATTTTCGGGGCTGGTACAGCTTCGGCGCTGCAGTGGAAAGTGAAGTCCAGACCGGGGGCGACGTTGGCCACTGTTGGCGGCATCTTTACGGCGTGGGGTGCGGCTGGAAACACATTTTTATCAGAACTGGCTGACTCGGAAAACGTTTTATAAAATAAGTTTATTTTCGATTTTTAAATTAAAATAAGTTATTTCTAGGGACTGTATAGTGTGTAAGAATCTGGTATCATAGCAAATATACATAATGAGAGCGAAGAAACTGGGTGATTTGGAAAAAACGGTTCAAGATAACAAAAGAATTAAAAAAAATAGCCTTGTGCTTACTTTTAGTTACAACAAAAACTGAGTGGTTTCCCTCCATAGACATCTAATTTAGAAATATTGTACTTTTGTCATAATTTGTCTGTGGAATAAATGTTTTTTTTTACGATAGACGAGAACAGTCAAGCATGGAGTTCAATCGTTGGTGGTGAAATACCCAAGCCTACAGCATCTAAGCAAGATGCGCTGTCGTCCTATTTGGGCTTCGGATATTTGGAAATCCACACACTGTAACCGAAACGCAATTAAGCTTTACGGCTTTTTCATCTGTAGTAGTCTGTGCTCCGGGCTGAATATCGATATACCTACCTCCTACCTATTCAATATTTAGATTTCTAAAAGTCCAACATGATTCATAAAAATTATAAATCGAAAAATTAGTAACATGATTAACAACATTTAAATAAAACACTTCAACGGTTTAAAACGCGATATATTAGTTAAACTTATTTGAAAATGATTTTTAACTTCGGCCCGACGTTTCGGATGCTTTGCAGCAGCCGTGGTCACGGGTGCTGCAAAGCATCAAGCAAAGCTGCAAGTTTAACTAATATATCGCGTTTTAAACCGTTAAAGTGTTTTATTTAAATGTGTACTAGTCGCGTAAACTATAGACAGTATATGATTAACAACATTAGCCACACATTGCTACTATTAGACCAACGTGCCCGTCAACGTTGGAAAGTTAAACGCTCTTATCAGTAATGCTCTTGCGCATCTACTTACCGACAACAGTGAGTTTCATGGTGTGTTCTTTAGGTTTTCCGACTTTGTTGCTCGAGACACATTTGTATGTCCCTGCGTCTGTGACGTATGTGTCACGGATCAGGAGACGTTTACCCTTACTCCTGTTGTAGACGGTCACCCGATCTCCTGGTTTGCTGTTTATTATCTCACCATCCTTGTAATAGTCTTGGTAGGCTTGTGGGCTGAAAGTGGGTTTTTTATGATATCGGAGACAAGCACGAGGTTCACTTGATGGTATGGCGATCATGAGATGTGCTCTCGACTTATTTTTGATATTCGGAAATCCACACAAACTGAAACGCGATTAAACTCGTAGGCTTTTTATCTGTGGACGGTGGTTAGCCCGGACGGAATTTTGGATAACCCAATCACCCGTGTCTCCCCGTGACCACCGCTGCTGCAAAGCATCCGAAACGTCGGGCCGAAGTTAAAAATCATTTTCAAATAAGTTTAACTAATATATCGCGTTTATACCGTTAAAGTGTTTTATTTAAATTTTATGTTACTTAGAGCATTTATCGAGGAAGGCTATAGGTTGTAAAACATTGCCGTATGACTAATACAAGTGAAGACACAGCGAGAAATGTGAAAAAAATTCGCAGAATTATTCATAATTATGGGTTTCCGAGGCGTACATTGCAAAAACGGTTCAAGATACCAAAAAAGTATGTATGGGAGAATGATTCCTCTTTAAATGATATTAAAAAAGTCCGCGACACTATATGTCTATCTTTTAAGATTAACTTGACAGAACGATGGGAATGGACGCGACGGACGTCGCTCAAGTTAATAAAGATTGTGAGAAGGTTTGCAAACACAAATTTAGCTGTCCAAAATTACGATTGTCGCGGGCGAAGTCGCAGATACAGCTAGTTATCAATCGTATGTAACAATTACTTTGTAAATATTTTTATATATTTACAAAATGTATGTAATTCGTTACTATGTATTTGCAATAATCGTTAATTTTTACAACGCGTGAAATGTTAACAATTTTCCCGCGTCGCGTACGCAAATGGTAAATAGAGTTATTGATAAGCAAAGTATGTTTATGATTGAGGAAAATTTTGCTACTTATAACAAGACCATATCAATGTATGGATATTAGACGAGGGATCGTGCATTCGATTCCCACCGGGGACAACAAATTTTTAAATTAGTAAAAAAACGTGACTGTTTAAAACGCGAAATATATTAGTTAACACAATTATATAAATTAATAAGTAAACTAATAATTATATTTCTTTATATATAATGAGTTCTATTTCGCGTTTACAACCGTTAAGAGTGTTTTTATACTGATTTAAAAGCGTTGCTATACATGTTTTAAAAAATAAGAACCTGTTTTAAAGTAGGTACTTTACGAAAGTAGTACACATTTAGATAAACGGATTTAAACGCGAAATGTATCATTTAACCTTATTCACAAATTATTTTAACTAAATTTGAGATACTTCGCAACAGCCGTGGTCAAGTGAGGACTTACTTGGTTTAACTACTACATACATTTCGCATTTCAAACCGTTAAAAGTGTTTTATTTAATTGTGTACTACTCGCGTAAACTACAGACATTACTTCATATTGTTATTATCTATATATACATATATATATATATATATCTCCTCTCCTCTCCTCCTTCCATCATCATCTTTATCAGTCCAGGGTCATATGATTACCATAAGTTACCCGAAAGAAGTGTTTTAATTATTTTTTAAATTAACCGTTAACCGGTACTCAAAAATTAATATGAACTCACAATCCACCGAAGATGCAATAAATGAACGTCCTGTCACCAACTTTCACGGTCATGTCCTTGCTGGTATACATTTCTTGGATTTCACCGTCCTTCTTGTCGTTCGGCTGGACCTCCTCAATTACGTATTCAGCGAGAGACAAGTCCTTGGATGAAGCTGGTGTCCTCGCCACGCAGACGTATTTGAAGTTCCTGTTCGCGTCTTCCTTGGCGACACTTGTTATGTATAGGGAACCTGTGGAAAAATTTTCGTCAAGACTCAGATCTCGTAAATATCTTGTCTTCGACTCAATGTGACGATGTTTGGCCGATTTTTGTTACTGATTTGAACTCGTCGCCTTGGATAACTTATGTATTATTATTATTTTCATATAAGTATTAATAATGAAACGTTATGTATACCTGACGCGAGTATTACCCATTTAAATAAAACACTTTTAACGGTTTAATACGCGAAATATAAAAGTTAACTTATTCTTAATTTAATGTATTTATATTGCACGGTCACGACGACCACTGCTGCAAACAAATGGAAACATCTGGCAATTGAGAATAAGTTAACAAATATAATTCGCGTTTTAAACCGTTAAAAGTGTTTTATTCCAATATTGATCCTTTTGATAGTTACGGGTCGTAGTTAAATTGAGAATAAGTTTACTAATATATTTCGCTTTTTAAACCACTAAAAGTGTCACGAATATTTTTCAGTTACCTTCAGGCGAGAACGTCATCCTTGCGTCCAGAACCTCGCTGGAAATCTCCGGATCACCAACAGACTGGTACCTCCAGGTGATATTGGGTTTTGGGTAAGCATCTGGAATGTTACACTCCAATTTCAACGGCTTAGCCTCCACTGGCTTCAGCTCTTTCAGAACCGCTGGCTTTGCGTTGATGTACGCTCGCTTCACGTGGATAACGCCCGTGGACGCTTTGCCAAGTTCCGTGGTGGCGAAGCACTGGTATTCACCGGCGTCCTCGGCCTTCGGTCTGAGGAAGACGAGGGTGCCTTCTTCGTGTCGCTGGACGACTTCCAAGTCCTCGACAGCTAGGGGCTTTCCGTTTTTGTGCCATGTGTATCTGGAATTGAATTTTCAGTCTTTAAGCTATCTATACTAACATATGAAGCTGAAGAGTTTATTTGTTTCAACGGGGTAATCTCAGAAAATACTGGTTCGAATTGAATTTATTTGTATTGGTAAAAGCATTTATCGAGGAAGGCTATAAAACATCAGGCTGCGACCAATAGAGGCGACGAAACACAGGGAAATGTGGAGAAAACGGGAAAATTGTTCATTTTCGTAGGTTTCCGTTGCGTGCCCTGCGAAAACGGTTCGAGATACCCATAAACTATGAGTAAAAGAATGATTCCTCTTTAAATAATCTAAAATATGACTTCGATAAATATGTCTATCTTTTAAGATTATCTTGCAAGATCGATGGGATGCGGATGACGTCGTGGGAAACAGCTATCCTTACTAATATTATAAATGTGACAGTAACTCTGTCTGTCTGTCTGTCTGTTGCTCTTTCACGCCATAACTACTGAACGGATTTAAATGAAATTTGGTATACAGATGGTCTAGACCCCGAGAAAGGACATAGGCTACTTTATATTGGGAAAAGGGGGTTGTAAGGGGTAAAAAGTTGTATGGAAATTCGTAGTTTATTGAAGCTAAAACAATAAAACTTTTTTCTTTGATGTATCGGGAAAATGATTGGAAGTGAGAGTGAATGTAGGAATGAATATGGAAGTTAGAGCAGGAGTGATGTGAGGTGAGAGTGTTGCGGCAAAGTAGCACTTACAATAGATTGGCTGCCTTAAATGCGCCCGTACATAAATTAATAAACCCCCCAGTCACTATTCCACGCGGACGTAGTCGCGGGCACAGCTAGTAATTTATAAAGATGAGGCTTGTAAAAACAAATTTTGATTCCCCAATAACGATTCCACGCGAAGTCGTGGGCGCAGCTAGTATATGACTTCTAGTTACTTACTTGACCCCAGGAACATTCCCGAGAACAACACACTCCAAGAGAAATGGTTTGCTTGGTTCACTGACGCGGTATAAAACCTCTTTTCGTGTCTCTTTCAACACGGGAAACTTATTAGGGTTATTATTTTTAGTTGGCAATCCATAACCTGTAAAAGAAGAAAAGGTTACACTGGTAGGTAGCCAAACACGGGGTTCCCTTGATGGAAGGTAGCAATGTATAAAAATAATCAACAGGTAGATACTGCCTATAGTTTACGCGAGTAGTACACATTTAAATAAACACTTTAACGGTTTAAAACGCGATATCTTAGTTAAACTTATTTGAAAATGATTTTTAACTTCGGCCCGACGTTTCGGATGCTTCGCTGCAGCAGTTGTGGTCACGGGGGTCGTCGGGCCGATGTTAAAAATAATTTTCAAATAAGTTTAACTAAGATATCGCGTTTTAAACCGTCAAAGTGCCCACCGGGTCCAACGTGTTTCTGTTAAAATTACAATTTTTCTTAAAAATGCCGGACTTGAAAATCTGTGGGCATATCGAAATTCCATACGTGTCCCACCACCATGACCACTGGAAAAAGCCGTGAAGTTTAATTTCGTTACGGTTTCAATCTGTATATTTCCGAATATCCAAAGCCAAAATACGTCGATATTTCACCAACTATCAATGTTTGTTTACCCTTCTCTAGACAATTTATAAATTTACTAAGCCGTTTGGATTCATAAATGTTAAAAATTATACATAATATCTTATCGACATAACATATATATTATGTTGATAAGAATTGCAATATGCAACAACAATTTTTAACACAACTAAAGTGAAATTCCACATAACAAAACAATAAATCAATTTTAATTCTCCCGGTATTCAAACCTAAGATGTCACGACTTTAACAATAAGCTATTGTATGATGATGCATAAATAAAGTTACATTTCTTGTTTATACCGGTAGTACACATTAAATAAAACACTTTTGAACGGTTTAAATTGAGTAAAATATTACGCTTAAAGCATTATCATTTTACGTATACTAAAAAAGCTATTTAAAATTTAAATAAAACATGACACAAGCGAGACTCAATCGCACTTCTAGCGACTACGAATGTTGTGGCCTTAGGTTCGAGTCCTGCCCTTGTCATCAAATTTTTACAAATAAAATAGATTTTGTTCGCTAAAAAACTAGTTTGCTAATTTTAATTCCGATAAAATGCTACGTGTTCATTTAATTAATTAGTATAATCGCGTTTTAAACAGTTAAAAAGTGTTTATTTAACATCATTAAATTTACCAAAATATTTTGTACTACTCACACAAAGAAGCCGCCAGCAAAACTCCAAACGTCAGTTTCCACATCTTTCCAACTAAAACAAATGAAAAAAAATCGCTCAAATCAGGCCACAAACGAACGAAACTTAAAGAAAAAAAAAACAAATAATAATATTTTTCACATGCCATGATAGATGATGCCACTATATAAATTAAAAATCGATTATAAATTAAAAAAAAAAAACAGCCCCGGTATCTCAATTGGTTAACGCAACGGCACATAACGCTGTCGATGCCGGTCAAATCTTGCCGAGTCGTAATTTTTCGTTTTATAATCGATTTTCAATTCAAATAATAATATTTATCAATTATATAAACAGGAAATAATTTGTCCGCTATTGGCCTGCGACGCTATGGAGAGTGGCTTCTAATATTATAAATACACACCTTTCCTTTGGCTTGCTGAGAAATACAATGCTGTATGAGGCGCGACGCCGTATTTATATGGGCCATCAATCTCCATAGTGAAGTACCGCGATTTACCTAAAGCTCTGTTTCAGGTGACACATACATGGCATATTTACCTGATATAAGGCCGGCTACACACAATTTCACCTTTTCCTCATTGGCTAAATTAATTTAATTTAAAATCTACACCTATACTAATATAAAGCTGAAGGGTTTGTTTGTTTGAACCCGCTAATCTCAAGAAATACGGGTTCGAATTGTAAAATTATTATTGTGTTGGTTAGATCATTTAAATAAAACACTTTAACGGTTTAAAACGCGTTATATTAGGTAAACTTATTTTCAAAGTGTACTATAGACAGCATTCGGTTAGAGCATTCATCAAGGAAGGCCATAAGCTATAAACCATCGCATTGCAACTAACGACAACGAAAAGACAGCGGGAAAAGTGAAAAAAAATGAAAAAATTCTTCGTCACTGCTGTGTCAGCGACTTCGTCTGCGTAGAATAGTTATTTTTGGCATCAAAATGTGTTTTTGCTAAACTGCTCGTCTTTATAAATTTAGTTATCCACGAAATCGTCAGCGTCCCGTCATTCTTGCAAGTCAATCTTTTTTAGATCATTTAAAGAGGAATTATTCTTTCATACATAAACCTTGGGTATTTTGAACCGTAATCGCAACTCACGCAACGGAATCCTTCAAAAATGAATGATTTCCCTCGTTTTTTCCACATTTCCCACTGTATCACTTACTGGCTGCAGTGTGATGATCTATAGCCTAAAGCCTTCTTCCATAAACCAACCAACACGAAAATAATTTTTCAATTCCTAACAGTACTTTCCGAGATTAGCACGTTCATACAAACAAACAAAGAAACTCTTTAGCTTTATACTAGTGATGCAACGGATAGTTGTTTGGCCCGATACCGAATACCGGATATTCGGCCTCACGACTGGCCGAATATCCGTTATCCGGCCGCCGAATATTCGGCCAGCCAAACGATACCTATGTATATTTTAGATTGGCGGCGCGCGCGTCGTGCAAGTTTCACCCTGTTACGTATTGTTCTCTCTTTTTATTTATATGGCAACTCTTATTTTATCTGATTAAAAATTAACATACGATACGCTACCATTGGTTGAATGGATTTTGACAAGTTTAAATTGTACGTTAAAACTAATAAACGAATGAAAACTTTATTAATTTTTACATGTTATTGCACATGAAGGCACTATATAATTTAAAAATCTAAAATAAATTGAAAAAATTTTCGACTCGGGCAGGAATTGAACCATCAGCGTTCCGTGCTGTTCGACGATTTTTTAAGCTGCAAATCATAAGTTGTCGAACCTTAATACCCAAGTGTTAAGGTTGAAATTACATTGCTCGAGAGGTGCATGTATCAATAAGTTGAAAAAAATCGACATTGAGGTGTAGGACTTGGTAGCTCAATTGGTAGAGCAACAGCACGGAACGCTAACGATGCCCGTTAAAGTCTTGCCCGAGTCGAATTTTTTTCAATTTATTTTCGATTTTTAAACTAATAAACGAATATTGGTAATTTATCAAGTATCAACAAATTATCAATTTTTGTAGTATGCATACTAACGTTTTTCAAAGTTAAATAGCAAACAGAATCACTATTCGGTATCCGGCCGGATAGTGCGCAACTATCCGGTATTCGGCCGGATAGTAAAATAATGGCCGGATAGGCCGGATACCGAATAGTAACCGGATATCCGTTGCATCTCTACTTTATACATTAGCATAGGTGTAGATTTTAAATTAAATTGATGTAGACAATGAGGAAAAAAGTGAAATAGCCATCACCAGCCTCACCATCAGGTAAATATACAATGTATGTGTCACCTGAAGAAGAGCTTTGCATCTTTCCATCAAGAGAGCCCCATGCTCCTCTATCTTTCAAAAAAACTATATTTATTTAATTTCTCATAGTGTATATGCAGCCTTAGTTATGTACGTACATAAGACAGAATGCATATTACATTATTAGGAAAATTCAATTAATATCTTTCTTTACTGTCATTGTTAGTTCATATTAGTCATTTTCCGATGAGGAAAAGTGTTGTACGGTATGCTTTGAATAATGAAAAATGTTTTAATCAAATTCGATTTATCACTTTGTAACTTTTTACTTTTAAATAAAACACTTTAACGGTTTAAAACGCGATATATTAGTTAAACTTATTTGAATATCAAAGCCGTGGTCACGGCTGCTGCAAAGCATCCGAAACGTCGGGCCGAAGTTAAAAATTATTTTCAAATAAGTTTAACTAATATATCGCGTTTTAAACCGTTAAAGTGTTTTATTTAAATGTATACTACTCGCGTAAACTATAGCCAGTATTTAACTTTTTACATTCTAAATAAATCACTTCTAACGGTTTAAAACGTAATCTATGAAAACTTTAATATATTTTACATGTTGCACAATGGCACTCTTCATCATGAGTCAACTCGGTAGCTCAATTGGTTATATCAACAGCACGAAACGCAGTCGATGCCGGTTCAAGTCCTGCCGAAGTCGGTCTTTTTGTTTATTTTCGATTTTTAATCTATACTTATATGATCATCCGAAGAGTTTGTTTGTGTGAACGCGCTAATCTCGGGAACTACTGGTTCGAATTGAAAAAATCTTTTAGTGTTGTTTGGAACATGTATCGAGAAAGGCTTCATTTAGGCTAGAAAATATCACGCTGGGGCAAATGGGAGCGAACAAACAGTGGGAAATGTGGAAAAATCTGAGGAAATTAGTCATCACTGAAGGTGTTCGTTGTTCAAGATGCCCAAAAAAACATGTATAATTTTTTTAATTCGAACCAGTAGTTTCCGAGATTAACGCGTTCTAACAAACAAACTTTATAATGTTAGTATAGGTAGATTCCAATAAACCATATTTTTATATCAATAATGGCGCTAATGTATGATGTCATAAGTTAAATTTTATGTTTTGTAAATATTGTTTGTAATTTAGCGAGTAGAACACATTTAAATGAAACACTTTTAACGGATTAAAACGCGACATATATAGTCGTGCAAAGAAGGAATCCCAAACACATCTGCTGCAAAGCATCCTAAACGTCGGGCCCCAGATAAATTGTGAATAAGTTAAATGATATATTTCGTGTTCTAAACCGTTAAAAATAGTTTATTATTTACGTTAAGCGGCTTCAGAAATATTGAGTTTGTGAAAATTTCAATTCTCTATGTTCTAGCTACCGCGCTTTTAAAACAAACAGACATACAAGGCTCCGCTTTGACTGTACAACAATTATCACATCTTTCCCTTGAACGGGATTCACCGCAAAAACAAAGCGATTATAAGGAAAGTGTTCGTTTTCCTTAAACGTGCGCAAGATGGCTCCATAGTTGGTGATCTTTTTTATGGAATACTTTAAGCAAAACGATTTTAACGGTATAAAACGCGAAATATTTTAGTTACCGCCCGCGACAATGTATACGACCTGTTCATACATACAAGGCATCAGGTCGTCAGGGCGTTGTTAATTTTTTTTTTACTAATATTGATAGTTAATCATTTGCATTAAACTCTTTAACGGTTTAAAACGCGATATAAGGAACGATAACAACAAGTTTAATTAAGACATTTCGCGTTTTAACCCGTTTAGGTGATTTATTTCAATGTCCATTACTTGCGTGAACTACACAACAGTATTTAGTAATTTATCATTTGAACCCGTTAAAACTGTTTTATTTCAATTTCTAAGGAAATGTACTTGAGTAATACCACTCAACGATTTGTAATTGTATCATAGTTGATAACATTACTGAACTCGACTGTTTCTATGTTAAATCTAATCTATTCAAAATACTTAGTTTGTTTATTTAAACAATTTTCCTTATGCACTATTAATTTTCACTAAAGCGGTGGTATCAGTGGCGAAGCTATCGTAGGGTCAGTTGGTGCAGTGCACCAGGGCCCCGGAGCTTGGGGATTTTTGTTTGCTTTTAAATGAACATACTTATATTTTTGGGGCCCTATATAAGTTCAAGCGACCCTGCAAGAGGCGGGTGAGGGTCCATTTTTCCTTTAATACCGAGGCCCTTGTTTACTTAGCTCACTGGGTGTTATGTGACGTAATCAGATCATGTATTTTACAAATAAAAAAAAAACATAATACATATAGAGCCAGAGTGGCCTAATAACAAAAAAAAATGCGAAATTAACTTAGGCGAATATGCATTCGTACAATTTTGTTTTTAAAAACCTCCTCATCTTTATAAAAAAATCTATATCTATAATATATAAAGGTGAAGAGTCTGTTTGTGTGAACGCGCTAATCTCAGGAACGAATTGAAAAAACTTTTTGCGTTGGTAAGAGCATTTATCGGGGAAGGCTGTTATAGGCTATAGTATCGCGCTGTGACTAATAGAAGCGAAGATACAGCGGGAAATGTGAACAAACTGGATAAAATTGTTCATCTCTGTGGGTTTCAAATGCGTACGCTGCGAAAAACAAAAAATATATAATTATAGAATGATTCCTCTTTAAATGATCTAAAAAAAATGTCCACGACCCTATATGACTATCTTTTAAGATTAACTTGCAAGAACGACGGGACGCGACCCATGTCGTGGGCAGCTTACATTATAAAGACGTAGAGGTTTGCAAAAACAAATTTGGATGCCCAAATTAACTATTCTACGCAGACGAAGTCGCTGACACAGCTAGTACTAATATAAAAGCTGGAGAGTTCAGATGTAGTCCAACATCCAAGCTAAGTATGGGTGATTCAAAAAGGTCGATTCTAAGATGTTCGAAAAACTTAAAGCAAAGTATTGCGACGTATATCTATAATTGTTTTAGTTTAGTTCCACAGTAATTCCAGTTTAAATTGTTTTTAATGTAATTTAACTACGGCCCGACATTTCGGATGCTTTGCAACAGATATCACAGGGTTCATAACTGTATTTCGTTTTAAACCGCCTAAAATTCTTTTTAAATGTATTTGACCAAAGGTATGTAAATGAAATAAGTTCAACGACTTTGATCTATATTGTATTGTTTATAATTACAACACGACATCACGGATTAAAGTGTGCGAAACGTCGGGTTATAGTTAAAAATAAGTTCAATCATATTATCGCGTTTTAAACCGTTAAAATGAATGTATTTAACGTTTGATATTTTTATCTTTTTGAATGTCATGTGAATTAAATTAAACAAATAATTATTGATTTATATAATTTCTTTATTAATATTGCATTACTTATTATGTACACAGTTAGTAATAAAAACTTTTGGATTTATAATTGGAGTAAATTTCTAAGTCAAACCTCATTTAAAGAATATTACACATTTATTATATTTTACATAAAGAAAATTGGATAACCCACCACGCCCCCACTATTGCACACTTTGTTGCAAGGATATACAAATTACATCGATAATCCCTTTTTTTCAAGTCGGTTAATACTTTAACATAACTAACATCATAATGTCTTTTATTCGAGTCAGTGCAAATATTTATAGCTTAAAATATACACCTAATAGATAATACTAACATATAAAAGTATAATATAATACTTTTAAATAAAACACTTTTAACAGATTAAACCGTGAAATATAGTAGCAAACTTATTTACAATGAATTTTAAATACGACCCGACGTTTAAAACCCCTAAGTGTTTTATTGAAATGGGTACTACTCGCATTAAATACAAAGTTTTCAGATACAATGTTTGTTTAAATTTTTTAGTTATCGATCCTAGCAAATGTTTGATAGTTTTCCATTTTTAGGGTTCCGTAACCGAATAGCTAGATAGTTGACATTTTAAAAATAATAATATTTATATAACAAGTAATAAAAACAAATATTTTGGCGACTTCCATAGAATTACCTAGATTTTTTAACTTAATATAAAAAACGGTAGTAAAGTGTGGCTAATAATCACGGGGTCGTGGATTCAATTCCTACGTGCGACGTGTTTTTAAACAATTATTTTTCTGAAAATTTGTTGGATTTCGTATGGAAAATATGGATTTTAAACATGGAGTAGGAATGTTCAAAATGCCGTCAAACATTTTCCGAATTTCCCAATATCCAAAGCCAAAATTGAAAATGGGTCGACCGCGCATCTTGTTTAAAAATGGGTATTCCACCTTCTATCAAGTGAACCCAGTGCTTGCCTGTGCACCTCTATCATAAAAAAAATGATTTTATTTACCTAATTAATGGTACGGAACCCTTCGTGCAAATCCGACTCCAACTTGGACGTTTTTATATTGTTTTAAATAAACATACTCATAACAAAAATCAATATGTACATAAATCATACTATGAAATAAACATATATCAAATGAAAGAAGTATTTGAGATTTATTCTATCGTAGTTATTTCATTTTAAATTATATCTTTGATTTTGCTCCGAATTTAAGGGAGGGTAGTCTGTACAAAAATGGTGCTCTACAATAGATTTCCAATGTTGTTAATTCCGAAAAAATAATGCCTAAGTTTGATTTTGGTTTCTTGTTTACGATGTGTCTGTAAAATAAAAAACAACATTTTTATCTTAATAAATAATTTATAAGAAACTCCACAGGAAACATTTGAAAAATGTTTTGCCAAACTACCTTCCGTGTTACTCCGAGTTCAGACCTCTAAATCCAGCCCAGTATATACTTAGTTATATGTTAACATTTTACTTTTATACCACTTTTTGATTGATTGCATACATCGACTATTAATATAAGTTTTTTGTCATTATATTAGTCATTTTACAGATTCATTTAAGCACAGATCTTAGGAACACATAACCTATAAATATATTAAGTTTGTGACATAATTAATACATAATTTTCATTTTTCTGAAGTTTGTGCATCGTTCGACACCTTTAGGAACATTATAAGTGGTGACACCTGTATTTAATATACAGGTGTGTTGCTATCTTCGCTTAGTGAAAGCTAAACATTTGACAATGTCATCCACACGTAACGGCGAGACTTCAAAAACCACTGCTTAAGTCAAACAGTTTAAAGTCCAAGTAACTTTGCAAAATGACTTCCAAAAAAATGCTATTACATGATACGGTTTTCTAGATTCTAATCTTTGTAACTATGAATTGAATGATATTGTGTTAATATTTATTTAAATAAAATTGATAGAATCCAGCAAAGTACCATATTACTCTTACCAACTGAGCAGTGCTAACACTTAGTAACACCTATACATAAAGATTCGTTCACATAGCAGCCTCCCTCCCCTCAACCGCAGACGACAGCGCCTGTCTATCCCGCTTATTCTCGCACGCACAAGTGATCAACGCTATCAAATGCTTATTCGAATACTCCACCCGGTCCCTGACGAACTCCTCCAACTCGTTTCTGGGTAAATAGTACGCTTTGACATACCTATCCACATAATCCTGGTAGGGGATCGGTTTGAGCCCTGATATCTTTTCCAACTTCACGAACAACTGCCTGTAATCGAGTTGCATGAGGCCCCTACCACCGTTAGAACACTTCGAGGCGTTCGAGAACCCCTCCACAAGAAGATGAACGATGAACTTCGCTACCATACCCCAAACTGCGTTTACAATATCCACGTTCAGCGTGATCTTCTGCGATATATTCTCCAAGCGCAGCGCAAAGACCTGTATTTTGCGGACAATCATGTCGACGTACGCGCTGTGCTCTTCGGCGACTGTTTTTACATCCCACCTGACTTGCGACATGGCTATCAACGCTGAGCGAGCGTCTAACGCCTTCGACGCAGACGCCATGTAGACCGGCATCCGAAGATCTCCAACTACCGCCAGTGTGTTATCTCGGAAGTGCTCCAGAATCATCCGCTGGTGTTGGGCCACTATCGACTCCAGGTATGGTTGGAGTATTTCAAACTGCTTGGCTAGGAACACTATGCTCTCAACGCCAACTATCCGCTCGCTCAAACCGTGCAAATTCGCTTCCGTCTTCTCTAGGTGCTCCGGTATACTCGGACTGGAGAAGCTGTCTTCGATATTGGATATTCTTTTTAGTAAGAGATTCAATTTTGATGTATACAATGTACTAGATGCGACGTCTAGATCCGACGTGAAAAACAAATGAACTGTGAAAAAATAGTAGTCAAATAGCTGATTCATAAGCATTATGACTTCAAGAGCGATTTGCGGGAGATATCTGGTTATCTGTAAATACTGTCCACAGTTTCTCAAAACAGATAGAGTAGTGTTCGTCACAATTACGCTATGAGCGACTTTTGACGGACTATTTTGGACGTCCGCGTCGTCGACAAAGTCTCGCTTCAACTCTTCCGGTTCATCATCGGACTCTTCGCTTACTTCTGACTCGGGTTCGAGGCCAAATATATCATCATTCGTTACATTTTCATTACGAAACATCTCAAACGGTGTGCGGGTAGTTTCATTGAAATATTTGGAAATATACACGCTATTGTCTAAAGAGTGGACCGACGACGACGATTGAGAACTAGTGCCTATATCATTCTTTGGTTTAAAATACCGTTTAAATTGCTTAAACTCTTGTAGATTTAGTAGTGTAAATGTGGATTTCACTGGACACTGTTCCCATCCTTCATTCTCAAGGAACAACTTTAGTTCCTCCATGCGACCTTTATGGTAATTCTTGATATAGGAGACGCTCTGCGTCTTTATAAAGTCTCGTAAAAGGTCAGAGGTGTCGCCGCAAAACACCTCCGCCACTTGAGTCAACTTCCTCAGGATACCGAGCATCTGTATAAACTTTTCAAAAGGATATTCCTCCAGACCCAAGCTTTTGAGAAACGTAGACACCTTGCCCTGCACATCATTCCATATACGAATTAAGCCTCCTTTTAACTTCTGTTTTATATATTCACGGCTAACATTCTTCTCTATATCAAAAACATTAGTAACCATACTTGACTCCTCGTGCTTTGAATACCAATTCACCAGGAGGTAATAACTGCGCATAACCAGAAATAACTTTTCACATAAATTTAACAAACACAATGGTGCTTTAGTTGTGGGTACAGACCGGCAGAGCTCCTGGAACTTGGTTTCCATGGAAACGTTGTCAACAAATGGCTTTACCGCCTCAAAGGCTGATTCGTTGACTGCAGAGGAATAGTGCATATGAAGCTGTTCCATAGCAGCTTGAGTTTTACCTAATAGGTCATAGGCACTTTTAAGCTTTGCAAACACTATTGGATCGAAGTTGTAGCACATACTAGATAAGACAGAATCCAGTTTCTCCTCTGTCATATCCAGAGTATCTTGCAATCTCGACGCTAAATCAGCTATACATTTGTACTCTTTATTATTTGAAGCCGCCTTTTTGCTTTGCATTATAAGCTCGATAGCTTCAAAATACTGTTTCTTAGTAATCAACTCGGCTACATCTTTTTCGACACTACGGAGGCTCCTCAGCAAATCTAGTGACTTCAATACAGACTTAATGATCTGTCTCTTTCTAACATTAGCGAGGATGACAAAGGTAGATATAGTAAGGTGGTTGGAGGCGGATCGTAGTTTTTCGCGCGCTTTTTTGCAAGTGCTCAAAGTTTCGGATAACTGTTGCCTAATGTTTTGTATTTCGCCGAATTCTCGATCACAGTTGTCCCGTTGCTGGGATATTAAATGAAGGGCTTTACCGGAAACTACCTAGAAAAGAAGTCAAAATAAGTGAAGTGGTTAACTTATCAGATCGTTGGGTTGCAGTACAAAATGTATTGTGTTCATATATTTAGTGTGTTAAATCATTAAATATTATTTATATGTTTATTTAAATGTGTTTTACTAAAAGTATAGATCCAAGTACAGTACAGTACTAAATCAGATCTATTGGTTTTACATAACATAAATTTTACTGCATTTTATTATTCATGATATATACCACAAAGCAAAAATTATAAGAGATAAAGCCTTAAAAGTAACTTATAGATTACTTAATCTATCTATACTAATATATAAAGAGTTTGTTTCTTTGTTTATTTGTACACGCTAATCTCAGGAACTACGGTTGCAAATTGAAAAATTATTTTTGTGTTGGTTAGAACATTTATGGAGGAAGGCAACATCGGCCTGTGACTGATACGAGCTAAAAAAAATATAGCGAGAAATGTGAAAAAAATCGGGAAAATTATTCATCAATATGGGTTTCCGAGGCGTACGCTGCAAAAACAGTTCAAGATACCCAAAAAATATGTATGACAGAATGATTCCTCTTTAAATGATATAAAAAAAAGGCCCCAACGCTATATATGTCTATCTTTTCAGATTAACTTGTAAGAACGACGGGAAGGGTCGCGACCGAGTCGTGGGTAACAGCTTAAGTTTATAAAGCTAAAAAGAATTGGATGCCCAAAATAAATGTTCTTAGGGGACAAAGTTGCAGAAACAGCTAGTTAAATTATATAACGCTTGTATGTGTTTTTAAATTTGTATTAGGTACTAGTTCTAGTTTATTACTATATTTAATAGTTTCATAACTAAACATAACAAATTGGTGACTCTAACAAACCTAAAGTTATTGTAAATTTTATGTTTGAGTAAATTAACGATTTTATGGATCTTTTCCCTGTATCAATTTTTGTGTGTGATTATAATATGTTGTATTTATAATTCTGTCCCTTTTATCATCCAAGGCAGCAACAAATATTTTTATTGTAAATACAATTTTGAAACTTGTTACTCTATGTAACAATTACAAATTTGAGATAGAAATATGTTTGTCAATTTACAAACAGTAAAACAAAATGCATAATATGCATATTTACCTACCTGCTGCTGTCGTTTAAGCTTGGTAAACATCTGCTCAATCTCATCACAGTTTGTATACGATGGTACATGCTCCAGCGCGTAGCGCGCTGCATTGAACTCACTTGGAGGAGTAAAATAAACATTTTCTATTTCTTTCAACACCTGGAAAGAGCAAACAGTAATTTCTATTAAATATACAAATAAAATATACAAAATACATTATCTTTCTTATAAGTTATGTTAACTTAAAATTCTTTATTTTCTTTATTATTATTATTTGACAATATACTAAAAGTGAATTCCCATTCTCCCCTTGTGAACGCCCCTTGTCCCCTGGTGTTTAAGCCCAGAACCTGTCCCACTTAAAGCAATGCTAGGTAACATGTTTTGTCGGTGATAATAAACTAACAAGCCTAAAAAATTTAATAATTTGTAAGAACTGTCTACCAAAAAACTATTCTATACAGTGACCTATTTTTCAGTTGTCCTTAATCTTTTTTTTTTACTTTCTAATTTACCTCTAATTCAGCGGCAGATTGTGCTGCAGTTAAGGATCGGGAATTAACTCCTGGCGGACCATGGCGATTATCCATCTCTTCAGTTAGCATATTTACGCCTGAAATAAATGACAAATAGCATTTATAATTATTTACCACCACAATGCCTTTTTTGAAAACATTTATGTATAAAACAACTGTTGGCAAGTACTCTAGTAGCTCCATGAATTAAGTGTATTACCGTAATATTTAAAAATATTCCTTATGTATCATTAAACAATTTTTAATATTCATTTCAGACTATTTAATACTATTATCCAAAAGTTATGATTTCGTCTGCGTAAAGAAACATTTTCGACCCAACTTAGAATAAAATAAACTTGAATACGGTGACAACTGACAACGGCTAAATGTCAACTGTCAAACGATGGCGTCATACGTCAAGGTGTCAATAGTGTTGTTCAAAACCGGTCAATTTGTGACATTGAATTTTTCTTTTATTTACTACAAATTTTTGTATTTTTTTATTAAATTTTCAAATGAAATAGCTAATTATTTAGGCCTTTCAAATAACTGTTGAGGTAGGCACATTACTGTCTCGATCACTCCGTTCTTTTAAGAGTTTCCTCTATAAGTTCACTTTTCCAATATTTAAATAAGTCTCTCACCAACTCGTTGTGTGTACTTTTACTATGTAGCTTTGCCTATTTTTTATTATTCCTTACCTACCTACTAAATAAGTTATTTTCTATTTCTTTTCTCTTGTACTTCAGGTTGTCTGGAACTTACTTAGCGATAAGTCCGCCTTTATTTATAAGTTAGTACGTAAGATTTTTCATTATAAATATATAATTTCTGTGGTGTGTTTCTCTCTATGTGCTTCAAAAATTATTGTGTTGTCGTTATTCACAAAATGTAATTCATCAAACATCCTACTGCTACCGCTGACACACTCGTGCAATTCTTAATAGAGTATATTAGAAGAAAAATATTTTAGTATGCAGCATGCAGTGAAAGCTTCTTTGAACTAAAAAATATATAATGAGGGTAATTTTAGAATGAGATTTTTACAATTTAATTAATCAGACACTTCAACATGTATTTTTTCATAATTAAATAATTATTCTTAAATTAAGTTGAAACTAAGGTAACATTTATTTTAACAAGAAGAACAGTCAAATGTTAAAATGATAATCATACTAATCATCCCCGTCATTAATCAATGATTCTAATTACATTAAATTATACAATATTGTTCATTCCTAATTAATTCAACCTAATATACCCAAAGGGGGATAATTTACACATCTTCAAAAAGATTGTCTTATTAAGAGTTTAAGAGTAATAAGGTTAAGTAAGTAATCAAAGTCAAGTATACCCAGATGTATACCTAATTTTGATAGTAATAATTAATCCTCTTCCTTGTGATTTTTCAAATGTGTCTGAAGATGATACTGGGTCCTATATCTCTTGCCACAGACCTTACAAATGTGTTTCTGTCCATTATCGCTATGTACCCAGCGATAATGATTTTTTAAAACAGCAAAACTTCTCAATTTAGCTTTGCAAATATCACATTCTACTTTATTCTTAGTCGGTTGTTTACTTTTTTTATAATGAATAAACTCTGTATGCTTCTTCAAATATTCAACGCACATGAATTTCTTTAGACATAACTTGCACTGCACTTTATTTGGTGCGTGAACTTTTCTACAATGTGTTAACAGATAATGTTTCTTTACTTTAATAGAGCAATATTGGCAACTAACTAAATTATTATCTTGATGTTTATTTTTAATGTGTCTCCTTAAGTTTTCCTTGGATTTTATTTTAATTCCACAGTGATCACATGAATAATGCAGTTGCTGTTTCTGCGAATCATTTTGCTGTAGTGGCACCTCAATATTTAATTTATCCAATGGAATTGTTAAATGATCAATATTATGCACTAAATAAGAGTAACTGAAACCAAAATTATATATTAAACAAATAAAATAATATACTACCTATAATTTACTATTATTAAAGTTATAAATCTGATTAACGAAACTGTGTTCTTAATTATTAATTTAAGCAACGATTGAATAATAGCAGAATTTACAATATTATATACAAGGATAATTTAATTGTTTTATTTACATTTTTACCTGTTGGAAAACACTTTATTACATACAATACAGAGCCTCTTAGCCTCCTTGATAAGATCTTTGTAGTCAATTGATAAGTCCTCTGTTTTTATTTGGTAGTTTTCGTTCTCGAATACAAATTCCCCTTTCACATCCGCAATCCAAGCAGGTGGAAATTCTTCTAATCTCTCCTGTTTTATAAACTCTGCGAAATCCATAATTATTTTCTTTATCACGAAAATTTAAAACTCGTCATCCGTAATAGTTACGAAAAAATCGTAACTATTACGGATGAATGAAAATCGGTTGTAATCGAAAATAAATATAAAATCATTAAATTATTTTTGCTTAAAAATCTAAACTTGCGTATATTTAATTACTTCTTTAAATTAAAATAGCTTTTTAATCGATATATAAATAAAGACTATAGAATCTCACATCGTTCATAACATATTTGAGGACATCACTATTTCACTCCACTAGTCAGTGTCTGAGTACTTGACGTCATATGATGACTATTTATGAAGCGATTTTATTTAGTTTTCGTGAAGATTGAAAGGAAATATATTTATGTAATTAGTGAAATAAGAAAATGGAGACTGATTGGATGATAGAAGAACAGACGGCACCTAAGGTACGTTTCAGGACACGAAATTATATCGCTTACAGTCGTGACTTGAAAGTCTCCGCCATCTTTTAATTTTACACTCTGACCCAGCTTTGTAAAATTACAACTAGGTTTCTTGCAAGTAAAAACTCCGTCATCAGTACCTTCGAATTTAATTATATACTCTTACGATGTTATTAGTGATTTTTCAATTTACAAGTAAAATATTTATCTAAACATTGTTTCTTGTTTATAACCCAATTTCTCCAATAAATTGACCCTAATTTTTTAACAATACCTTAAGTATTCAGTAAGCTCTAAACATTATACTGTTTAAAAGGAAACGTCTTATTTCTAAAAAGCTGTACTCATACATGTAATGCAATGGCAATTGGCGAAAAATTTACGATTTTTACTGCCCAAAACGAAACTATTTTTTGTCGTCCAATAATATAAGTCATGACTGAACTTGTCTCACATTTTACCATTTAGGCAGTTCTTGGTGTACCATCATTTTTATGTTGCACCCTCTATGCAAAGAAAATCCAAATTCCTGTGCTTCTCTTTCAGCACAATCAGATAAAATATTATGGACAGTATTCATTGCATTTTACCAATAGTCTGATTAGTATTTTGGTCTGTCCATAAAAAAGCGTAATTTTGCCATTTGATAAATAAAGATTATTATTTTTACATCACAGATTGTCTGGATTTTTTATTCCTAAAGAATATAGATATAACAGTTCTAGAGAGATTCATCAAGTTAATGTGTAATGACAGCTGAAGCCAATAAATTAATAGGATTAACAAGCTTACTTTAATACATCACAAGATCCATCATGACTTCTGGAGATTAATTTATTAAGAAAAAGTGACACACAAGTAGCTCGTTATTTGAATTTTTTTTTTAAATTAGATAAAAGTATAAAAACCTGAATGAAGGAATGTTGTTGTATTCTCTTTGACATTCTATGAGTGATTAATATTCTACACCAAGGGGTTGATAGTGTTACTGGGTATTGGAGTAAAATACCTACCTGAAAATAATTGTTAAAATTTTGTGCTCATATTGTTTTTGTATTGTATATAATGTAATATAATTATGTAGTTATGGTGTAATTGACCGTCTCTGTAGCTAAGTGGTTAAATGCCTTACATTAGGTTACGCGCGAGAGGTTCTGGGTTCGAATACCAGGGCAACAAAAACATAATGTCTCAGTCGCACAGGGTACACAAGTCTGATTAGTTACTTGCCTGTTAAAGAACATATCAGTGAAACGGGCACAGAAATGTGCTCATTTTTTTTACTTTCACTGTCAGATTGGATTTTGTAATGTTCTGTAATGGCAGGATATATTTGTGTGTGTGGATATATTTGATACAAAAATGGGGTGAAGAGTTGCCACCAATTTTTTGCCAAATCGATTTAACAGTATCGGTTTAATACAACTAACAAGATTTTCTTATTTTTATACTGATTAGTTAAAACCTACAAATTTTGTCCATTCTCCATCAGACAATGCGTGAATCCCTTAAACCAATTGAATATTTATACTTATGTTGTCATCCATTACAGCAGGTGACGTCTCTAACGTCTTTGGATACCGGTGTAAAACCAGCACCGAGTGGGGCTGCCTATGTTGCTGAAAGAAACACTTGCCTAAACTACTTCTCAAAATGGAACGAAACCGATCAGGTATGACATGTCTTGCATGTTCTGTTATATGATAGAACAGGTGTGAGTTATGCACGAGAAGTTATAACATTTGCTGAAAATCTGATTAAGTACATAATGGAAAAATTAAAAAATATATAACTTATTGGGAACTTATATTTATAATCGTGACAATGGAAGGATGTAAATAAACTTTCTCGATGTTTCACCTTCACTAGTATCACAGGAAATGTTGAGGAGAAGCATTTCTCAATAAGATGGCTTTACCTTGGTAGGATAGATGTTTTGACTTTTATGAAACTGCTGATTGGATATTCATGAAACATATTAGCACTAAAACCTTAATATTACTGCGATCAGGCTATGGAACTTCTTATATGCATGGCCCCCTCTAGCTCATTTTTTAAAAGTCTGTCTGTTGATTTGCCATCCAAGAAAGTCACTATCTATTTTTAATGTATATTGTTTAAGTTAGTAAACACATTATCCTTCTTTTAGATCTGTCTAGATTTAAAAATTTTAAGCAATTTTAATGTTTTTGGGATTGTTGCACATCTTTCTCTAAATATTTTCACTTAAATTGTGGGTAGCCTGGATGAGATTGCTTGCTAGCTAACATGTAATCTGTCTGTAGTTTACGCGGGTATTACACACTAAATAAAACTCTTTTAAAGGTTTAAAAACAGTTTTATCTGTATTTTTTTGTGCAATAAAGCACCAATACAGAATTAATAAATAAACAGAATAATACAATATGAATTAAGGTAATCATTATGGTTGTACTACCGCTAGTATAAACACGTTGGACATGTTAAACATGAGTTTCCCAATAGTGGGATTAAAGGTGATGATTACACTTCATGTTGTTTTAAGGTGGAGTTTGTGGAACAGCTGCTGGCGCGCATGTGCCACTACCAACACGGCCACATCAATGCCTACCTCAAACCTATGTTGCAAAGGGATTTTATCAGCATGTTGCCAAGTAAGTTAGAAAAGTTTATTCAAAATGCATCTTTGTCAATTTGTGTTTTTATCAGTTTTCACTTGGTTAAGGAAACCCAAGTACAATATGTAGTACTAGTATTAAGTATACTACTTACTCTGCTGGTGCAGCGACCCAAAGTGGGTCTTGGCCTCCACAATTTTATTTGTTTTATTTTATTTAATATTTTGTGGAGGCCAAGTACTAATATAAGATGTGTAACACTTTTTGGGTTTACCATTCATTATAAGCTGATAAAAGTTAGTTTATGTTAACAGTATTTGTATTGTCTCACAAAAAAATATTTTGTATGGTATTTAAATAAAACACTTTAACGGTTTAAAACGCCATATATTAGTTAAACTTATTTGAAAATGATTTTACTTAAATGTGTACTACTCGCGTAAACTATAGACAGTATTGTATGGTATTGTTTTTGTATCTGCACTCTATTATAAATTTATCTTTAAACTTCACTCTTCTTCTACAATATCCTGGTTAGTCTGATAGCCTGAAATTGGTACCGAAGGTCTTTTATCAATAATTTAATATTTATGTATTATGAATTTTCTATATAAGTTATATTGTATAAAAAGTTTCAACACAAATCTATGTTAATAAATAAAAATTCCAGAAAAAGGCCTCGACCATGTAGCGGAGAACATCCTATCGTACCTGGACGCCAGCTCGCTGTGCGCAGCCGAATTAGTCTGCCGCGAGTGGCAAAGGGTGATATCGGAGGGGATGCTGTGGAAAAAACTGGTGGAGAGGAAAGTTAGGACTGACTCGTTGTGGCGGGGGCTGGCTGAGCGGAGAGGATGGTAAGTATAATAGCCTATATGCTAGTTATATTTTAATAACCCGGTCTTCTATGGGTGTCTCCAATAGAAAATAATTCATCAATCAGTATCATTGGTTACAGCTGTTTGATATGTTCCTTGATAAATAATCTCAATTTTCAATTCGAATTTGTAGTTCCTGAAATTAACGCAATCAAACAAACTCCTTAGCTTTATATATTACTATAGATATTAAACACTATTTGATGCAATTTCAGGATAACTTACCTATTCAAACCGAAGCCCGGCTGTCAGCATCCATCACACTCATTCTACAGGCAACTCTACCCGAAGATTATTCAGGATATACAATCAATAGAAGAGAACTGGAGAATGGGCAGGCATAATTTACAGGTGAAGATGTTTAAATTGACAAAATGTAACAAATAAAAAAGATAAAATAAATATAAAGATTCAAAGTCTGCTAGTTCCATCTTCATATAATAGATGGCGTTAACTATAAATACATTTGAGAAAATCTACATACATACTACATTTTTTAATAATATTTCCATTTTAATTTGACTAATGTTAAACTAATAATATGAATATAAAAATGTTGTGTTTATCATTTGGACGACCTCTGAGTGCTTGTTTTTTTGTAGAACTTTGTTGGCTCTAGTTCAATACAAACTACCCGCATAACAGCCTTACTTATTTTAACGTATTTATGTGAGCGCATTATAATTTAAGTGAAAATACTTTTACGCGATCTACCAATATGATATAGAAAGACGCTATTTATAAAAGTGTTCTAGAAGAGCTAAATAGACTTACTATTTAATAAGTGGACTGTATAAGTTATAAATAATAAGTACAATAATATCAATAGATACATATATATATTTAAAAAAAATTATGACATGTTTAGCCGATGTAACTTCTAGCACAAACATTGAAAGAGGTATTTTTTTAGAACTTATTTTTAATATATATTTATGGCTTTTATATTATTTATTAATTTGTATTTGTCTGTTTACAGAGGATAAACTGCAGATCTGAAAACTCAAAAGGTGTTTATTGCTTGCAATATGACGACAATAAGATTGTGTCCGGTCTCCGGGACAATACTATTAAGATTTGGGACAGAAAGACTTTGCAGTGTGTAAAGGTGAGTTTTGAAGCACCTTATCTCTGAAAATATCGATATTAAGTAGATGGTAGGAATCAGGGACATGGGACATAGACCACTAATCACTGAAGGAGTTGTCAAGCTTAATCGCTGGTTGGTTTCAGTCTGTCGTTATTCAAATGAAAGCCAAAGTTGGTAGACTGCATAACTTGTGTTACATGGCTGGGTTATTCCACCTACCATGCTTGTCTGTTCTACAATATCATAAAAAATACGTATTTTTCAGTAAGTGTCAACAGTGCATCTTATATACAGTGTATTTTTTTCTAACTTGGCAAAAGAACACAACAAATATGGCCGATTTCAAAGCATAGAGAAATAGTGATGACTTTTTAAAGAGTGAAGTTATTGCCACAGATGACACATGGATAAATGAATATATGGACTAAACAACCTCTATATTAAAAATCACTTTTAAGACAACCTAAAAAAAAAAACAGTAATCGTGCATGAGTGGGACTTCTACGTTCTATTGTCGTTGACATTGCTTACATCCCATCCTTATATATATTAATTCAAAATAAAGAAATTTTTATCTGTGCATTTGCTTAATTTTATTTTTAGGTTTTTTTTTAATTAGCATGAAATTGTGGTCACTCAGTGAAGTGAATTTGAGGCTGTTTCGATATAATTCAGTGTCTCAGTGTTTTCAGTGTAAACCTTATGAGTAAATCACGATTTCATGTAAATTGTGCATTTGTTCACTAAAAATGCCAAGTTAGAAAGAATACACTATAGATGCCTCAGGTACCACCATCCATCAGGTGGATCTATAGCATCATGCCTTGTCTGTCTTTCCTCTATCATGAGGATTTCTTTTTCAGGAGCTCCAGGGTCACACGGGCTCAGTACTCTGTCTTCAGTACGACGAGCGGGCCATCATCTCAGGTTCCTCGGATAGCACGGTGCGCGTGTGGGACGTGAACACGGGGGGGATGCTCAACACCCTCATTCACCACTGCGAGGCTGTGCTTCATCTCCGCTTCTGCAACGGCATGATGGTCACGTGCAGCAAGGTAAGTTGGAAACCTTTAAATGAAACCCGGTGTATACATTGTTTCATGAACTGTGATAGTATCGAATAAGACATTTTTAACGGTTTTAAACGAAAAATATATTAAAATTGTGTTTACATATAAATGTACAATAATATCTAATATATAAAATTCTCGTGTCACGGTGTTCTAACTTGAACTCCTCCGAAACGGCTCGACCGATTTTCACCAAATTTGATATGTGTATTCAGTAGGTCTGAGAATAGGACAACATCTATTTTTCATCCCTCTAAGTGATAAGGGTTGTTCACCCTTAAATTTAATTTTCTAGACTAAATTTTTAATTTCTATTATTCTATTATTTTTTATGATACAGCATACAAAAATACATACAATCCTCAATTTTCACCCTTCTACGATCAACGCTTATTTTGTAATAGACATTTTAGTGAAATTATTTATATGGCAAAACAATGTTTGCCGGCTCAGCTAGTATTTTTTATAAAAATACATATAATGTATATTTATAATACTCTTAAATATTACTTGTCTTATTGCGACTGCGCGTTTTAAACCGTTAAATGATTATTTTTAATGGAAATTACATAACACATTGGTACACTATATTGAATATTGATTACAAGACATTTAGGTTAATTGTGGGAAGACAGAGACACTTGTTTTAATAAGAAGATGGTTTACCTTCTTCACATTTCCCCCTTTTCCCCGATACAGGATTATCTTCTAACATATTAAGTTATTTCTTTAACTACATGGCTCAATGGTAAAATAATAGCATTGTTTCAAGCAGGTCCGGGGAAGACAGAAATACTTTTTCGGTCAGGAGACTACCTCACCTTTAATTTTCCCATTTTCCCCGATAAGGTTTCTCACCATATGCCTGTTTACCCCAAGCTGTATACAAAATGGTTATAGACTGTTCATATTTGTATTTGTATCACAAAGGGATCGACAGAATTTGATGAAATGGAGTTCTTATTACCTTTTCATCTGATTTCAGGATAGATCAATAGCTGTATGGGACATGACATCGACGACAGAGATCATGCTGCGTAGGGTACTGGTGGGGCACAGAGCGGCTGTCAACGTTGTCGACTTTGACGAGAAGTACATTGTCAGTGCTAGCGGCGATAGGACTATTAAGGTGAGCGAGCGAGATGTATCAATCATTGTAAAGTCAACGTCAAAACTCATTTATTCACGTATTTTGTATTTTTTCTTACTTGGCAAAAGACAAGTATGGCCGACTTCAAACCACAGAGTTAGGACCTTTTTATAGAGTGAAATTTCATCAAATTTGTCCGTCGGGCCGTAGTGAAATAATTTTCAACTTCGTTTAACTAATATATATCGCGTTTTAAACCGTTGAAGTGATTTTTTTTTTATGTCATTATTAACTCTCTGTTTATTATTTTGAGCGATCGTGCACGAGTTGACTTTACTTACGTCCCATCCTTATGTAAATGTCAAACTAAATAAATTTTACCAAATTGTGTAAGACTTTCACGGCCATCGATCAGCATATCATTGTTTTACGGGCTGTTCTTCGAGCAGCCAACATCTCCTGATGATGCCATCCGGCCGCGAAGGCGAAACGTCGAGAGCCTCTTCTCGCTCTGGTCGGCCGAACAGCCCGAAAAACAAAGATATGCTAAAGACATTTTAATCTGTGCGTTTAAGTCATCTCTAGGTTAAAAACGTCGAGTTGAATAATAATGACGTAAACAGTTTGCGTATGAATCCGTTGATTTTAGTACAATTTAAAAAACGTTGACGGGGACTCGTTGGTGTAATTATGTATTGCTAATAATAAACGGGTCATAGGGAGCGACCCTATGACCCGTTTATTACCGGGTCTATACTTCGCTGTAATAATTGCCGGAGAAATACTTCGCAATCATGTTTTAAATAATAAACGAGTACTCCTGTATCGTATTTTTTCTCTCATCAGGTTTGGAACACGTCGTCGTGCGAATTCGTGCGGACGCTGAACGGCCACAAGCGGGGCATCGCGTGCCTTCAGTACCGGGACCGACTGGTCGTGTCGGGCTCGTCGGACAACACGATCCGACTGTGGGATATCGAGTGCGGACAGTGCATACGCGTTCTGGAGGGGCACGAGGAGCTGGTTAGGTGTATACGGTGAGTGGGGAGCTAGGGGGTAATTCTATCAGGGCTCCCTTAAAGCACCATAGTACCATTTAGTGGTTCTGGTCGGCTATACGATTCCCCACACTCCCCACGTCACACTTGCACGACATGGGCGTGCATTAGGCATTCACACCATCAGTTTAAAAAAGGGGGTAATTCTATGGCTAGATTTTTGTAAATAGAGATGAACACACAAGCTTGATGAAGGATCTCAATAAGATGCAACATTTTAATACGTTTACGGAATCTGGTGTTAAAAAAAAAATAGTTTAAATTCTGTCTGTATTTTACGCGAGTAGTGCACATTTTTTTTTATTTAAATGTCTACTACTACACACTTTAAGGGTTTAAAACACTAGTTAAACTAATTTGAAAGACGGGGAGCCGTAGTTAAGATAGTTTTCAAATAAGTTTAACTAATATACATAAATTGAGTTTTAAACCTTTTAAATGTTTTATTGAGATGTGTTCTATTCGCATAAACTGCAGACAGAGTACTTACAGTTGATCATTAGAACGAACGCACAATTTTAATGGTCCGTTCAAATTCGTTTTGTAGTTTTGACAACAAGCGGATAGTGAGCGGCGCGTACGACGGCAAGATCAAAGTGTGGGATCTTCGCGCGGCGCTGGACGTGCGCACTCCGCACCAGGATCTCTGCCTGAGGACGCTCGTGGTGAGTCTCTAAGCCGTTCTATATAGTGCAAAATATTATAGTGGGGGGAGGGGGGTATGGTTACCTATCCAGCCGGTATGTATCGTGGTATTTTTCAATCTGGCGCTTGAAAGTAACAATTTTAAATGGCTTATCAAGCGTAATGGTAAATTTTGAAAGATTTAAAAAAATAATCTAAAAATTCGTGCGATGTTTAGGGTAAAAGGGGATAGTCTCACCACGTCAAGGTGAGGTAGGGGGGGGGGGTCCACAAAGCAAATGGCTGAGCCTGGGCTTGTTTGATCTTAAAGACGTCTTCGGGGGCAACTGGTGCGGTTGATGTAGTGAGTATTTGTTTCCAGGAGCATACCGGCCGCGTGTTCCGATTGCAGTTCGACGAATTCCAAATCGTGTCGTCCTCGCACGACGACACGATCCTCGTGTGGGACTTCCTCAACTACACGGGGGCTTCGCCCGCGCCGCCAGCGCCGCCGCAGCCGCGGTGGGCCTCGCCGGAGCACGATCGAGCCTTTTACGACTAGGTGAGTTGATACTGTCCCTTGTTTACGCGAGTAGTACACATTTGAATAAAACACTAACGCTTTAAAACGTGAAATCTATTAGTTAAGAGCGTTTACACCTTTCGCGCGATGTCAAGTTTAGGTATTTCACACGCACACAGACGCAAAAGAGTGTGTGCGTGAGTTGGGGCGATTTATTGCGCTAGAACTCGTCATGATACTTGCAATGTTATAATAATTATGCGGTCACCGAGGGTTTGTACTATATTTAAAGTGTATTTTATGATAATATAATACGGCCGCCGTAACTTGGCAAGTCTGAACATAGTTTAGACCAGGGGCGGGCAAACTTTTTTTCAAGCGGGCCAAAAAATCAACAAAAAAGATATTGCCGCGCGCCGGTCAATTAATATCATTCAGGGCAACGCTGTAAAGTTTTAAAACATTGTTTTTTGAAACTTAAATGTATTTTTTTATTTCTATGCATTTTCATATAAAAAATTGACACCTTAGCAGTATTGTTATAAAAAGTACGAGATTTCTATGTTTTAAGTGTAGATAAAATGTTTTAAGTACAAAATAATATAGTAAAATTTAAATTTTTGATGTTAAACTTTTTTGCGAAACGTTCGGCTGGCCATATCCGGCCCGCGGGCCGTAGTTTGGCCCTCCTGGTTTAGACGAACTTTGGCGCATGTACAGTCGTAAAGAAAACTAATACTGCCATTAATTTTCATTACTGGGATAAATTTAAAAAAAAATAAAGATTTTATATATAGCAAGCATAAATAACATAACAATAATTGATTCAGAGACAATAAAGGCTACGAACACTTTCACTAAAATACTGAGACAAAACAAAATATAACCAAACAGAAATATGTAATAGTATTAAATTTAACTGTAAACAATCTCTTTTCTAACCGACTGCGCTCAAGACAGAGATAACGAAATAAATGCAGTGACCGAGACACCCTTCTGTTTACCGAATATGTACGAAGCTTTGCGAAATAACCAAATAGAGATATCCATACGCGATCCTTAAGAGTGTCGTTTAATCGATTCCTATTGAAATAGACAAAATTGAATCGTAGAAAGCGTTTGTATAAAAAGCTTTAAAGACGGTTAAAATATGTATAAATAGTAATTGTACAAACAATAATTCATATTTAACTAAATAACGTCGTCCATTAAAGAAAAACAAGCTTTTAATGATTGTATTTTCCTTTAAAAGTAATCATGGTAACAACATGGTAAAACACCATTCACTATTCTCATAAATGCATTTACTGCAATATCCCATACGAATTAAAATCCATAATCAAAATTGATAAAAATCGATTACGAAATTTAATAGAATAAACGGTCAATTGTGTTGACATTGAGTCAATCTCTAGCCTAGATCTCCCCCCCCCCACGTCGCTCTTACCACCGTTAACATCATATGGAACATTTCTGCGCAGCGTTTCGCGCTAAGTTCAGACTTGCCAAGTAACGTTGGCCGTATTATAACGCTACTTGGTTTTTGTGGAAGTAAACTGAAGTTTCTATTTAAAAAATTACACAAAATGCTTCGAACAAAACTAAAAGTGAATCTTAAAGTACATATTATATTCATCACATTACAGAAATTTTACAAAGAAATAAGTGCGGTAACATTTTTATTATCGCCCTTAAACTTCCAAACTGCACTAAATGGACGCGAACTGGCGAAATTACCCTAATAACCTTTTAGCTCGTGCCTTTTCAAATTTCTTTATTTTTGCATTTTATTCTCTGTACAAAGACTTGGCGATCGTTCTATAAATGTCTAAAACCGTAGTACGGTCGACGCAGCGCGGAGCGATACGTCCACACTCTTGAAATTTCCTAAACATATAAGTAATCAACAAGTTTGTACGATAAGTGGTTGATGATATTAACAGGTTTGGAAAACCCAGTGTTAAGCCAAATTGCGCGTTTAAGGTATAAACATATTTAAATATTATCTTAAGTACGGCCCGACGGTTTCGAATTCTTTCCAACAGCCGTGGTCAAGTAAAATACTTAAGCCGTTTCATATTAAAATAATTGTTTTTTTTTAAATTTCAGATTGAAGACGTGTACCGCTTCTGGACATCATTATTTTTATGATAATGTGTTTAACGTGGTTTAGGATAAGTGGACTCTCTGGTGACCAGTGTTACCAACATTGAAATTGTGATTTCTCCAAATTGATAACACCAACATTTGTCGTCGTGTATGTTGGTAACTAGTGTTGCTAGCAGCGGAAATCTGTCTGTGGTCAGTGTTACCAATTGAAAAAACTAATTTTCGAAATGGGTAACGCTCCAATGTTACCATGCTAAAAAATATTAATATCCTCTATGATAATTGTGATTCAGGATAATCACTTTATTTATTAATAACATAATATTTTTATTACTCGTTGAAATCTGAAATCGTCGTTATGAACCTTGCGTTAAGGGGTATTCGTTGTTGTAACTGAGATTTTCATCGAAAATCGTTCAGCCGTTTCGCGCGGTGGACGACGTGAATTTTGTACATAGACGGATAACCGATAGGTTTAAATGTTTTAGATACTGAAGCAAATATCATTGATGTGTCTGTAATGACAGATACTAGTGACACCGATTTTGTCTATGACAGGGTAGATCCCGACTTTTGACATTTGTCAAAACAAATCGAGTATTGATTGAGTAATCAAAGTAGGGTGACAATATACTGCCATTAAACAGTTTAAATTGGGTGACGGAATTTTATACACCATTTAGGGAAAAAATTTAAAAAGAAAAATACCAATAACTTTTAAAATAAATTACTTAACGACTTAAAACGCGAAATGTTAACTTAAAATAAAGGATATTTGCAGCAGCCGCGCTTAAGCCGCCCCGCAGTGGGACTGTAATTAAACTAAATTTAAAAAAATATTTCGCGTTTTAAACCGTCTAAAGTTAATTTAAATGTTTACAACTCGCGTAAACTATAGCAAATCCTGTTGCTATTGTAATATTATTTTAAATATGACTGATCATTTTATCATCTTTAAGTGAAGTTAAGCCGGGAAGCTGCAAAAAAAAATGTTTTAAACTTGGGAATAAAAAAAAACATAATTGCCTTGCCGATGTATTTAGTGTCGGGGAGTTATCTCGATGTATTATTATTGTGTTCTTACAAGTAGATAAGTGCTTTAGATAAATCAGTTACGGACAAAGCAGTTTTCGGTTAAGGGGAACCGGAACACGGTAAATTTTAATGATTCATATTATTTCGCTGTATGTAATCTCAAGTGTTGATTTTGAAATCAATAATCATTAATTCATGTGGGTAGTTGCAAATATTTCTACACGTGAAAATTTAAATTTCGAAACAATATAATCAAAATGCACCTATTCCAAAATTAAGTATGATAAACTGGCCAGAAATAATTTGTTTTATCCACTACCCTGCCCCCCTTTTTTTATTTCTACTGACCTAAAAGGTAGTCTCTGAGACTATAAGATACCATTTCTTCAATTCTTTGTTTGGTTGTTAACGTACTTGGGGCGATAAAAATCAGTAATTTTGAATCATTGAGTGTAAATACTTAGTAGGAAAGTCTGTATGACTTTTGGCATAGATAATAGACTTTCGAAAGGGGTAGTGTGAGGGAGACAGAACGAGACAAATACTGAAACTTATTTTTAGCAATTTTGAAGCTACGTTTACGTCTTTGAATTTGATGATTTTACATACTTTGTCTTTTATAGCGTGGCAATTTTGACAGCTTATATGTAGTACGATATTTATGTATAAAATAATGCGATGCTTTGCAAAACTGTTAAAATTATCATCCTATATTAGACGGAGTACAATTAGCACGACGACTTAACTGAGACCAAAATGCGTTTGTGATATATCCATACTCATGTACGGATTAAGTAGCGGCAGGAAACTAGAGCGTTGTTTAAAACCTGGAAAGGTGCTTCAAATTACAATTACTACTGACATAGTAGTGTCCTGCTATCCTGTGTCCCTTTTTTTAACTTCACAATGACAGGGACAAAACATCGTCTTTCCTGCCGATGGTCCACTGTATAAATCGAGCGCCAACACATTGCTTCTCGCAACGTGTGGCGCACGGGCCGTTCTATGGATCGGCCCGTGAACAATTTCCTGCGAATCTAGCCTAATTTGTAGGGTAGTTGTATATTAGAGTCCGCTAGCTTGATGTTAATCTCAAGTTTTGTATTTACGGATTGAACCTAGAGCGAAATTATTAAAAATCTACTGTAGTAGATGGTTCTTCTAATAAAAGAAAATTTACTCAACTTAAAAACTTATCTTAAAGTTTTTATAAGGAGTTTCTCCTAAAGAATAAGAAGTTTAAATAAACACACAAACTTACATAGCAAAATGTCTGTTTTTTGTTGACCTACCCTCTTTTGTCTGTCTGAACTACCCTCATTCAATTGCTAAACAGATTTTTTTAATAACCGGATGGTTTTTAATCGATAAAAAATATAATGAAACCGTTCGTTCTGGGTTCAAACCGAAGACGTTGTATTATATTAAGCTAATTTGTCCGTTTGACCACGATAATTAAAACAGGGTGCTTAGATTCTTACGTATTTGGGAGAAATGGGAGTTTTCTTTTACATTTCAACTCAGTCGTTCATTTAATCCATATCATATGATCTAATTCTGTACTACCCTCTACTAACGTCAATCAATGTAACACGCCCACTTTTACTTGCTTAGTGACGTCACACTGTCCACACATACAAGAGACAATGCAACCATTCACACATAACTTCACGAGATTGTATACCGTTTTTACCTAAATTGACAGAACTTGTTACCATTACCTTATGTCCTCCGTTACTACAGCTACTGCAAAGCAACCGAAACGTCGTGTCGCAATTTAATATAAAAAATAAGTCACCCGATATGTTTCGCGTTTTAAACCGTTAAAAGTGTTTTATTTTAACTTTTACCACTCTATACATTAGATATTCGTATTAATCGTGTGTAATTTTCATACATCAAACAGCTTATGGGTTACAAAGATTTAAAAACGGACTTTTTGTATTTAAACATTTTTCACGCCTCTTTCACCTTCTAGCTTTTTTCTCGTTCCTTAGTAATGACACAAGGATTATTAAGGTATGAGCCACGTGGCCCACTCGGGACGAGAAGGAGATGTTCTCCGTGTAACATGACATATTGTGGTCAAACGTTAAGTATATATGTATGATAAGCGCGTACGCACTGTAAATATTGCTTGTTAAATTAATTCTAGGATAACGTTTATTGTAAGTTGCGTTTCTCCTATAGTTGTAGGTAGTGCTGTAAAATTGTGAAGAGTTTTTGTATATGAAATGTTTCGAAAGAGTAAATGAGATTTTTTATCGCCACCCTTGGGGTATCGCACGAGTCTTGAGCGCTGATGAATGTTGAAAAATAATTTAGACTAACATTTATTCAGGCCCTATTTCACCGATGAATAAAGACATCGGTTAAACGTAACCGACCGTTCTATCGAAGTTTAATAACAGCTGTTAAGTAATTTTATCAATGTCACTATTTTCGGTAGATTTGAATCTTTAGGAAAGGTTTAATTAATTTGGCCTAAATTTTAGCTCAGGATTCGTGCATCGTGGACTCAGTGCTCCCAATAGCGGGTAGACTAAATATTGAGAAGAAATTATTAATTCAAACATCAGTCTCCGCTGAGGCACACGTTCAAAGTATACACACAACAAACAAGACGCAATTTCACCAAGATATAACCACATTGATCTAATGAAAAACGTAAAGTAGATTTTCAATTTCATATTGTTCATTGTTTAATCAATGATTTTACGATTGCGTAGCTAAAGTATGAAAGCGGGTAACTTAGACTTCGCTGTCTATCTCAACAGGCGTTGGGGGGGAGGGGGGTGTAGAGAGAGGTCTATCCTTGAAAAAAAAACATACCAACCTTTTTTATTATACACAGTTAAATTTACTTAAACATTTAACGCTGTTTACTTGATCAACGTCACAGTTTCTTGGTGAAAATGGTCTCGTTCTGAGCCGAACTAAATTGTTATCAAATTTTATATTACAGGTTATTGCTCGCACTTAACACCAATTCACAGAATTTATGTTAAAACGGCTTTAAACTGGGTAATATAGAAAAAGTGGAAACTACAATATATTATTAAAATGACAGTATCAAATCCGGATATGTTAATTGCAATTGTATAAAGTAAACATGTACACGATAGCTTGGGAACTGCTAGATGTGTTGCCAGATAAGAATTAATTATTTATAATAGCATATGGCAATAATGTTTTAAATGTTGTTTTTGATTATGCCGCATTTTCTATTTCTTCTGCGACTTGAAACCTTTCCAGCTATCGTGGGCATGTTGTAGATAGTTAGTGCTTTAAAAGTTAAAAAATAACATCACTATTATTGTTTTAAGTAATTTCGTAAACACATTCGTAAATTTAGACATTTTAAAATGTCTGTTTTTTTTCTATTGAATAATGTTTATTTTGCACATCTTAAATTAAAGTGTCACAGACCCAAAATCGACATTAACTTTTTCGTTAATAGTTCTGTTTATTTGTTGCACAATAAACGGTCCGTTTGTGGCCTGAAATGGGCATTTCTCTTTTGGCTATCGTTATAATTTAAATAATTAAGAAATATGAAGCCTAGATTTTAACTTCTTTTTTACAATCTTCCCAATTATTATTGTATAGTGGAATAGAGACTGCTTTTTTTTTCACATCAAAAAAATGTTTATAAATAGTTGTAAATATGGAATTTCTTTTTGAATAAATATTATGTGTCTATTGATTTGGTATTTTATTTTTTCGGCCTCGGTTTAGCTTATGCGGGAGGTCCTGTGTTCATATCTCGCGTAAAACAATAAATAGTGTCGATCGGGGAGCCAACAGAAGTTTGATCAACTATTTGCTTGGAAATAAAACCGTTCAGTTAAGAAACGGACACGATAATATGTTGACCCCATGCCCCCAACGGGGGTAAACAATATCTCTTTTTTTTAGCTTATGCACCATTGTCTTTTAAGTCACAAGAGGATTTGAAAGCTGCTGATGCAAAGCATCCGAAACGTCGGGCCGTAGTTAAAAATAATTTTCAAATAAGTTGAACTCATGTATATCGCGTTTTAAACCGTTAAATGTCTTGCACCTAATCTAAAAAAGCCTCTTCACGCACAGCGCACACATAACATCGCAACGCACATATCTCCGTCTACCTTCACTAAATTAGGATTAAAAGAGTAAAATGTAAGTAATATTTTATTTATAACCTAAAAACGAAACTTAGCAAAGCCGTTATTAAAATTGGCGCGGATTTCAACAGAATGGCGGCGTTTCGACGTAATGGCGCGCATTCTTTTACGAGCCAAGTGTAATCTTCTGTCAGATTACGACTCAGAAGAACCGGGCCGAGGGTGGACAGTACTCGCTCGTGGTACGTATTCAGGTATTTTATCTGTAAGATAATAGTTTTTTCTTTAAGCGGAACCATTTATTAGTATTTTTACAATGATTAGAAACGCGAACTAGTTGCTTCTTTCTCTATAATAATATAAGTGTCTATGTTCTCGAAGTTTTCAAGCGTTAAGTATGGGAAGATAACCGCTTCGTTGCGTAACGCGTTACGGTACCATTATATCTGGCTGGCCCTTTCTGCTACACAACTGCTTGGTTCGTGCCAGTTAGGGATTAACTTTTTCAATATTAAATTATCTATCATTTAAATAAAACACTTTAACGGTTTAAAACGCGATATATTTTTTAAACTTATTTGGAAATGATTTTTAACTTCGGCCCTACGTTTCGGATGCTTTGCAGCAGCCGTGGTCACGGAGAGACATAGACTAATATATCGCGTTTTAAACCGTTAAAGTGTTTTATTTAAATGTGTACTACTCGCGTAAACTATAGACAGTATTATTTATTTACATTTCTCATCCCATCTATCATTCAATTCTAAATTAGGCATCCCGTGATGCACCAATTTTATTTATTGCTTATATTTTTGACGCCCTCGTTGGTTATGGTACACATTTTTACATTGAGACGTGTTGGATTTCATCTGGAAATCTGGATATTCAATGTGTCCGTCTGGATATTAAATGTAACCGTCCTTAGATAAAAAGCCGTCAAGTCTGTGGGTTTCCGAATATCCAAAGCCAAAAACGGTCAACAGGTCATCTTGTTTAGATGCTATATGGCTAGAGTTTTTCACCTACCATCAAGTCCATACCATACTTATCTATTCTTCTGTATTATAAAAAATAACAATGATGGGTCCGTCTGTCTAATGTCTGGAGTGATAACAAATATTAAACAGTTGTCTTCTTTATTTAGTTAATGTCGATTATATTTCTTAAATAAGAATTATTTCAAGAATCTTGTACCTCATCGTCGCTGAGAAGATTAGGATCCAAGATGGCGGCTTGGTGTGGAGCCAGGGAAAGTGTAGAGAAGGCCACTGCTCCCGCGCCGGAGAAGTTACCAACTATCTGGTCAGCCTGAAACGTATAGTACACAAACGCTTACTGTATCTTATGTCCGTCGTAATCTATTTTAAATTATTAAAACGGTTGATATGCAATAAATTCCATTTCTATAAAACATACATTTCTAGAATATATATAGACTAGCTGTGCCGCTGACATCGTCCCCGTGGAATAGTTATTTTCGGCATCGTATTATTAATTTTTGAAAACAATTCCTTCAGCTTTCTAAGCTGTTACCCACGACGCGTCCCGTCGTTCTTGCAAGTTATTCTTAAAAGCTGGGTATAATCGTGTCGCTGACATTTCGATCACACATAATTTGGCTATCTTGAACTATTCGTACACATCAGAAACTTAATAATATCAATAATTTCCCCCGTTTTTTCTACATTTTCCACAGTTTCTTGGCTCACAAAAAGATAAATGCTCTGATACAAAGAGGATTTTTCTATTCGAACCAGTAGTTCATGAGAATAGCACATTCAAACAAACAAACAAAGTCTTCAGCTTTATTAGTATGGATTAGTAGATAAGCCTTTAAGAATAGAGAAATTATTACAGTTAGTAATAAAGCGACAAATTTAACTGCTGTGATAAAATTTACTCACAAAAATGTGAACAGCTTGTCGATTCATCTCGATTACTTCTACTAGATCTTCATGACGTATACCGTATTCATCTACTTCATAGTACCCTGGTTCTGAAAGAATGAGATGGTTTATACCAAAGATATTGGTACCACAAAAAAGAGACAAAAAAAAAACAATTGAAATAAAACACTTTAACGGTTTAAAAAGCGATATATTAGTTAAACTTATTTGAAAATGATTTTTAAATTCGGCCCTACGTTGCGGGTGCTTTGCAGCAGCCGTGGTCGCGAGGAGACAGAAATAATTTTCAAACTAGTTTAACTAATTTATATCGCGTTTTAAACCGTTAAAGTGATTTATTTAAATGCGTACTACTAGCGTAAACTATAGACAGTATTTAAAAATATATATGATAGGCTCTTTCAGACAACCCGAGAATTTTTTTTTTTGATAGAGGATTACAGACACATTCGGGGCTCACTAAATAGACGATAAAATATAACCAATAAATAAGTATCCCGTCGCCTCGGCTAAGCTATCGCGTTTCAAACCTTTAAAAGTGTTTTATTCATAGGCAAGTAGTTGATAAGACTATCCCGACCGAAACGAGTTAATGTTTCACCGGAATTCGAACCCGAAACCCCTCGCATTTAACGCAATTTACCACGATTAAACACTCGGTGGTACATACCATCACTGAAAATCATCCCAGGCACGATGCCTGGGTCGTTCGCCATAAGAGCACTGCCGATCCCCGAGGGGCCTTCGTGCACGTTCAGGAAGTGACCGACGCCGTGGCCGGTCCCATGCGCGTAGTTCAGGCCGACGTCCCAGAGAGACTTGCGAGCTAGCGTTTCTAAGATATTTCCCTGTAAATATACATAAGTTACCTATCTATATCTATACTAATATATAAGGCTGAAAAGTTTGTTTGAACGCGCTAATCTCAGGAACTACTGGTTCGAATTGACTATTTTCGCGTTGATTAGAGCATTTATTGAGGAAGGTTATAGGCTATAGAACATCGCACTGTAACTAATGGGAGCGAAGATACAGAAGGAAATGTAGAAAAGACGGGAAAAATCATAATTTCCGATCCGCACTGTTGTGACTGTTTCGACTTTCCACTGATTTAAATAAAACACTTTAACGGTTTAAAACGCGATATATTAGTTAAACTTTTTTGAAAAATGATTTTTAACCACGACCACGGCTGCTGCAAAGCATCCGAAACGTCGGGCCGAAGTTAAAAATCATTTTCAAATAAGCTTAACCAATATATCGCGTTTTAAACCGTTAAGTGTTTTATTTAAATGTGTACTACTCGCGTAAACTATAGACAGTATTTTTTCCACTGATTTTCAATCTCTATTCTTAGGTCGGTGTATTTGGCATTACATAAAGTACATTTTTAGAGCAGCACGGAATGCTGTGGCTGTCATTTCAAGTCCCGCCCGTGTTTTATTTTAATCTAAATAGGTTGTTGACTTAAGTACTTACTGTCGTGCCTTTGGGAAAGACCGCGGTAGCGAGAGATATGAACCCCTTCATTACCCTCGTGGAAGTCATGCGTTGCCTTTCCGTGGGCGTTGACATATGTCTAGTTCTCGTTATGTCAGTTGTTCCGTCCCTAGAAAAGAGAATTATGAAAAAGATCATTTATATGATCTAATCTATGTAAAGTAATACTATATACCAGTGGTTTGATTGAGTAGCTGTGGATCGATTACAGATTGAAACAAAATTACGACTCGAGCAGGAATAGAACTGGCATCCACGGCTCTCCGTGCTGACGCTCAAAGTAAACGAGCCACCGAGTCATAGTATTACCGCTTGTAAGTTTATCTCTATAGATAGACATATGCTGTCGCAGACATTTTTTTAAACTATTTATAGAAGAATCATTCTTTTATATATTTTTTTTGGTTATCTTGAACCGTTATGTCAGTTGTTCCGTCCCTAGAAAAGAGAATTATGAAAAAGATCATTTATATGATCTAATCTGTATAAACTAATACTAGCTGTGCCAGTGGTTTGAGTAGCTGTGGATCGATTACAGATTGAAACAAAATTACGACTCGAGCAGGAATAGAACTGGCATCCACGGCTCTCCGTGCTGACGCTCAAACTAAACGAGCCACCGAGTCGTTGTATTACCGCTTGTAAGTTTATCTCTATCGATAGACATATGCTGTCGCAGACATTTTTTTAAACTATTTATAGAAGAATCATTCTTTTCGCAGCGTTTACGCAACGGAAACCCGTGATGATAAATAATTTTCTTAAAATTTTGCAAATTTCCCGCTGCATTTTCGCTTGTATTACTACGAAGATACAGCGGGAAATGTGGAGGAAACCGGGAAAATTATTCATCTCTCTGGGTTTCCGGTGAAAAATATATAGTTTTTTTTACTTACAATCTTTAAGTAGGTCCCGTCCCGCCGTTACGGGACCCGGGTGACGTCATCGGTAACAACTAGTACATAGCTGAGACTTACAAATACTGTCCCCCCGAGTCCACCAGCAACATATCCCCCTTCGTGATGACACGTTGCTCCCCTTCCCGAGACGGTTTGTAGTGAATGATTGCCCCGTTCTCCCCTGCGCCGGCGATCGTTGCAAACGACGGGCCGCGGTATCCATACTCTTCGCTAAAAAGAAATAGTGTTAACTTAAATGATAGAGCAGGACAGAGAAGAATAAGGTTGATGGTAGATGAAACACCCCAGCCATTTAACATCGATCTGTTTTGACTTCGGATATTCGGAAATCCACACAATGAAACCCAAACGCCACTAAAATGACGGCTCTTTCGTGTGCGAACGTTGGTTAGTGACCCGGGCGGAATTTCTATGTTCCAAATACAGTGAAATACAATGCAAAAGTGAATACAAAAGTGAAATTCAGAAAAATTATAAATTGATTAGAAAAATATTGTGTCTGGCGTCGATCGAAGCACGATCATTGCTACCATTACACTAACGAACATGTTTTATTTTTAAATAAAACACTTTAACGGTTTAAAACGCGATATATTAGTTAAACTTATTTGAAAATGATTTTTAACTTCGGCCCGACGTTTCGGATGCTTTGCAGCAGCCGTGGTCACGGGGAGACTAAAGATGGAGGATGTCTCTGACCTCAAAGTAAGTTTAACTAATATATCGCGTTTTAAACCGTTAAAGTGTTAAATTTAAATGTGTACTACTCGCGTAAACTATAGACAGTATGTTTTATTTTTTATATATAATTCTATGTATCCATGTTCTGTGCAATAAAGAGTTTATTGTTATTATTAACGAATCTGCCAAAACAAATGAATGAAATAAATGTATAGCTAGGCAGATCTTGCGTTCGATACAAACTAGATACCCTTATTAGTTAATTAGGATTTGTAGTTTACGAGAGTAGTACACATTTTAATTAAAACACTTTGAATAATTTTAAAATCGAAAATAAATTTAAAAAAAATCGACTTGAACCGGCATCGTCAGCTGTTTATTTTCGATGTTTAAATTATATAGTGCCTTCATGCGCAATAACATGTGAAAAATATTACTGTTTTCAAACACTTTGAATAGTTAAAAACACGATATGTATTAGTTAAACGTATTAACTTATTTTTACTACGTTCGAATGCTTTAAAGCAGCCGTGGTCACGTGGAGACAGGAATCACTTTAAAAAAAATTATTGTTGTGTTGCTTAGAGCATTTATCAAGGAAGGCTATATATTAACATTGCGCTGAGACTAATAGAAACGAAGATACAGCGGGAAATGTGAACAAAACGGGGGAAATTTTTCGACGGGACGCGACCGATGTCGTGGACAGCATAAATTTGTAAAGATGTAGAGGTTTGCAAAAACAAATTTGGATGCCCAAAACAACTATTCTACGCGGACGAAGTCGCTGACGCAGCTAGTGCTGCTATAAATCGTTCTCTTATTCGCCGTATAGCATTTCTCAAATTACTAAACAGATTTTTTCAGTTAAGACTCACCCTCTCAATGCGTCCAGTTTATCCACAACATCTATTTCCGTGACGTTCCGTCCAGCGTCCACCTGCTCGTGGATCCAGCGAAGGAAGCGGACTACTGCCACCCCATCTTTTACATGAGCTGATCTGAAGCCCTGATGGAAGAAATATATTAAGGAAATCTGTTAGACAGTTTTAAATAAAACACTTTACGTTACATTGCGCGTTTTAAACAGTTGTTTAACGCGCAATGTATTAATTGAGTTTTCAATAAAAAAAATATTTATTTTATTTTATTACAGCTTTCATAATACTTACCACATCAAAACTACAAGAGATAAAATCTTATATAACCATGGTACACATAAATACAATCTCGTGTTTTAAACCGTAAAAAGATTTTATTTCGAAGTGTACTCACGTTAGAAATAATTTAAAACAGTATATTGTTGTTGTATTGTGATTCCTATTATTGCATAAAAAAAATTAGCTAGCTTAGCTTTAAAAATGTTAACTGTATGATTTTCGAATGTCAAAGCTAAATAGTCCACAGCTCATCTTAGTGAGGTATTATATAGTTGGTATTCCATCTTTCATGAAGTGAACCCCGAGTTTGTCTGGCCTTAACTACCATAAAGAGGAAAAAAGTGTTTAAAAAAGTACATACCTCAAGTTCAACTCGATTTTTAACACATTTCATGAGAGCTACTGGCGACACTGCGCTCAAAATCTTCACAGAGCCTTCCTGAAAACATTGTTAGACGTACTGTCTATAGTTTACGCGAGTAGTACACATTTAAATAAAACACTTTAACGGTTTAAAACGCGATATATTAGTTAAACTTATTTGAAAATGATTTTTAACTTCGGCCCGACGTTTCGGATGCTTTGCAGCAGCCGTGGTCACGGAGAGACTCCCAGTCCCAGTCTGCTGCTGCAAATTGTTTTCAAATAAGTTTCACTAATATATCGCGTTTTAAACCGTTAAAGTGTTTTATTTAAAAATTGTTAGACCTTTTAGTGTTCCCACAGATGGGACTATTTTACGAAGCTCTATATTTAAATAGTAAGTATTATTTTAATTTCATATTCTCTCATCGTTCACAACGATCAAAGACTCAAACACACCACACACACCACACAAGTTTTTTCTACCTAAAAACATCGATAGGCATTTTTTCCCACATCTGGGACTAGTACCCATCTAGTATCGCTAATTCGTACTTTTGAATAGTAGATATTTTATTCATTTTATATTATCTCATTGTTCACAGCGATTAGAGCGTCAAACAAACCACACATCACACCACTCACCAGTTTTTTCTACATGTAAACATCGTTAGACATTTTATTGGGCCCACAGCTGGAACTCTTTAATTAAGTCCTATATTTTAATAGTATTTTTCTCTTTTTTTCATGTTCTCTCATCGTTCACAGCGATCATAGCTTTCAACCACGCACACATATCAAACACGCCCATGCCCGAAAACACACATACCACACACCATACCATCTTCTCTACACTAAATACCCCAGATTTTTTAAGACAAAACAGCTATTGCTGGGTCGGCTTGCTAAAAAAATAATTCTTATACCGCTTCAGCTATAGTATGAACTGCATGACTCGCTCCAACTGGAAGCCACAAGGTAGACCCTTCTTGTAACTCGTTCTGAAATAAAGTTTTTAATAAATAAGAAATACTAGGTGTCGGCGACTTCGTTCGCGAAGAATAGTTATTTTGTTTATCAAAATTAGTTTTTGCGAACCTTTATAAATTATGCCTGTCACCACGTGTCGCGGACTTGTTTATATCATTTAAGGAGTTTGAATTAAACATACTAACAGTCATATCCTGGATATAAGTGAAGACTTCAGAATATGGTTTGGGGACAACTTGAATTTTCTCAGCCGTAAAATGTTCTTCGATATCGGACGAAAGTGTTCCGTTATCCCAAAATAGTATGGTGTTATTCACGTTCTGAAATTGCAAAGGTATACATCTAAAAAAAATAGGGCGACAGCGTGGTGTTTAGGTCGTGTTCGGTCCCACCAAGGCGAGGTTGTTTAATCAATTTATAATATTCGCTTTAATTCGTTTTCAGTATTTGAAACTCTGAATACCGTATTCAAAGCCAAAATAGGTTTTTTTTCGTTCGTATCGTTTTTTTTTCATTATAGTTTTTTATTATTTATAATGTCACCTGATAATATTTTTGAAGCGTACCATTTCTTTCTTTCTTACAGAAGTGTCAAAACCTTAGCTCTGGCAGTGCGCAAACGAGTATAATCAGACATCTACCTAAACTTACCAAGTCGGCTCTTATTATGAGATACGAAAAGAACACCGGGTTGTAAGGTATGTCTGAACCGCGGACATTTAGTGTGTCTGCGAACAAGGAACGATAATTAAAATACCGTTTAATAATTTATATTACTAACCCCTTAAACATAGCGGCAAAAGACATCCATATATTGTTTTTAATAATTCCACTCTCTAACGCACAAATAGTCTGGGACGTTATGTTAGAAAAATCATTAAATCATTAAATATTTAAATAAACCACTTTAACGGTTTAAAACGCGATCTATTTGTTAAACTTATTTAAAAATGATTTTTAACTTCGACCCGACGAATTGTACTACTTACTTGGTTTTAATTTCCGAGCATAATTTATAAAAATACTAAACATACATGCTACTATACATGCTTTATAGCTAATAGCGATATATGTATATTAGTTAAACTTATTTGAACAATATTAACTAACTAATTTAATTAATATATATCGCGTTTTAAACCGTTACAATACAACGTTTAAAATAAGATATAAAATACATACGTGGAATACTCTCTATAGTTTACGCGAGTAGTACACATTTAAATAAAACACTAACGGTTTCAAAGGCGATATATACGCGTCTCACTGTGACCACGGCTGCTGCAAAGCATCCGAAACGAACGAAGTTAAAATACATTTTTAAATAAGTTTAACTAATATATCGCGTTTTAAACCGTTAAAGTGTTTTATTTAAATGTGTACTACTCGCGTAAACTATAGACAGTATTTAATCATTAAATATGTTATCTATACTAATACATAAAGCTGTAGAGTGTAGAGTTTGTTTGTTTGAACGCGCTAATCTCTAACACAAAGGATTTTTTAATCAAACTAATAGTTCCTGAGATTAACGGGTTAAAATATGCAAATTAACAAAATAGCTTTACAATATTAGTATAGATCTTATTTTATAATATATTCAGTCCATATCTTGCAATATATACTGTTATAACTTACTGGTAGGGCAATTGTGACGTAAAAAAAGGACAAACTTACAAGCGATATCATCAAGGGCCGTTAAAATTAATGCAGCAATTCCGCGGTCCGTCAGCTGTTGCATCAAATCGGATATCTTCTCGTTAGATGTTCTACCTGAAAAAATAACAGAAAAAACAAGTCTCAACACTTCATAGAATTCATTAAAACGCTTTCAACTGTCTTAAAAGAGTTATTTTAGGCTACGTATGTGCAATATAGTATAACTACGGCCCGACGTTTTGGGTGGTGGTAGACGTGGTCACGTGTTGTTATGTCATGTCATGTTAAGTTTAACATCCTAAAAAATATTGTTGTTCAATTATGTATTTAAGTTTACTTCCATGTATTTAAATAAAACACTTTAACGGTTTAAAACGCGATATATTAGGTAAACTTATTCGAAAATGTATTTTAACTTCGTTCGTTTCGGATGCTTTGCAGCAGCCGCGGTCACAGTGAGACGCGTATATATCGCCTTTTAAACCGTTAAAGTGTTTTATTTAAATGTATACTACTCGCGTAAACTATAGACAATATTCCATGTATGTATTTTATATCTTACTAGCTGACCTGGCAAACGTTGTTTTGCGGAGAGGAAAAATGATTAAATTACTAAAATGTCTATTAAAAAATAAGGGTTGATCGTAGAAGGGTGAAAATTGAGCATTGGATATATTTTCGTATGTTGTATCATAAAAAAATAGAAATAAAATAAATTGTCTAAAAAAAAAATAAAAAAAAATAGGGGTGGACTACCCCTAACATTTAGGGGGATGAAAAATAGATGTTGGCCGATTCTCATAGATACCGGATAAGCACAAAAGATTTTATCAAAATCGACCAAGCCGTTTCGGAGGAGTTCAAGTTCGAACACCGTGACACGAGAATTTTATATATAAGATTTTAAAAGTTCTATTGTAACGGTTTAAAACGCGATATATATTAGTTAAATTAGTTAGTTAATATTGTTCAAATAAGTTTAAGTAATATACATATATCGCGTTGTATACGGCCAAAGCTTGTATAGTATTTTTCTCAAATAATGCTTGGAAATTAAAACCAACTAGTACAATTCAGAACTTTAAAACCCAATGATGGAGTTGACGAACAACTAACTAGGAGTTTATTTACGCGGCAAAGTTTTTTTTTACTAAACAACTTTCTATGTGCCAGCCAGTACGAAATTTAAATTAAACCTTTGTTAAGTTACCTCTTTGGTCGCCATGTTGCGAAGATGAAGAAGAGTCACTAAACACGACTGATATGGCTTTCATACAACTATTGCCAGCTGCTGCTCGACCAGTCAGCGAGTTCGATTTAGGAAAAGGGTTTTTTTAAATACTGTCTATAGTTTACGCGAGTAGTACACATTTAAATAAAACACTTTAACGGTTTAAAACGCGATATATTAGTTAAACTTATTTGAAAATGATTTTTAACTTCGGCCCGACGTTTCGAATGCTTTACAGCAGCCGTGGTCACGGGGAAATCATTTTCAAATAAGTTTAACTAATATATCGCGTTTTGAACCGTTAAAGTGTTTTATTTAAAGGTTTTTTTAATGATAGAGGATGACAGAGAAGCAGAAGTTCACTTGATGGTAAATGAAATATCCCAGCCTATATTCCAGTCTTAATCTTATAGGATACGCTGTCGATCTATTTTGACTTTAGCTATTCTGAAATCCAGACTAAAATCGAAATCGAAATAAACTTTGTCATCATCTGTGGATGGTGGTTCGTGACCCGGACGAAGTTTCGACATATTTCCAGATTTCCAGACGAAGTCCAACATGTTTCGGAAAATTTACAAATTGATTAGAAAAATGTTGGACCGGGTGGGGATCGAACCCACGACCCGTGGATTAGTACATCACACCAATAAGCCCGTTAAAACAATGCTCTAATTTCCGAGCACGTTTGTGAAAAAGTGATTTGAAGTACCTGTGTAACTAACGTTGAGAGACTTTAGCGGTTCATTGGGTCTTGGTGGTGGTGGATCCCCAATATTGGTTCTAGCGACGTCCACGAGGTTCTGGTCAATTGCTTTCAATGTCACATTGACAGCTGCGAGTGCATTCTGAAAGAAGTGTCAACTGTCTGTAGTTTACACATTTAAATTAATTCGTTTATTTACAAGCTGTGGTCACGGGGACACCCGTTCCCAATTAAAATATATTGTAAATTAAGTTTTATTGTATCATTTATTAATACTTACATATAAAGGCGTCCAAGCCGATCTAGTGTAGGTAGTGGGATCGACTCCCACCACTGAATTCGGGGGCATATTTTGCACCAACCACGCTTGTAACGAGAGATCGGTACCTAAAATAAAATAAAACCTACATATGTCCTGTATACCTTAATTCAGACAGACAAGTGGGTTTCGTAAATCGGAAAACATATAAAATAAAATTAACTACTCCGTTAGGTTCTAGTTCGAATCCCGCCTGTGTAATCTACCGTAACGGTTATGTATTAGTTTCCAATTTAATTTATGATATGCGCCAAGCATTGCGTTTATTTGTTCATAAATAAGATTGACAAATTTATATATCATGTCAGAATTTCACACACACACACACTCTAATGGGCGCGCGTGCACACACAAACACACATTCGTACATACATGTAATATGCATACTTGCCCACAAACATTCTTACCCTGCCTCATCAAGCCCCAAACACTAGTGTCAACTTGCAAATAGAACTGTGTGAAATAGCGTCCGTCCGTCCACACAAGAGCTGTTGTGTCCGTCACCAGAGCGGTTCCAGACGACCCTGACAGTCCAGAAATCCATTCGCGTCGGGCATCCGACGGTGCTATGTATTGAGACTTGAAATCGAACAAATATTATATTTTTAGAAATTTAATTGTTGACTACAATTCGACAAATAATATATTTCGTGTTTGAAACCGTTAAAAGGGTTTCATTTGGATAAATAAAACACTTTAACGGTTTAAAGCAATTTCGCGCTTTCGCGATTAGTTAAACTTATATAAATTATTTTATCTACGGCCCGACGTTTCGGATGCATGGCAGTAGCCGTGGTCACGTGGAGATCACGGGAATATGCGATTATGTTTCGCGTTTTAAACTGTTAAAGTGTGTTATTTAAATGTGTACTGCTGGCATAAACTAACAGACGGTATTTATTAAAACGCGATTTACATTAGGTTAACGTATTTGAAAATAATTTTAACTACGGCCCGACGTTTCGGGTGCTTCGCAGCAGCCGTGGTCACGTGGCACAGGCAGTATTTCATTTAGATAAGTTAGTTTTTCTATACATGGTACAACATGTCTCCTCTATGTAATAATATTGCAAAAAATCTTATAATATTAGGAAAACAGTGCTGTATAAATAAAATATAAGCTGTTATAAACTAGGTACTTGTTAAAAATACAAACGTTATGAGCATCTGCTGTTGGTACAATGTAAGCTTGGATTCCGTTTGTCAGCATCACCTCACGAAGGGATGTCACCCGTTGAAGGCTCAGCTGGCGATTCAATTTACTTGACGCAGCTGGAATACGAAAAATATCAAAATCAAGTATAGTGTAGTTTTTCTAACTTGGCGAAAGATCACAACGAATATATCCGATTGAAGCCATAGAGCACTAGTGATGCCCTTTTATGGAGAGTAGTCAACGCCACAGATGACACAGGGTTAAAGAAATGGACGAAACAATATTCAAAATCACTTTTTTTTATTTTGTTGTGTGTGTTTGTCGACTGTAATGCTTGTCAGTGATCGTGTATGATTGGACTACTACCCTCTGTCTATAGTTTACGCGAGTAGTACACATTTAAATAAAACACTTTAACGGTTTAAAACGCGATATATTAGTTAACTTATTTGGAAATGATTTTTAACTTCGGCCTGACGTTTCGGAGTCTCCTCGTGATCACGGCTGCTGCAAAGCATCGCGTTTTAAACCGTTAAAGTGTTTTATTTAAACTACTACCCTCTATTGTCGTATTGACTTTGCTTACATCCCATCCTTATGAAAATGTAAGACAAAAGAAATTTTAATCTGTGCGTTTGCGTAAATTCATTTTAGAATTTTTATTAACTTTAGCACGCAATTTTCAGTGTCTCTAAGTGTTTTTAGTATGAATCAATATAAACATTGTGAGAAAATCACGATTTCATGAAAATTAAACACATAATTTATATGAAATTAGCACTTGGTCCACCTGATACACGTAGTTTGTGAGATTAGGGCGTTCAAAAACTCTTCAGCTTTATGATATTGGTATTAATATACTTACATATTATCCTGGCTTCGGGTTCAGCCCACTCATAGTAGGAACCAGGGACATTGCTCACAACGGAAGATACGAGAACCCTAAAGTGTTTAAAAGGTCATTCAAATATAAGATTTCTCACACACCCTCATACATTTCACACACACACTTGCCCATAAATATTCTTAGTTAATTAATCTTATTCAAGCATTTTTTTAAGGTGAGGGACGTAGATTTTGCCTCTACAACGCGATGGTTACTTGTTACACAGTTAGTTTACGCAGTACACATTTAAATAAAATAATTTTAACGGTTTGAAATACGAAATATTTTAGGTAACCTATTTACAATTTATTTCAAATACGGCCCAACGTGTCCGTTAAATGTTTTATCGTGATGAAACAGATGTCGCTAGCATTAACATTACGGATACCCTCCATCGTCTGCCCCCGGTGATCATAACTCCTGCCTCCAGAACGTAGGGTCGAAATTTAAAAACACTTGGAGTGATATATTCCACGTAATAAACCGTTAAAATTTGAATGCCCTACTCCCGTTAACTTATTTCTATTGTTATGCGCAGAGAGCGTGGTCACAGGGTTAAATAGTTGAAAAATAAAGTTAATATATTACACGTTTTAAACCGTTTAGTGTTCTTTTTGAATGTGTACTACCCCGTAAGTTATAGATAATAGATGACACGTAAAATTACTTACATTAAACAGAAAATTAAATTAATTCTACGCACTCCGACCATCTTGGCTACTGTTCTGATAGTGCAAATCGCTTATCGATAAAATTTTATCGATATCTAAAAACGTTTTATTGTGTAGATTACATTGCTAAGATGTGTACGTCAGTGTATGTTCTATATTACTAGCTGACCTCAAACGTACTTCGCCATATAAAATACTACCTGTGTCAGCGACTTTGTCCGCGTAGAAACTTTATTTTGGAAGTCAAAATTTGTTTTTGCAAACGTCCTGTTCAACTTTATAACTTCAGCTGTTTTCCACGACGTATTCTTAAAAGATCGACACATCTAAAGTCGCGGACTTTTTTTTTCATCTTTTACACGTATTTTTTGGTCTTCTTGTACCATTTTTACAGCGTACGCCTCGGAAACCTAGAGAGATGCATAATTTTCCCAATTTTTTCACGTACAAGCGAAGATACAATCGCTTGTATTAGTCACAGAGCGTTTTATAGCCTTCCTGGATTATCAACACAAAAAATATTCAATTCGAACCGGTAGTTAGTGAGATTAGCGAGCTTCAAACAAACAAACTCTTCAGCTCTATATTCGATTAAAATGTAGGCAAATGAAAATAAAACTTTGATAACTTTAGTATATAATTAACATCGCCGTAACAAATATATATTTCGTTTGAAATCAATAAAACAGTCCGTTGACTTTCATCTTTGGCAAAATGTTGATACGTTTCGCGAAATCTTGGTAATTACAGCAGAAGCTATGGGTGCCGTCGTTGCGCCATCTAAGCCACTTGTACTTCGGATTGTCGTCGCAGACGTCATCACAAAACGACAGTTCGTCCAGCATCGTCTGATTGTAATATGTTGAGTTGATTGAGATGAACACTACCGCCGTTTTCCTTGTCGGGTCGTACACCAGCTGGAAGATACGCTCATATTAGAAACGGGTTACTAACCGTATGTAGTTTAGTAGTAGTACACATTGAAACAAAACAATAACAACGGTTTAAAACGCCATATATACTGTCTATAGTTTACGCGAGTAGTACACATTTAAATAAAACAATGTAACGGTTTAAAACGCGATATATTAGTTAAACTTCGTCAAGCCGTCGTCACGGCTGCTGCAAAGCATCTGAAACGTCGGGCCGAAGTTAAAAATCAATTTTCAAATAAGTTTAACTAATATATCGCGTTTTAAACGGTTAAAGTGTTTTATTTAAACGCGATATATATTAGTTAACTTATTTGAGAATTAAAGAAAACGTCGGGCGTATTTAAATAATTTTCAAATAAGTTTAACTAATGTATGTCGCGTTTTAAACCGTTAAAGTGTTTTATTTAAATGACGGGTTATTAAGATACTTTAGACAGGGAATTACCAAAAAACATCGGGCCGTAGTTAAAATAATTTTCAAATAAGCTCAACTAATATACATATATCGTGTTTTAAAGTGATTTATTTAAATGAATTCAGACGGACTCGCTGGTGTAATGGCAGCGATGTACGCCTTCCGGGTCCACAGATGAAAAGCGGTCAAGTTTAATCGCGTTTCGTTTTCACCCTGGATTTACGATGCAAAGCCGAAATAGGCCGACAACGCATCTTCTTCAGATGTTATATGAAAAGGGTATTTCAGCTACTATCAAGTGAACCGCGAGATTGTCTGTCCTCCTTATAAAATTTTGTTAAAAGATAAGTCTCCACTATAGCTTAGTACAGGGTTCGAATCCCCGTAATACTTTAATAAAGAAATACAAGGGCATTACTGTTAAGGTTAAATAAGCATTACTCGATCCCCAGCCAACTACAAAGGTGCGATATCGACCTATTTTGTCTCTGGACCACATATTGAAGTTGTCTTTGTTTGGACTGAATTTCTATAAGCAATTATAACAATAGATATATATATTAGACAATAAAGTCATTCTGAACCCAGCGGGAGTCGAACTTATGACCCGATCGTACCTTAAAGAAATATAAGGGCACGGGCACAACGCGGTTGTTGTTCTCGTCGAGGCCGAGGTAGATTTCACGCTGGACGTTTGTTTGGTCCGCCAGCGTGGCCACGCCGTAAGTCCCCGTGTACAATGTGACTGTACTGTTCAAATTGTATACGCGACGTCTGACTGCCTAAAGGAATATAAAAAAGTTTAGTCTGTAGTTTACGCGGGCAGGACATATGTAAATAAAACACTTTTAACGGTTTAAAACTCGAAATATATACGCTGCAAAGCGTCCGAGACGTCAGACCGTAAAATAAATCAATAATGACATGACTAGTATATTTCGCATTTTAAACCGTTAAAGGTGTTTTATTGAAAAAAGTTAATATAGTTCAAGTTTCAAATTGTTAAAAGAAACGCATCTGCGAACGCATGAAATGCTAAACTGATTTAGATGAACAAATTAATATAAAATTATACAATCATAAAATAAAACACTTAACGGTTTAAAACGCGAAACGTATAAGTTAACCAATATATTTCGCTTTTTATACAATGTGCTTTCAAAGTAGTTTTCGCGAGTAGCACATTACATCACCTTAAGAATGTAAATATATATTTTATAATAATAAGTAACTTCGTTACGTAATGCGTTACGGCGCCTGGCTCATAATTTCAATATTAACTCAGATTGGTTGGTTATTACTTCTGTGGTATCCTTGTGATTTGATGTCACAACATTTTTCTATTTTAAATAGATCTTATCATTGCATTTGTCGCGGGTTCAAAACCCGATTTATATCGTTATTAGAAAAACTCACTTCCTCAAGTGCGGCCCAGTCTCCAGCGTTCCCCCTCATCCACTGTGGCGCCGTGTTCGCGTAGTGGAAAGACGCGCGCTGCTCTGCGCCCAGTGTGTAATCAGCTTTAGGCGCTAAGTGTCCACGATTTAGGAACTAGACAGAACAAAAATCTAATTACAGTTAAGTGTATTTTTTCTAACTTGACATTTTTGTATAAACGTACACATCGTAACTGGATTGTATATTAAACTATACTGTATTTATTCAAACTTGGCAAAAGACCGTAACAAACATGGCCGATTACAACCATAGAGATTAGTTTTTTATTAAATAATATTTAATGGCCTGGTAACGAGACCTTTAAGCCAAGGATGACGTTCTATAGAGTTTTTTTGATACCACAGATAACATAGGGATAAAGAAATCGTTTGGTCCATAAACGACCTTAATATTAGAAATCAATTTATAACGACCTCTTTTTTAAATGAAACACTTTAACGGTTTAAAACGCGATATATTAGTTAAACTTATTTGAAAATGATTTTTAACTTCGGCCCGACGTTTGGGATGCTTTGCAGCAGCTGTGGTTACGGAGAGACCACTAAAAATCATTTTCAAATAAGTTTAACTAATATATCGCGTTCTAAACCGTTAAAGTGTTTTATTTAAATGTGTACTACTCGCGTAAACTATATACAGTATTTAATTGACCTCTTTTTTTGTATGTCATTATTATTTGACCCGACGTTTGTAACGCTTTTCAGCGATCGTGCATGAGTGAGACTCCCATTGTTGACTTTGCTTGCGTCCCATCCCTATGTAAATGTCAAAGTAAAAAAAAATATATATTTTTTTATGTTTGTCGATAGATAGATCCCACGTGTTCTTTTAAAAAGCATAAAAATATCAGAGAGTGTTAGTTTGTTTGCACGTATAAATCCTAAAAATCATTAGTTGTGTTTGAAAAATTCTACAATACTATACATATGTATATTACCACTATACGTAACAGCTGTATCGTCAAGCAAATAATAGAGAACAAAATAAACCGTTTTGAACAGGTTGAAGACGTTTTGAAACGCGTAATATGAATTAATTGTTTTTCAAACAAAAAAAAGTCTTGTATTTAGTTACTTCTACGTTCTTTGCTAGATTATATAGCTTTCAGATATAATGGCCAGATAGATGGTATTTCAGAAATTGACAAACACAACTGATATTTTATAAGATTTAAACGTGCAAACAAACTAACACTCTCTCATATTTTTATACCTTTAATATGTACTTGAAATTCTCTGTCTTTCGCTCGGCATTTTAGCCCGTTTTTAAACCGTTAAACTCGTGTAAACTACCGTTCAAATTATAAGCAGAACTACCTGAGTTTTGGTGATGTATTTCTCGTGCATTCCCTTGCCGAGAATGTCGTCGAGTCTTCTCTTCTGGTTTTCCACTTTGTACAGTTGCAGCATTCGGACCTTCCCAAATAAATCGCCCTCTGTTGAGAACAGATTCATATTAAACATGTGTTTGTTCATACTTTACGTAAAACATTGTTTATGTTTAATAATTAGCAGGTTATATACGCCAAGCCTATAGCATCTAAGTAAGATGTGCTAACGCCCTATTTTCGGCTTAAAAAGTTTCCTGTAAGAAATCCCGTTTCCGTTTCCCCTCGCGGGGCATGGGGCAAACACATTTCTGAGTCCGTTTCACTGATCTGTTCTTTAACAGGCAAGTAGTGGATCAGACTTCTATGCCCTGCCTGACCAAAACGATTGTTTGTTTCCCTGGGATTCGAACCCAGGACCTCTAGCCGTTTGGTTACAGAGGTGTTCAATATATTTTTGGCTTTGGAGTTTGGATATTCTAAAACCCACAGACTGATATCGTAACGCACCGTTAACGGCATCTATGGACGTTGCTTCGTGGCCCGAACGGAATTTCTATCTTACTTATCCAGATTTTCAGACCAAGAGACACGGTGGTCTTCTGAAAATTTGGATTGGGTTGTAACTGTCCGCGACACGAACCGATATCCACAGATAAAAAAGCCGTGTAGTTTATGCGTTTCGACAGCGCCTTCTTGTTTAGATGTTAGATGGCTGGGGTTTTACCTACCATCAAGGGAACCTCGTTAGTCTGTTATAAAAAGTTACCAATAAACGCTGGACGCGCGCTGATTTGCGAGAAGTAACTCGAAGGGGTCAGGTCGTGTCTCGCGTAGAGTGTGGTGTATCTCCCTTTGTCAAAACATAGTTCGTACAGTTTGTGGAAGACACCGGATATATTGTAGCCTGCGCTGAAAAGAAACCATGCGTCAATCTATATTGTTCCAATTTAATGATTATATGTTTTTGATAAAATACTTTAACGGTTTAAAACGCGACATGTTAGTTAAATTTATTTGAAAATGATTCATTCGAAACGCTATAGACAGTATTTTTTTATTATTATGAACAAGGTTTAAAACGCGACATATTAGTTAAACTTATTTGAAAATGATTCATTCGAAACGCTATAGACAGTATTTTTTTATTATTATAAACAATAAGCCTTAAAGAACTACAGTGATAAATACGGTGATCTACTGGACTGTCTACCTATCACCGGCGAATTCAGAGGGGGGATTCGGGGAGTCGTGAGTTCGATTTCCGAGCACCTAATAGTCTTTGTTCAGTAAGAGATCGTTACGCTAATTTCGACGAAAATTGAAATAAACCCTTCTTAGTCTGTGTTGATCAAATGGCGGTCGTGGGTTCGTTTTCCGAGCACCAATCGTTTTACAGTAAGTAATTCTTACGCTAATTTCGACATTATCAAACCGGTAGCATGATTTGAAAGGGCAACCACAACGTCCAGTCCTACACGTTCAATTGAAAATTTAATGAATTAAACATACATAAATCAATATAAGTTATGAGTTGTGGTTACAACGTCGAACTCACAAAGGCACCTTTAATAATACAAATAAATGATAGCTTAAAATAGATAGTGGATACCTACTTGTAAAGACTATTTCTTCCATGACACTTTTGCCGCGTCTGCACGGCCGCGTACCACGGAGGTGCGTTACATTTGACTTCTTTAATTTCTCCAATCCAAGCATTATCAGACGATCGAAAAGTCTTACTGGATACGCACTTGACATTCTGAAAAGAGGTGTATTTAAAAAAGTAAAGTTTAAACGGTTTAAAACGCGAAATATATTAGCTCAAAGTGACATCCCGTTTCCCAACGTGAGGCATGGGTGATCATATTTTTGTTATACAGTTAGTTCCGTTCAGTTTTGTACTCTGCCCTAATATACTATTGCTTCCCTGGGATTCGAACCCAGGATCTCTCGCGCTTAACGTAATACGAGGAAAGAGGTGGACAAAATATATTTGTTAACATAACATTTTTAATTTATTTTAATTTCGCTACGACTGTTATAATTTGCGTTTTAAACAAGTGCAAAAAATACTTAACTAAGTATATCTAAATACTGTCTATAGTCCGTTAAAGTGTTTTATTTAAATGTGTACTACTCGCGTAAACCTACAGACAGTAGGTTTACATCCTTTTAAAAAGACAAGACAGAACTTATTAGCTTCTACCGGGGCGTCACAAGATGTTGTTATACAAAACAATTTGAAAACCAGTTCTCTTGTACGATTCGGAAAGTTGGGTCGATAAGGAAAAATTCTTCTGCATTTCAACCAAAGAAAATTCAAACGCATTTTCAAAGCTGTCCAGGGGACTCTAGAGTAGAAGTTTGTTTGTTTGAACGCGCTAATCTCAGGAACTACGAGTAAGAATTAAAAATTTATTTTTTGTGTTGAAACATTTCACGAGGAAGGCTATAAAGCAACGCCCTGCGACTAATAAAACCGAAGATACAACGGGAAATGTGGAAAAAACAGGGAAAATTATTCATGAATATGGTTTTCCGAAGCTTACACTGCAAAAACGGTTCAAGATATCCAAAAAATATTTATGAATGATTCCTCTTTAAACGATCTAAAAAAAGTCCACGACGCTATAATATATCCATCTTTTAAGATAAACTTGTAAGAGGCGACCGACGTCATGGCTAACAACTTAAGTTTATAAAGATTTGCAAGGTTTGCCAAACAAATTTGGATGCCCGAAATAACGATTCTCGCGGACGCAGTCGCTGGCACAGCTAGTTTGAAATATATTTCGTTACTCACCAATATATCTAGAGTAGTCGTTTGATTTCCTATTACAATATTCCTTTTATTCCCTGGGCAGGCTATTTGCAAAGTTTCCGATCTGCGCAACAAGATGGCGCCGTCCGCTGTGTTTGGCGCCAATAATCCGCCATTGTGCACGTATACAGGTGACGGACTAGGGAAGTCATCTTTTAGTGACAGATTACAACCTAAAAAAATAAAAACAATATTTACATGTAAGGTAAATATCATAAATATGATTGGTCTTTGTGCCTCGCCTGACCGACTGTTATGCCCCAGGATTAGTGCTTGACACACACATTAAGAAATGTATATGAATTTAAAAAAAGGGCACAGTAGCTGATTATAAAATCTTTACTAATATTCTAAAGTTTGTTTGTTTAAATTTTTTTAAACGCGCATATCTCAGGAATTATGTTAACAATTTTCGGTCACTGTACTCGTGTTGATTAACCTAACGAAAATATAAATAATGCAAGTCATAAATTTTCAGTTAGGCTGCTCTGCCTCTATCTATTATTTTTTAGATTTAATCTATACTAATATTATAAATGCGAACGTAACTCTGTTTGTATGTCTGTCTGTCCGGCTTTAACTGCGAAACTACTGAACTGATTTAAATTAAATTAAATTTTTAATGCTAAATAAGGGTTGATAGGGGTTGAAAAAGGGGATGAAAGTTTGTATGCTAATTCGTGGTTTTTGAAGCTAGAACAATGAAACTTTCTTCTTTGGCTTTTGAATAAAAGTGGGAGTGGGAGTAGGAGTGGGAGTGGAGGTGGGGGTGGGAGTTAGAGTAGAAGTGATGTGAGGTGAGAGTGTTGCGGCAAAGTAGCACTTACAACCTAAATTGGCTGCTTTAAATGCGCCCATACATAAATTAATAAACGCTAAGTCACTCTTCCCCGCGGACTTCGCGGGCACAGCTAGTAACTTATTATAAATCAAATGCGTAATTAAATGTCTAATTCGTCCTTACTTGACGTAATTTAATATCTATCCCTGCTTTGTGTTTTCCTTATTGATCCATCCAAGTACACAATTGAATACGACTATCTCCTCAATGAAATGAAATTACATTAGCATAATAATTATTTGTGTCACAATGTCAAAAGAGATCGACAACACATCTTGTTTAGATGTTATATAAGGCCGCAGAGGCAGAGTAGCATACTGCAATTGTGTGACTTAACTTATTTATATTTTCATAGTCTAAGATCTTATCTACAAGGGCAAAGTGGCCTAAAATTGTTAACATAATTCTTACACAAATAATTGTCACACAAGTTATTTGCGCATTTTAATTTTTCTCCTTATTGAAATTCATGTTTTTTGTTATTAGACCACTATGACTCTAGCAGCCTCGTAGCTTGAGGTTATAAAAGCAAGATCAGACTTCTGTCCCCTGACTGAAGCTGAATGTATATTTTCCCTGAATTTCAAACCCAGGACCTCTTGTGCTTATCGCATTTAATAGTTACCTCGCACTTGGTTTTAGCAGCCTTGCACGTGGTGAGAACTTAAAATTTAGTTAATTGGAGTATTTTGTTTCTTATAATCATTGTTTAATACTATTTGTGCCTGCGACTTCGTCCGCGGGAATCGTTATTTTGGGCATCCAAATTCATGTTTTCAAACCAAAAGATAAAGTCTTTATAAATCACATAACTCTCCGTTACGCGTCGTTCTTGCAAGTTAATCTTAAAAGATAGACATATAGCGTCGTGAACTTTTTTAAGATCATTTAAAATTTAAAAAGGAATCATTCTCTCATACATATTTTGTGGGTATCCTAATCCGTTTTTGCAGCGTACGCAACGAAAACTTCCAAAAATCAATAATTTCCCCCATTCTTTACATATTTCCCGCTGTTTCTTCACTCCTGTTAATCCAAGAACGATCTCTAATAGCCTTCCTCGATAAATGCTCTAACCAACACAAAATTATTTTTTATATTTTTCAACTCGAATCAATCGTTCCTGAGATTATCGCGTTCAAACAAACAGTCTTCAGTTTTATATATTAGATAGATTAATCTATATTTATTATATCAATTATCCGAATAGTGTAAAAGAACAAAACTTCGTTGCGAGACTAATAAATGTCATATATGCAAAATTATTAATTGCTTTGATAAGATGATAGATAAGATAAAATATATTTTGGTTATCAGTGTAAGTAGTTTTAATTGCTTTATTAAATCATATAATAAGGCGTATTATTATAAAGCTTGTTGCTAAGAACAAAACAGATGTTTTCTTATAAATGTATAATCGAAATTTATTTAAAAAAAAATTACGACTCAGGAAGGACTTGAACCGGCATCATCAGCGTTACCGATTGAGCTAACCAGAAAAGTAAAAAAAATATTATTATTATAGTTACAAGTGAGAAACTTTTTAAATCCGTTTTGTAACTATAGAAATACCATTAGGTAAAACTATAATACGAATATTTTTTCAGAAAAAAAACGAAAGATTAGCAAATTGTAATGTATTGTAAAAATAAATAAATAAATATTGGTTGCATTTAATAATATATATATTTGAACGTTTAAAGGTGCGATTTTTTTATTAATGACCGCTCTAAATACTGTCTGTAGTTTACGCGAGTAGTACACATTTAAATAATTCACTTTGACGGTTTAAAACGCGATATATTTTTGTTAAACTTGTTTGAAAATTATTTTTAACTACGGCCCGACGTTTCGGATCCTTTGCAGCAGCCGTGGTCACGGGACACCCCCGTTCAAGTGTTTTATTTAAATGACTGTTCTAATTAATTTGATTTTCATGTTTCTTAAAGAACTACACCAAAAACTGTGGGAAAAATATTTTAAAACTTTAATATTGCTCTTGTTTTATTCTGCTGATCTAAGTTTTCTCATATACATATAAATATGGAGTTGCTTTAATTAAAACTATTATACTAATACGGAACGGGCAATAACTATGTCTAACATAATGTATATATGAATAATGCACATGTAACATAATTTAAATAAAACACTTTAACGGTTTAAAACGCGATATATTTTAGTTAAACTCGTTTGAAAATTTTTATCGTCTCCCCGTGACCATGGCTGCTGCAAAGCATCCGAAACGTTGGACCGTAGTTAAAAATAATTTAAAAACAAGTTTGACTAATATATCGCGTTTTAAACCGTTAAAGTGTTTAAACTGTAAACTGCAGACAGTATATAACATAATATTATGTAGTTATAACATAATCCTTTACCAACTCTTAGTACGGATGCAGTAATGCATGCCTTATAAACAGCGCGATGTGGTTTCGATTTCCACACAGTACAATATATTTTTCCCAAAAAAACATTTAAAACTGGAAAATTTGAACATTAAATACCAAGGAAAAGCTATGAAGTGACATTTGCGTTTCGATTTCGTCAGATTTCCGAATGGCAAAGATAAAAAGTTTGACAGCGCATCCTTATATTACAGGGCTAGATCATTTAAATAAAACACTTTAACGGTTTAAAACGCGATATATTAGTTAATCGCGTTTTAAACCGTTAAAGTGTTTTATTTAAATGTGTACTACTCGCGAAAACTACAGAGAGGGCTAGATCATTTCACCTTCCATCAAGTGAATCCCAAGCAAGTCTGTCTTGATCTGTCTGTACAGAAATATATATTAAACAAACAATGATTTATATATAATTGTTTGTTTAATATATATTTCTGTACCAAGCAAAAACGGAGAATCACTACATCATACATATGAGGCTGCTAGAGCCACAGTGGCCGAATGAAAAAAAACATGATTTCCAATAGAGAGGAATAAAAATGCGCAATTAACTTAGGCGAAAATAAATTTGTACTATAATTTGTGTAAGAATTATGTTAACAGTTTTCGGTCACTGCGCTCTTGTAGATTAACGTTTTTAGACTGTCAAAATATAAATAACTCAATGCATAAAATTGCAGTTAGGCCACTGCCTCTAGCGGTCTCATATAATGAACATGTGTAAGCACTTACTTCCAATAACTTCGTTCACAGTCTTTAATATCGTCAATAAAATGATACAATACTTCATATTTGTTACAATTGAACGCGTCTAATATACTTCGTGTCTCGTCACTTACTAAAAGGATAAATAAAGTCAGTGCATTCTAACGGTGGAGATGACGCACCGCGTTGTACAGTCAATTACAAACGTAATAATACTAACTTTGTCAGCGGCTTCTCCCGCGCTGTTGCCACATTTTTAGACTTCGCGTTTTTATTTTTTTTGCGAATCTCCTTATTTTAAAATTGAGCTGTTACCAACGACGTCGGTCGCGTCCCGTCGTTCTTGCAAGTTAATCTTAAAAGATATAGCGACGCGGTTCTTTTTTAGATTTAAAGATAAATATTATTTTCGTATATTTATTAAATTTTTTTTCCTCATTTCCCGCTGTTTTTCGCTCTTATTTTATACGCTGAATGATTTTTTTTGCCTTTCTTGATTAATCTCTAACCAACACATTTTTTTAATTTAAACCAGTAGTTCCTGAGATTGGTACGTTCAAACAAACAAAGTATTCAGTTTTATTATATTAGTACAGATAAATTAAATTTACATTTAAAAAAATCTTTAACAATCTTTTACATTTTGTTGTCTTCGTTGTTGTAACGGTAGCAATATATGTCTAGTAATCAACGAGTCGTGGGTTGCATCCTTGAGGGGTTCAACGTGTTAATTAACTTATAATCCTTCTGAAACATATTGGGCTTATGGAAATCTGGATATTAAATGTGTTATAGGAATAGCGAAATTCCAAACGGATCGGCCACAGATGCAGAAGTCGTTAAGTTTAGTCGCGTTTCGGTATCAGTCTGTGAATTTCCGAATATCCAAAGCTAAAATAGTCGACAGCGCATCTTGTTGAGATGTTACATGGTTGGGGAATATCATCTTCCATCAAGTGGACCGCATACTCGTCTATTCATTCTATAAAAAAACAACTAAAAAAGCTTGTTGAATTTTAATATAACATTACACTTTTGACCTTAACTGTACAACAAAGGCCTAAATATTGAATGTTTGAACGACGCAGCGATAAAAAATAATTACGAAACACGAAAATCACCGTTATCTTTACGTAAGGTTGGTATGGGAAAATACAAACTCATTTCTTATGTATGGCTTTTATGTTATTTACCTTGTATGACATTGCCCTAAAAAGGTGAATTAAAATTTTATAATAGGGAATTAACCGCAATTGAAAGACTTGTCTAACACTGGCTTAAGCATAGACGACCTATAAGTAATTATAATTAATATTTTTATTTATACTATACTGATACATCAGAAATAGTTTTTCATTACATTAAATTAAAATTATTAAACAACCTACATTGTTATTAAAATAATGATAAAAATAATTATCTCTCTATGTGTTAATCTTCGAAAGTATTGAGGTATCTTCGTTGTTCACGGAGAAAACGTTTTTGTAGTTGTTAACTCAAACTCAAAATATATACTTATTAACAGTTGAAAATTTGATTTATTGGTTTTGTTCGTGTATAAACTAATTTATTAGTAAATAGTTTAAAATCTTATTTTATTTTGATATTCATCCTTAAATATTAAGAATAAATAGTAAATATAAAATTACCCTTAAATACAGACGAAGTTGCTGGCTAAATCTAGCCAAATAGGAATGTCAGCGCAACTGTCAAGACAACTTCATAACACAGTCAATTGTCATCTATCAAAAGTCAAGACATAGCGTAGAGGTTATGAACAGCGAACGGTAATAAATAAATAAATAACTGTATAATTTTAACTAAAAGATAAAAATGACAGTGAAACCACGAGTAAAACTAGATAATGATGACGACCCAGTTGAAACAATGCTCAAGAAAGCAGGTTGTTTAGATTTACATTACAAAGTGCAAGTAAGTTGTACAAACTTTCCTTAGAAATCCTAAAAGGCATACAATTATAATATTATCATTAGAATAACAGTTCTACTTAACAATCCTATTCTGTTACTGCAGAGTAATGTCAAAGTTAGCCAGAAAACTTATTAATATGAGTTATTGTTTAAGATCATTTATACTCTGAAATTCATGTACTCATTAAAAAAGTTAAAGAGTTTGTTCGTTTGAACGCGCTTATCTCCGTAACTGGTTGGAATTGAAAAAAATATTTTTGGGTTAATTAGAACATATTTTATCACGGACGGTTATAAACAATAAAACATAGCGCTACGACAAGTAGGAGCCAAGAAACAGTTTGTTTAGTTTGGTTTGGTCCATTGTGTACGCTATGATAACTGTCCAAGATACCCAAATAATATTGCTCTTGAAATGATCTGAAACAAATGCCTGCGACATTATGTCTATTTCTTAAAATCAACTTGCAAGAAGCATGGGACGCGACCGACGTCGAGGGTAACAGATTAAATTTACAAAGATGTAGAGGAGGTTTAAAAAATCAAATTTTGATGCCTAAAATATCTATCCTATGCAGATGAAGTCGCAAATAATTCCAAAATGTTTTTGCAGCAATAATACTACTATCTATAAAACTCCTTTTATTTTGAATGTGGTTAAGTAATAATTAATTTTTATATTTTTTCTACAGGAGTGTATTAACACAACAAAGGATTGGAGGCAATGTCAGACGGAAGTAAATGATTTTAAGGAGTGTATTACAAAACATAAGCAAGAAGAAATGGCTAAGACACCTAGATAATAAAACAGGATCATAAATTAACTAATTGCGTGTCATGATTTTGTTATTTATTGTTAGGATATATGCTGTAGATATTATAATATTGTCTTGTGATAATAGTTCTTAATAAAATGTTTTTAAAAATAGCTGAGCTTTTTGTTGCCTGCTTATGTGTGTAACGCGTTACGGCCACTTCCTGGATTTGTCTCCCTTTTACTGGTAAACAATATTATTAGATTATGTTGATAATAAAACGTTTTTATAAGTTGAATAAATGTTATAAGCGCCATCTGTGTTCTTTAGCTAGCATTAAGTTTAAAATGTAGTTAAATATAATATAAAATTATTATTATACTTCTAATAAATTAGTAGTATTTACAGTATATTTATGGTTAAGATAATATGTGAAAATATTTAACTAAAGTTTAATTATATAATTGAAAGTTTTGTATTTTATGAGTAGGAAACATTTTTACGTCAGTCTGTGATAAAATCACATTGTTTTGATTTTTAAATTTTAAAGTTACACATTTTTGTATTTATTAATTAAACAAATAACTGTAGCATGTTCAGAAAATTACGGCTCCGGCATTTATCTAGTGTCTATGCTAATTATACCACAAGGGTTGAAATAGATTCATCCCTACGCGATGGTTTCGAAACAAAAATATACAAACCTAGGCACCATCCCGGCAAAACAACTATAAAACTTGCGGCGATTCCTCCAACAATACAAAAGGCAATTATAACGATTCTAGAAGACAACGGCGCTAAAATGTACATTGAACAAAGTAAACAACTAGATAACTATTTGAGTTCCCGTCTGCTACCGCCAGAAGAACAGGAAATTAACGAGAAAGCAAGCAAAGTCCACCAAAGTGTCTCAAAAAGATTCAACGCGAAATTAAACAGAGAACTAACAAACGAAGAGAGAGTCGCTCACGAAAAGGAGATTCAGAACGCAGTATTCAATATCTTAAAGAAGAACGTTTACGCCTGGGGCAATATATCTTACGATAAACCTACGTGCTTACAGTATTTGATGACAAGAGCTGCGCCGGAGTACGCTATACTTGTTCGTATTTTGAATGAAATAAAACGAAAATTACCTGACTATAAACCAAGGAGTTTCTTTGACTTTGGCTCTGGCATTGGTACTGGTACATGGGCAGTAAATCATTATTGGAAAGGAGATATATTTGAATACTTCACGGTGGATACATCACAAGATATGAACGATTTAGCTAGACTGATACTCTGTCAGGGAAAAGATAACGTAGAGCTACCGTTCAGAGCCTATTACCAAAGACAGTTTCTCCCAGCATCAGCAGACGTTAAGTACAATATTGTATTATCAGCATTCTCATTTTTTGAACTACCAAGTATGCAAACTAGACTAGAAACAGTACAAAAACTATGGAATAAAACTGAAGACTTCTTAATCATTGTTGAAGAAGGCACAAATGCTGGATTTAGAATAGTCAATGAGGCAAGAGAATTTATACTCAGTAATACAAATGAGAAAAATAAAGGCTACGTCTTCTCACCTTGTTCACACGACCAAACATGTCCTAGGTTTCTCGAGCAGAAAACGCCTTGTAATTTCCTAATGAAATATGAAACAATGCCATTCTCGTCCAAGACCGAAGTCTATGCAAATTTATTTAGTTATGTAATTTTAAGGAAAGGTAAGAGACCAGAAGATGATCCACAGTGGCCGAGAGTGGTCAGGGCTCCGCTGGTGAGATCAGGTCACGTAATATGTAGATTGTGTACAGGTGAAGGTGAATTGAAGGAAATAATATTTTCTAAGAGTAAATATGATCAGGCGACATATCGCTGTGCAAGATGTAGTATTTGGGGTGATGAATTGCCAGTCAAATAAATATTTCTATTAATTGATTAATTAGTATTACTTATCAAATGTTGCCTTTTCTTAAATCATTAACTAAACTTAATAGTACATAATTAACACTAACAGTTTAAAACATAATTTATATTAGTTATAATGTGCAACTACAGCTGCTGTAAGGCATCCAAAATGTCAGGTCATAGTTAAATAAGTTTAACTAATATATATCATGTTTTAAACCAGTAAAGCGTTTTATTTAATTATGTACTACTTACGTAAACTAAAGACAGTATTTAATGGTAATTTTCAAAGTTTATTCAATAGTTCCTATGCAATACTTAAATAAACAAAATTTTTATATTCAAGCATTTCAACATATAGGTCAATAAAACTTATGTATGTATATAAATAAAAAATTTATTCTTTAACTATTCTAATAATAATAATCTACGCTAGGATGTTTCCTTTGTTGCGGAGGGCTGTGTAAGCGACAATGACAGAGAGGGCTGTGGCAAGGACTTCAGAGTTTACCCAGGGGCCAGAGTAACCTGAAGAACACGAGAACAATGTTAGTTTTTCCAAAATCGGCAATATGAAATAGCTTTCATACAAAAAACATTTTTTATATTTTATTTCTTTAACTGTTCCTGTTAGTTAATCCTAAAACATAGACATTATCACACAGACATTGTTAATACTCAAATAATAGTACAAATTTATCTTCACTTAAGTTAATAGCTTATTTTTATTTTCTCCTTAATGAATATCATGTTTTTTGTCATTAGGCCACTCTGCCTCTAGCAGCCTTTATTAATCTTTATTCTAATTATTGTCCTATATAAGAAGCAATTAGGTACACTTCTTATTTTATGTAACAACTTTCTAAAATACTTACTTCCTGGGTGGTTGAGCTGAATAGCGAGTAAGGGAGATACAGATGCAGCTGGGTCACTACGGCGTGCTCGGCGTAAGGACGCAAAGCCTTCTTCGTCTAAGATGTGGATTTCATGGACACCAGACCGAGCCTTGGAAGGCTCTTCAGTCCAAGACACCTGCAAAAAAATTATAAAAAATAAATACCTATATAAGGTGATTCTAACTTACAACATACATCTTAGTATAAGACACCCAAATATAAATAAGTTTGCGATTCTGTAAACCAGGCAGGAGTGTAAATATAAGATTGTGAGATATAAGACAAAACTAAGAAAATTTGCATAAAGCTTACCTGATATTTGTTTTCCCCAATGCGAGCTGCCGTCAATGACTTTCCATCAACTTCGGCATATAGAGCATAGTTTGGTGGCAAAGGATTGTCACATTTTAAAGTAAATTCTGTAATATAAGCTATTTGAGTGACCACAGTCGCATCTAAACTTGTGAACGATGCAGCTTCCACTTGTGGGTTTTGGCAACTTTGTGCGTATGTTGTGCTGGCCGCAATGGCGAGGATTGTGAACAAATATTTTGTGACCATTTTTCAGTCTTATTGAACTATTTTAACTTAAAAATTACGTTTTAAATTCAACACTATATTGCTATCGTTCCACGTCGTCTTTGGATTTCAAAATGACAGATAATCGACAACGAAAGGTGACCGCCGATTTACGTTCCTACTTACGGATTTCTGGTGAAAGGCTAGTAAGCGGTCTTTGACCCCGCCAAAATAGTTTTAACTACTGATTTTTTTTAACTTTATTGTAAATTCTCCCTACACATTAATAGTACTGTTTATTATTTTTCTTATTATATTTTAAAAATATTTATCGTAGTCATTTGAGTAAAATATTTTTTTAAATTGGAAGGATAGGTTTATTGGCGTTTTGAACTGGAACGGCATTTGAAAAATCAGCGATGACGTGTGGACAAATGTCATGATTGGGCAATATGGGTGCGTTCATTGTAACTTAAGTTTTAAAGGTTCATAAAGTTTTTAATAAAACTTTAACATTTATTTGCGACTAATGATTACTATAGATATCAAATATTTCTTAATTGGTGCCCTTAGACTCATAATTAAATTACTTCCGAATATTCAAATCTAAAAATAAGTCGTCAGCGCATTTTATGTTTAAAAAAAAAAAAATTTATTTAAATGTTATTTGGCTGTGGTATTTTACCAAGTTTTATCAAGTGAATCCTACGCTAGTCTGTAGTCTGTCCCCCTTGCGTTTGTACTTTTAAGTTTTAGTACATGGGAGTCTCTATATTAGTTTATCCTTTTTTTTTATGTCTTACGGCATATTCTGGGAATTATAATAAAATCACTGTTCTCTTTATATCTAGTTCGTAGAAATAATAAAGCTAAATATATTCATTTTATTTACAAGATAAGTTTTCTGTTTGCAGAATATTCGAACCCGGAGCTCTCAACATATATAAATGAAATATTACAGAATTAGTCATAAAAAATGTAAATCTGGCTCTAATAACAAGATTTTTAAGAAAATCCTAATAAGAATTAATAATATTTTATTATGTTATGGATAGATGGAAAAACCTATAAATCTGGCCGTAACGTAGACCCTCTTTGCATGTCTTTTGGACATCCCTAGGTTAATGGAAAGGTGGAAAACCAGATCTTTAAATCCAACCCTGTAAAATAGACCCTTTTTACGTCTCCTTTGAACACTCCTAGGTTTTGGTTGAGTGGAAGACCAGACCTTTGAGTCCGGTCCTTTAGAACACGAAGATGAAAAGGCAAATAAAACGCTCTCGTATCCGTAGAGGCCTATATTATTTATTTATATCGACATGTCCTTGCATCGGCTAGGGTTCCGCCCGGCGTCAGTGGTTGCCGGGGGGGTCTTGGCGGGCGAGGCGGGCGGCGGGTTGCTCCACTCGACGCCGTCACCCTCGTATTGCGTGTTCTCGAGTCTGGTGATCAGTCGTTCGTCTTCGTCGCCGAACTCGCCGCCCATAAGCGACGGCTCGCCGACTACCATCACGTCCTGAAATCGGAGATTCAATATATTTCAGATCACACGAGGAATCACCAAGGAGCTAATGTTGATTATTTTTTCATATCTCGACACAATTGAACACAAATTTGTTGATAATATTTTCCATGAGGTCTGAGATTCGAAACATTGGAAGACAATATTTATTTAAGTTGCATTTTATGCAACTTAAATAAATATTGTCACAGGCTGTCAACAGGCTGATCCAAAGTGTTTAAATAAAACACTTTAACGGATTAAAACGCGCAATAAATATTTTTTTAATAAATATCACTTTAACGGTTTAAAACGCGCCATATATTAGTTAAACTAATATGCTTAAAATCGTTTAACTACGGCCCGACGTTTCGGATTCTTTGCAGTAGTTGTAGTCAACTAATATATATTGCGTTTAAAACGGTTAGTTTTTATTTAAATGTGTTACTCGCGTAGACTACAGACAGTATTTAGATACAGGATATTATACCTGTGATGCTAAACTGAAGTTGGGTCCGGGAGATCGCTTCTTGGCGGGCGCGGGCGGCGCTGCGTTCGCGCCGGCACTGCCTTTGCGCTTGCGACGCTTACTCGCTGGACGTTGAGACTCTGTTGGTATCATAATGCCCTGGTAAGTTATCTGATAGTTTGAGCTTTAACGACAATATGAAATTTCAGAATAACAAGTATTAACGGAATAAAACGAGTAATTTAACAGTTATTTCAATATTTCATTAAAGGTCCACGAGGACAATGATAATTTTGAACCATAAATTAATACAACGCAATACATATCATAATGCCCTGGTAAGTTATCTGATAGTTTGAGCTTTAACGACAATTTGAAATTTCAGAATAACAAGTATTAACGGAATAAAACGAGTAATTTAACAGTTATTTCAATATTTCATTAAAGGTCCACGAGGACAATGATAATTTTGAACCATAAATTAATACAACGCAATACAATAGGGCTAATTATTAGAGAATTTATTTGTTTTACATTATTTTGAATTCGGAGAACAAGCCAAGCGTGAGTTTACCTGATGAAAGAAAGGAGGTTATAATTAGCCTTTACTAGATATTTAAAAAAATAACCATTATTGAAACATGTTGGACTCGATGGGGATCGAACCCACGATCCCTGATCGACCATCAGCCATACTTGCCCTCATTCCCCCTATTTACTAAAGCATAATTTCTAGCTAGGATAAAAGGTCTACCAGGAGAGCACAACGTACGTGGGGGCTTACCTGGCGGCGCGACCATCCTCTGCCACTTCTGGAAGAGCGTGGTCTTGAGGCAATCCCGCGGCGACAGCGCGTACGCCTTGTGTCGCGACATTAGCTCTTGCATTGGTTCTAGGATCACGCACAACTGGAAGACGAGATGGGGATAGTTAATTTATTATTTCAATTCAAATTCGATTATAAATTTAAAAAAATACGACTCCGACAGGAGTGGAACCGGCATCCAGACCGTTCCGTGCTGTTGCTCCAACCAATTGAGGTAAAGAGTCACGGAACGCTGTGGATGCCGGTTTAAGTTCTGCCCGAGTCGTTCATTATTTTATTCAGATTCGATAGAGAATGCTGACGATTTACCTTCAAATAAAACGGACACATAAATATATCCGCCTCATTATTATTATTATTTTCTTTCGGGGACACCTGTGGTAGGACGGGTGATCAGTCCACTCTATCAGCTGACCATTTCACCCATTTCCCCATTTCCACCTTGTGGAGGTTTTGGGTCATCCAACTCTCCCCGTGTCCCCTTCAAACCTTCCGGTTTGCTTGCAGAATCTTATAATTTTTTCCATCTGTAATTCTTTGATCTCATCTTCTGTAACTTCGTCCGAACCCATATGTGTTTGTCTTAGCCTCGAGTATGCAGAGCATTCAGTGAGTAGATGGATGCTTGTTTCCTCACTTTCTCTGCACTCCGGACATAGGGGGTCGCTGCCTATTCCTATCATTGTAAGATGTCTGTTTAGACGGCAATGTCCTGTTATGACCTCTACGATGAGTCGGATGTTCGCTCGTTAATCTCATCAGGTTTTTGGTCTTCTTTTTGTCTAGGCTATGTATGAATATCTTCGACTGTCTCATTCCAGTCGAAGATTTCCATCTTTGGTTTGTTTCTTCTATGATTCTGCGCTCGATTATTCCCTTGGTTACTTTATGGGCTATCGGAAGTCTCGGTTCCGGCCCAATCAAGCTTTCATCGGCTCCTTCGCGAGCGAGTTCGTCCGCTCTCTCATTGCCAATATTTCCTTGGTGTCCAGGGACCCAGGCAATTGCCACTTCTACCTGATCAGTTAGTTTGTGCAGTGCTCTCTTGCATTCTTTGACAATAGCAGATGTTGTCTCTTCTTTGCATAGCGCTTTAAGTGCCGCCTGACTGTCGCTGTAAATTGTAACACTTGACAGGGGTCTTAAGTGCCTGGCAATCTCTGCACATTCCATGATGGCGAATAACTCCGCCTGGAATACGCTAACAAGTTTCCCCAGAGGGATTGATCTTGTTATCTCTGTTCCGTCCTCGCATCTCATATATATGCCTGACCCAGAGAGCTTTGTCGTTTCTTTCCTGGAACCATCTGTGTAGCACACCGTGCCCACATTTTCCGAGTCTATTCTCCACTTCTGCCTTTCCCCAATGTGGATTCTGTATCTCTTGTCAAAAAATCCTTTCCTTACGCCTTTATATCCGCCTCATACAAACATAGTACTTATTAATTGCAGCATGTTTGTTTTATTTGCATTCATTTTTTGCCCCGAAAAAGCAGACATATTGACAATATGACGGCGTGACAAATTGTGATTGAATTTAGGATAGAATGCATCATTAAATGTTGCGCGTTCCTCGACTAACCGAAGACACATTTAACGGTTAAATAATACACTTTTAACGGTTTAAAATGCAACAAATATTCGGATGCTTTGCAGCACTTCTTCAAGGAGCCGACCAGTTTCGGCAATTACCAACTACGACGGAACAGATGGCGCTCGTTTTTATTTGACATTAAGGACCATCTTTAGCCTCCCCGTGACCACTGCTAAAAATCATCCGAAACGTCGGGCCGTAGCGCGAAGTTAAAATAAATTGTAAACTTTATCTAATATATTTCGAGTTTTAAATGGTTAAAAGCGTTTAATTTGTATGTGTGGATACGACTGAACAGTTTTGAAATGCAAAAAAGGTTTTAAAGAAGGCCGCGAAAGCCTATTTTCGTTGTTTCCATAATAAAGAAAGTCTTATTGTACCAGGCTATAAGAAGTATACAGGCGACCTACCCTCAAGTAGTTGAGCGTGGAATTGGTGATGCCCTGCCTTGTGATGTTCTTGGCGAGCTGGTCCAGCGACGCGTGGTCCGGGGGGTGGACCGCCTGTCGCGGGATCAGTTCCCGGTGCGCCCGAACAGCCATATGCCATGACTTGATGCGCATTAGATCGTCGAATGTGAACTCGAGGATCAGTCTGCCTTCTGTGCACACCTGGAATTGATAAAACAATTTTTAATTAAGGTAAATGTTCGTCACGGTTTTACGCCTAAAGGGCTGGACTAATTTGGATGTAATGTAGACACGTGAAACGTTGTCCGCGAATCCCGTTGGTAACAATAAAGTTACGGTGAGAAAGTGTAAAGCCTGAATTAAATGACTGTAGATAAAAGAAAGTGGCATCTTCATCTTTGAACATACTAACTTCAAGATATGCGAAATCAATGTTAGATTTTTTTATACATTTTTGAAATAACATATACCACACTCCCGACTGGTCGGGTTTACGACGACGTCACTTGCTTATAAACAGTGCTATAAATAAATTTATTAATTTATTAATGCTGAGAATAGAACAGTTTTAACACAATGAAGCACGCAGTATATAAGCAAGTGACGTCATCATAAACCCGACCAATGCCACGTGACAAATGTTTAAAAAAGTTCATTTCTTTATTTAAAATGATTATTTTCAACATTTGTTGCGGTTTTACTATTTATAAACTTAAACATAATACATATAACCTTAATAACAGTAAAATACGCTATACTTTTCGCATTGTCAAATAGGCCATGGTCCCAATCTCACCTTGGTGAACATAGGCTTGCCGTGGTGCGTGACCATCGTACAGTGGTCGCAGTCTAATGTGATGCTGGTATTGTGAAACGACTCCTTCGGCTGTCGCATTGTGTAGTACAGTTCTGACACGCCACCCTCGTATATACTGCGGAAGTACCGCGGGATCAGCGTCCTTCCTATTGCTGGAATGGCGAGATTCATTTTTGAGCGTGTTTTTATAATAGGGAGGGACAGACTGTTTTAGAAAAATTATAAATTGAAAAATTTGTTAGACCAACATGTGGGACCCAGTGGGCATCGAACCCACGACAGTTTACATATAACACCAACGATGTATTTAAATAAAATACTAACGGTTTAAAACGCGATATATTAGTTAAACTTATTTGGAAATGATTTTTAACTTCGGCTCGACGTTTCGGATGCTTTGCAGCAGCCGTGGTCACGAAAATCATTTTCAAATTAGTTTAACTAATATATCGCGTTTTAAACCGTTTGAGTGTTTTATTTTAATGTGTGCAGCTTGTAAACTAAAGACAGTATTTTATATTAGGCAGTAATTAAAACTTAGATCACCATCATCAGAGCTCCAACACTTATGGTGATCTAAATAAGTATTTATTTATACTCACTGTATCTTTTGGGTCCATCTTCTAAACAAAAAGTTAGCGTGAGCGTCGCGTCGTCTTCGAAGAACTCCGTCGCGAACGCGTCCCACCATAAATTATCAGAGTCCTGAAATTCAAACGGTAATATAGTTTATTTTTTCTAACTTGGCAAAAGACCACGACAAGTATAGCTGACTTCAAACCATAGAGAACTAGTGATGACGTTTTGTAGAGTGGAGTTGTTGCTATAAGGAGTATCCAATTATATACCAAACGACGTCAATATTCAAAATATATTTTATTATGGCCTTTTAGTTGAATTGTTAAACTTGACGTTTGTAACGCTTTTCAGCGATCTAAAATAAGTGTTATGACATTGCTAAATTAAAAAACAGATGGCGCTATACACAAAAGCGAGTTCCTAACACTAGATGGCGCTGAACACCAATTATACTATTGCAGGCGTTTGTGTAAACAATAATTTATAATGTGCAGCAATGCAATTACATCGAAATGTGACATAAGTAAGTACCAGGAGATAAGCGATTGTGAAGAGATTCATATTTACCTCTGTCCTCTGTTGTAATCTTTTGTTGAGTTCATATACTCTGTAATCTGGCTGACCGAAGTACGGCGCGTGCCTCCTGAAACGTTAAACGATAATAATCAGTAATTATTATACATCCCTAGTACTCTTAGTACTTGTACAGTGAAATCCCGTTTCCCCCTCGTGGGGCATGGGGCGAACACATTTCTGTGTCCGTTTCACTGATCTGTTCTTTAACAGTAGTGGATCAGACTTCTGTGCCCTGCCTGACCGAAACAATTGTTTGTTTCCCTGGGATTCGAACCCAGGACCTCTCGCGCTTAACGCAATACTAGGCGTTTAACCGTTTGGCTACAGAGGCAGATGACTTGTACATACTAACAAGAACACAGAAACAAAACCGACTCCGATCCTCCTACGAGACTCCTCCAGATCCCCACCAGGTCCAACACATTTCTAATTTTTCTGAAACATGCTGGACTTCGTCTGGAAATCTGGATTATAAATAGTGGTAGGAACATAGAAATTCCTTCCACGAACTACCGTCCACAGATGACAAAGGCGTGAAGCTTAATCGCGTTTCGATATCAGTCTGTCGATTACCGATTATCCAAAGCCAAAATAGGCCAACAGCGCATCTTGTTTAGATGCTATAAGTTATCACCTACCACCAAGTGGACCCTATGCCATGTCTGTCCACCTCTATAATTTAAAAAAATAGGTATACCGGCTACATATAACCTTTCTCTTGTTTCATCTTGGATTGGAAGAGATCGCTTGAAAGCGATAAGGCCGCCCATGGCAGTATATTTTTAGTATATAAGTTTCGTTTGTATTTTTGTCTTTGTGCAATAAAGTGTTAATAACACTAATAAAACCTTCATGGATAAAAAAATACTTGCTCAGTATTATTTAGATATCATTAATAATCAACAATCATTTTTAGTTGCAAACAAGTTTTATTTATTTATTTATTTCATTATAAACATATTCTACCATTACAGAAAAATTTATTAATAGTACATGTAATCTAATAGATTAAAAATATACAGGAACGGATATAGAGGCATATAATGCTGTAGTTTACGCAAGTAGTAGGTACACATTTAAATACAACATTTTAACGGTTTAAAACGCGATATATATATTAGTTAAACTTATTTGTTAGTCTCCCCGTGACCACGGCTGCTGTAAATCATCCGAAACGTTGGACCGTAATTTTCAAATAAGTTTAACTTATATATATCGCGTTTTAAACCGTTAAAGAGTTTTATTTAAAGCAAAAAATATTCTAACTATGGCTCGGTGTTTCGGTTGCTATGCAGCAGCCGTGGTCACGGGGAGGCTCTTTCGTTCGAAAATGGAGTAGTATTAGCTTTTTAGGTATAATATTGTCGTAGAATGTACCCAGTGCCTGAAGCCATTAAAATAAATTACTTTCCCTTCGATGAATTGATAACCTTAGATATACGGCTTCTCCTATTAAGCATGTTACCCTGGTATTCAATGTTAAAAAAAATATTCTTATTATTAGCTACACATTTACTTAAATAAAACACTTTTAACGGTTCAAAACGCGAAATAACTAAAGTACGGCTGGATAAATTTCAGTTTTTATAAAATCCGCGATATTTGCATTGTTACTTGGTATTTTTTCAAAATTTCCACAACAGGTAGTTTTTATCTATCTCTCTCCCGGTTTTCACTACTGACTTAATGGTGCATCACCCACCACGCCGCTCTGAAGCAGCATGGTGGGTCTAACCTCGGAAACGTTCTATGTGAGGGGCGTTTTGCCCAGCATTGGAACATTATAGGTTGAACGCAATTCCATAAATTAATTTAAAAAACTCGGTAGTGTAAATAATAAAAGAATTCGACTTTCTAAGATAAACAATACACGATTTATAATTTTATCAAACAAAGGTTGACGAATTTCATTCATACATACGTAGAGCATGATTGTTCGTTTCCACAGATATAGAAAAATTAGAAAATAAAAATACTATCTATAGTTTACGCGAGTAGTACACATTTAAATAAAACACTTTAACGGTTTAAAACGCGATATATTATTTAAACTTATTTGAAAATGATTTTTAACTTCGGCCCGACGTTTCGGATGCTTTGCAGCAGCCGTGGTCGCGGAGAAACGTTAAAGTGTTTTATTTAAATTAGAAATATTTTAAGGATTCTTTGTAGGAAGAGCTTCATTATCTGTGTATAGAGAAATATTGAATACTGTCTGTAGCTTACGCGAGTAGTACACATTTACATAAAAAAGTTTAACTGTTTAAAACGCGATAAATATGAGTTAAACTTATTTGAAAATTATTTTAATTACGGCCCGACGTTTTATTATCAATACAACTTTTATATGTAATTTAAAGAAATACATTTTTTATTTATTAATTTTATGTTTTATTTAAAACTTGTGTTCTCTAGTACAAACTTTTTTTTAACAAAAGCTATTTGAGCTAAAAGTATACGTTTCGAAATAAACTGAATTTCAATCACTTTGCTAGTGAGAGCTTGTTAATATGTACCTATTATTTTTTAGTTTTAAAATTACAGAGGCTGGACTGGAACCTGCGACCGATAATGTACAGTTCCGTTGTTCTACCAATTGAGCTACCGTTTCAAATCACACACTCATGCGCAATTTAATATTGATTATTGACCTTTTCAAATAAGTCTGTCCATTTATTATTTATAATTTTCTTTTGTAGGGTTTTTTAATATATTTTTAACTTTTAAATATTAATTGTGTGTACACATTTCAATATGTATTTTGATATTAGGGAAGGGGGGCGACCCCCCTATGACCAAGACTCCTACAAAGCGTCGGAAACGTCGAATCGTGGTTAAAATAAAAAATATTAACTGATACATAGTTAAAATATTGTAAATAAGTCGTTTTTCGAGAAGAAGTATTTCGAGTTTTCAACCGTTAAAAGTATTTTATCCAAAAGTACTACTCGCGTACTACAACACTATATAATCTAATACGCACAGCTTAAGGTTTTGTGGTTAGTCTAGACTCTAGACTAAGACTAGGTCACAAATAGATAAGAGTAAACCCTATGTATACGTATGTCTAAGCCCCATCAAAGAGTTCGCAAGTGTCGGAAAGTTGGTGCATCTTAAAACATCGACATGCCGTAGACAAGGACTCGTTGGTGTTCAAGTATTGCTAATAATCAACGTAAGTAAAAATCGCGGGTTCGATTTCCACCGGGACACATAGCTAATTTTTCCGAAACATCTTGGTTTGGAATGCACGCGTTTCGGTTGTGTTGGGATCACACTCTTTTACCTAAAGTAAGGATCCGGTATCGGGTGGTATAGCGGCGGCGGCGGCGGCGCGTACTCATGGTACTGGATCTGGTGGGGGTGGGGGTGTGGGTGCGGCGAGATGTGATGGTACTCGCCCTCGCCGCCGAGCGAGCCCAGCGCCACGGGCATGTAGGCCACTTTGTCACCGCGCCATGTAACCGCTGGCGAAAACACCTGCCGCTCTATGCGCTCCTGTTACTTGTCAACGCGAGATAAACTCTTTTCGGCACTTTTTAGTTCGTTGAGAAACAGACGACTGTTATCACTCACACACACCGAATTTTCAAAGTGTTTTTCACTGAACGTTCGTTCCGCTTAATTTAATATTTATTTAATTAATATATAGTTCAACACAAGTTGTTTAGACACTATTATATATAGTTATAGCTTTATTCACTTAATACCTAAAGAAAAATGTGCAAAATTTAACAAATTCAACAAAACAAGCGCGCCATCGAGGCGTACAAACAAGACTGTGGCTGATAAAATTTCGAATTTTTCGCGCGGGAAGCGCTGTCTCGGCGCGTAGAACGTCCTAAATCCATTATATACTTGACGTTGATTCGCAACTGTCGACCGTATTACCGAGCAATAGAGGCGATAAGGCCTAAGATAGGCTAGCGCGGTGTACTCGTGAAGTGCGGCAACGCCGCGTCAGCTGGCGATAGAATTGCGTTCCGAAAGGTCAACAATTCAACGTTGAATTTTTTCTCTCCGCTATTTTCGTGTAAGTTTGTTTATTTTACTATAGACTTTGTTATATTGGTGTTTAGGTCCGCGTTCTATCCAATTCAATTGTTACAGATTAAAACGTAATTTCAAAAGCTTTTATAAGTTAGTAAATAGCTTACTTAGTGTTTTTTAAATAATTACTATAATACACATCATTTGTATAATTATTAATGTGTATGGAATTTATATGTTAAAAAAACCGTCCTAGACTCAAAGACGTCCGTAAAATATAGATAGGTAATAAAAAGAGCATTGTTTTCACCGGCGCGGCCTCGGCGCGCGAGGTTGCCGCCCCGTGCTCTCGCGCCATACTTTTTACTGTTTCTTAGCACATAGAACTCATTACCGCACGCACACATAGATGGCGCGTCGTACACATAGTGCAGTACATAGTGTACATTCCGCTACGAACATAGGTATGTAGGTGAACGACGCGGTACACAAATCAAACAGTGTGTGTTATAAATAACTAGCGGAGATGTGCCCGTGAACCACGTCATTTTTACGCATATTTCATCGATATATCGTTGAATTGCAGAAACATCGACTCTCTATACGATAAGAGTCTTATTGGAAATGTTAAAATAATGCAAATTTAAAGTTTATCTCTTGCGCGTCGTAAGTTAAAGGCATTTTCGCGAAGCCGGCAACGTTTTTCCAAACTACGTCACAGTGACGTTCGAAACTCAAAAATAAATCGATAAACTCATTCGAATTCGAAAATGGAACGCGCGGGAAAACTTTACCATTTATAATTTACTACACGTGGACAAACAAATAGATATGCGAGTGGAAATTATTTTCCGTCTCGGGAAATTCACTGAACTGCACACACGTCAGCGGCGATCGATACAACTCAACACAGTTTACACCAGTCCCACAATTGGTACGGACTTGTTGCTAGGAGGGACGCGGAAATCTATCGAGGAGACCCCGCTTATCGCGAGACCAAACAAGACTGATAAGGCCCACAATGCAGTCGCGAAAAAGCGGGACGGCCGTTTTAGCGTACCGTCAGCAACCGAATGTGTGTCAGGCCGTGTCAATGACTTCGGGCCGGTAAACAGTGGTTACACGTGCGCGGGGGACGCGAAATCGAACACCGACTAGATAATCTGTCAATCAGTAGACAACGCGCGGTTTGACAGCTGTCACCGGTGACTCCGCATCGCTGCGGTGACGTAAAGAAATGGCGGGCTGGGCGGGAAAGCGCGTTATCGCTAGATCATAAGACCGCTGTAGCCAGAGTAGCCCAAGTGCAATTTTACGACTTGACTTATTTATATTTTTATAGCCTACAAATGTTAATCTACAGCACAGTGACCGACCGACAATAGTTAACATAATTCTTACACAAATGCTAGTTAAATTTTCGGCAAGTTAGTTGCGCATTTTTGTTTGTCTCCTCATTAGAAATCATGTTTTTTGCTATTAGGCTACTCTAGAGTGAAATCCCGTTTCCCCTCGTGGGACATGGGGCGAACACATTTCTGTGTCTGTTTCACTGATGAGTTTTAATTGCAGCCAAGTAGATGACCAGAGCTCTGTGCCCTGCCCAACCGAAACAATTCACTGTTTCCCCGAAATTCGAACCCTGGACCTGCTAGGCAACACTTTTAACCATTTAGCTCTACAGAGGCGGTCTCTTTCTCTAACAGCCTCATATTTTAAATTATTAAAAAACTTGACAAACTGAAAGTTTATTTACACGGTTGCGTGCTGAATAAGTTTGGATAATTTTTATCTGGTTCTAGAGAAAAGGAAACGAAACGTGATGAAGATAAGATAAGTAATCGCAGAGTATAGCTATTTATGTATTTGGAGTATAAAATTATCAGGATTATTAAATTTTCCTAACAATATCATTTAACATAAATACGGTGTGTCTTACGCGAGTAGTGCACATTGAATTAAAACAATTTAACGGTTTAAAACGTCATATATATTAGTTAAAATTACTTTAACTACGGGCCGACGTTTCGGATGCTCTGCAGCAGTCGTTAGTCAAGGGGAGAGGTAAAATAATCTTCAAGTAAGTTTAACAAATATATATCGCGCTTTAAACCGTTAAAGTGTTTTATTGAAATCGTTTAATATGCCTAACTTAAAAGATGTAAGAATCGGGGGATCCCCGAAATTTCAAATTTCGAATTTGGAACTCGCACAGACCGAACACGTCCTCTCTCTAATAAAGGTGAAAATGAAATTACAAGAAATCCGCATAGCTCCGATCGATTGATTTGCCCCAGCTTGAACTACAACAGCTAGGCATGTAAAGCTATCGCTTTTACATAGGGCTAGACCAACGCCACATAATGTGACTGACGCTGTCAAACGCTCGGCTGGATACGGAAGCAATCGGGTCAGCTCGTTTGCGTAATTCTATGAAAAGTACACGTTGACGAGATGTGGTGTCTAGGACTACACATTATGGAGTACTTTAGATAACTACGTCTTTTATCTCCTAAAATTATTTCGCCAAAGATATACCCAAGATGAACATTGGGCTCTGTTATGACAGAAGACGACAGACTAGCCTATCTATCGTTTGGACGCGCTAATCTCAGGAAGTACGGGTTCGAATTGAAAAATTCTTTTTGTGTTGGTTAGAGCATCTATCGAGGAAGATTATATATAGGCTATAACACATTGCGATGTGTCAAATAAGAGCGAAGATACAGCGAGAAATGTGAACAAAACGGGGGAATTTTTTTATCTCTGTAGGTTTCAGATGTGTACGCTGCCAAAACGGTCCAGGATACCTAAAAATTGAGTATGAAAGAATGATTCCCCTTTAAATGATCTAAAAAAAGAGTCCGCGGCCCTATATGTCTATCTTTTAACAGTAACTAGCAAGAACGACGGGAAGGGACGCGATCGACGTTGTGGCTAACAGCTTAAGTTTATAAAGATGACGGGGTTCGCAAAAATTTATTAGGATGCCCAAAATGACGATTCCCGCGGACGAAGTCGCTGGCACTGCTAGTACATCAATAAGGTGCGCTATCGACCTATTTTGATTTTTAAAACATTCAGGATCGATCCCGATTATTTTTGTGCTTGAGGACAGACAAGCAGGGTATCTCAGCCAAATAACCTTTAAACAACATGGGCTGTCCGTGTTTTGGATATTTGGAAATGCGCAGACTGAAACAGAAACGCGATATCGCCTTTTAATCTGTGGATGGTGGTTCGTGATCTGAATAGAATTTCGATATTCCTACCACCCATAGACCCTTTCCAGAAAAACATGTGGGACCCGGTGGGGATCGAAGCCACGTTGCTTATTGCCATATATTATACTCCGTCTAAGATCTGGTTTATAAATGGGTGGTACACGACCGTTGACCGATGGAAAAGCCATCACGTGGTGATGAGCAATGTCGATTTCAATGTTAAAAACTACTGGTTCTAATTGGAAGAATATTTTTGGGTTGGTGAAACCATTTATCGAAGGCTTTAGGTTATATAAACCCAATATGGGACTATACGAAAGCCGATACGAAGAAACAGTGAGAAATGGGGAAAACGGGGTAAATATTCATCTATTAGGTTTTCCGTTGCTCGCGCTGCTTTTCGGTTCGAGATACTCAAACAATAAGTATGAAACAATGATTCCTAAATACTGTCTATAGTTTACGCGAGTAGTACACATTTAAATAAAACACTTTAACGGTTTAAAACGCGATATATTAGTCTCCCCGTGACCACGGCTGCTGCAAAGCATCCGAAACGTCGGGCCGAAGTTAAAAATCATTTTCAAATAAGTTTAACTAATATATCGCGTTTTAAACCGTTAAAGTGTTTTATTTAAACAATGATTCCTCTTCAAATGATCTAAAAAAAATTCCGTCACAATGTGTGTTAAGATGAAGCTGAGGGGGATCGCAAAACAAAAATTTGACGCCCAAAGTAACTATTCTACGCGGACGAAGCCGCTGGGCACAGCTAGTTTAATAAGCATCTAACAGCATGATAATTAGGCGAACAAGCTGAACCATAAATTCTTCATCGCGTAAAGACCGTCTGCCGAGCTGAGGTGCTGTTATGTCACACGGATCAAGAAAATCCGGTTACGGTGGTCAGTCACATCACCGAAAACCGGTAACGCGTTTAATGTTTTGACTGGCTGTATTGAAAAATCGGCATTTTACGATTTCAGAACCCTTCTCTATAGGTATACTAGCTGGGCCAGCGTCTTCGTCCGCGCAGAATCGTTGTTTTTGGCATTACAATTTGTTTTTGCAAACTTAAATAAAACACTTTAACGGTTTAAAACGCGATATATTGGTTAAACTTATTTGGAAATGATTTTTGACTTCGGCCCGACGTTTTGGGTGCTTTGCAGCAGCCGTGGTCACGGGGAGACTAGTTAAAAATCATTTCCAAATAAGTTTAACTAATATATCGCGTTTTAAACCGTTAAAGTGTTTTATTTAAATGAACATTTTTTCCCGTTTTCCACATTTCCCGTATTGTTTCTTCGATCGTATTAGTCGCGGCGGGAGTTTGGGGCCTATAGCCTCCCTCCATATATTTATGAGATGTAGAGTATTCTCTAACCAACACAATTCGATAAATTCAAACAAGTAGTTCCAGAGATTAGCTCGTAACAAACTCTTCAGCTTTATAATATGTGTTATACATAAAGAAATCGAGAAAACCGTAATTTTAAATGATCACAACGGTTTAGAATAAAGTCGCTTCGACTTGTTAATATCCACGCTTTCTTTCCCACAGGAGAGAGCTGGTGGAGACGGTGTCTGGACCCACCACGCTACACAAGAACGGGTTACTGCGCTTTTCAAATGACGTCACTTGCTTCTAACTCTTCACTACAAGAAATTGTATTGGGAATAATCGAAATACCTAACAATTCGCCCCACCCAGAATTCAAACCTCGTGATCTAGAGTGGGATGCACTAACACAAGATCGACAGGAGGTTCATTGCTTATAGCTAAATATTTTGGCCGAACACAACTTTCAAAAAAGTTACGAAGCGGTTGTAAGATTCGACAAGAGCAAATGATTTTTAGGGTTCCGCAGTCAAAGGGAAACAATGATACTCTATTACTAATACTACAGTTAAAACTTTTACAAAGATTGTATTTCCCTTGTTCTTTAATAACAATATATATATATATTAATAATAGCAACTGACAGTCATTTAAATGAAAATTTTAACGGTTTAAAACGCGATATATTAGTTAAACTCATTTGAAAATGATTTTTAACTTCGGCCCGACGTTTCGGATTATAACGCGTTTTAAACCGTTAAAGTGTTTTATTTAAATGTGTATTACTCGCGTAAACTATAGACAGTATTTAACTGACAGTCACTTAAAAAACATACAACTCGGGCAAGACTTGAACCGGCATCCACAGTGTTCTGTGCTATCGCTTTAACCAATTGAGCTACCGTGTCCTACACGTCATCGTCGCATGCAATTCTCACGCAAAGTTTTCTCAACCATAACGTATTAAAGTCCTGCCCGGGTCGTAATTTTTTTCAATTTATTTTCGATTTTTAATTTATCGTGCCACCATATGCTGTATAATCATAATGTTTCGAAAATTGTAAATAAGTTTAACTAATACATTTCGAGTTTTAAACCGTTAATAGTGTTTTATTTAAACGTGTACTAGTCGCGTAAACTGCAGACAAATTGATATGAAATTTTTGTGCCTACGACGGAACCCGTGCGTCGACTCGGACTTGGTCGGTTTTTAATCTAGTGCCATAGACCGGTCCGCTATTGTTAACTTGCCAACTACTAGCAAATAATTGATCGAATTTAGTTTACGTAAGACGTCTTTAAGATTGACGCTGTCAAGTAGAAAGCGAGGGAAAGTCGCTTGACGCTTCAACGACCGCTGTGCGAATCTACTGAGGCAAGTACTATATTGACATATATTTTTTACTAACTGCGCCAGCGACTTCGTCCGCATAGAATCGTTGTTTACATACAAATTTGTTTTTGCCAACCTCCCGTTCAACTTTATAAATTTAAACTGCTATCCGACAACGACATCGGACGAGTCCTGTCACTCGTGACCCGTCGTTCTTGCAAGTTAATCTTCAAAGATAGACATATAGTGTCGCGGACATTTTTTTAGATTATTAAAAAAGGTATCAATCTCTCGTATACATTTTTTTTTTTTGGTATCTGGAACCGTTTTCGCAGCGTACGCATCGGAAACTCACAGAGATGGAACATTTTCCCGTCTTTTTCACATTTCCCGCTTCGCTCCTATTAGCCAAAGTGCGATGGTTTTATAGCCTGTAGCCTGCCTCGATAAACGTTCTAAGTCACACAATTTTTTTTTTTAATTCGAACCGGTAGTTCCTGAGATCAGCCCATTCAAACAAACAAACTCTTTAGCTTTATAATGTTAAGTATAAATATACGTCATCAGTTAGTTTGAGAAGCATCCGAAACGTCGAGTCGTAGTTAAAATAATGTTCAAATAAGTTTAACTAATACATCATTATATGTATATATCGCGTTTTAAACCGTTACAGTTTTAGTTGTTTTTTCTGCTCTAGTTAATATTTTTTTTAATGCTCACAATATTAAAAAAAATACATCGCCTTATAATTCAGTTTACTGTAACTTGCGCAAGCGCAACTTTAGTTTGTAACATTGTACCGTTAAGCCGTGCCGTACTTTGGTAAAATGGTGCATTCACTTAGGCCTGACCTAGAACTATAACCATATCACCTCATGTATGAGAATCTTGATGAAATCGGATGGAGAAAGTAACTTAAGTAATCACTAAGTAACTTAAAATGGTACTTTTAAATTTAAAGATTACTTATTAAACTGGGAAAGCTTTAAACATAACTGCTCTAATGAGATAACGAAAAAAAGATTTAATAGGAACTGTCTGTCGTTTACGCGAGTAGTACACATTAAAATAAAACACTTTAACGGTTTAAAACGAAATATATATTAGTTAAACTTACAGCCACGGTTACGGGGAGGCTGCTGCTGCAAAGCATCCGAAACGTCGGGCCGTAGTTAATAAATAAATAATTTTAACTAATACACATCGGGTTTTAAGCCATTAAAGTGTTTTATTTTGAAAAACATGTCATTCGAATTTACAATTTTTATTGATAATAGTTAAAATAATTTTCAAATAAGCTCAACTAATATATATCGCGTTTTAAACCGTTAGGTTAGATTTACTAAATAAATAATTTTAGCTACCAGGGTTACATAAATGCGTAGTAAGTATTTATTCTTTTACGCGTTCAATCTTAGACAATACGCTGTTGATGTATTGTCATTGACAACCCGGAAGTAGAAGTTGAACGACTAATTTATTTGGTTTCCTGTTTGAGTCGTTTCGCGTTTCACAGCGCTCTGAAAACATGCGAAATTGTTTTTAAGGAAAGAATAATGTTTCTTGAAGATTCAACTCATGAGTTTGTTTGCTTGTTTGAACGAGCTAATCTCAGAAACTACTGGTTCGATTGAATTTTTGTGTTAGTTAGAGTATATATCGGCTATAAAATATCGCGCTGTGACGAATAGGAGCAAAAAAACAGTGGGAAATGTGGAAAAAACGGGGAAAATTCAACGCGATCTCAGTCGCTGACTTTTTTTACTGATTCAGTTAATTTGTCAGTAATAAATAAAGACAATAACTATTTTTTGTACTATGTAATATGTAACGCCATTTTTTATATGATTTTGTCTTTTAAAATAAAACACTTTAAGGGGTAAACGCGATATTTATTGATTAAACTTATTTGAAAATTATTATCAATTAAGTGGGGAGACCACGGCGTCACCCCGTGACCATGGCTGCTGCAAAGCATCCGAAACGTCGGGCCATAGTTAAAATCATTTTCAAATAAGTTTAACTAGTATATATCGCGTCTTAAACCGTTAGTGTTTAATTTAAATGTGTACTACTCGCGTAAAGTACAGACAATATTTGATTTTTAATTATTTTGTTAATTATTAATAGTTATTAATAATAGAATGAAGTTTGGGTTTCCGCACGACCTTGACACTATAAAATCGAATATTCCCAGAAGAATTACTCTGTTATATCACTAGTTAATTTCGAATTCCAAATTCGAAATAAAATTCAAATAGGGAACGCGGCTGATCATCGAGGAGCGAGTAAGAGGTTGTTGATTTAATTCATTAGAGCGAGCGAGACGGCGGCAGCGGCGCAAGAGGGAGAGGACAATATCGGCGTTACCGCGCGCTAGACAGAGACGGCTGCAGTCTGTTGACGTAGTAGTAGATGAGATAAGGAGCTATCAGTTGTGGAGCGTTTACAAAAAGTCGAGTACTCGTCTCATAAGGTTAATTCAAGTTCATTGAGATAACCTATCGGGCTGTAAATCTTAATTATTATACTACTAAACATAGTAGGTATTACATCCTGTTTAACTATCAAACGATAATTAGATTTATTTATAAATTATTGTAATCTTTACTGGTCATTAAATGTATCCATAATTTTATATACAACATAAATTTTATTAAAATGTAAATATGATATAAGAATTATAACAAAAAATACTGTAATTGAGAAAGTTTATTAATGTTCATATCTATGAAGTATGCTAAAGTTAGCAATAAAAAAACTGTTATATTCTTAAAGTGAAAAGACAAATTGTGGTCAAAATATGAACTAAGATATAAAACATTTATAAGGGCGCAGCTGGAACCCACAATCACATCACTGCGAATAGCTGATCTGTCATTTGAGTTACCGTAATTTTTCAAACATTTTACAGGTACACAATTTAAATAAGCACTTTATTTGGATAACAAGCGAAAATGAAAAAAAAATCAAGTTTCTAATAAATACAATGAAATAAAGTAAGTATACTTTCTTACTCATATTATGCAGCGAGTAAAACAATACAAAAGGCAATGATCAACGAATGGAATAGATTAAAAAAAAATCTAATAGATTGAAAATATGAGGACAGACGAAGGAGACACGGAAGCTTAGTAAGTAACGCAAAACTTAAATCACAAATATATCAATACATATTTTTCACATGTTGTTGCACATAATGGCATAATATAAACTTAAATCTATTAAAATTCAAAAGAATTCATAGATGTGTTTTGCTGTCCAAGTATCGGCTGTGTCATATTTTACATAAATAAATATTAAATGACTTAACGCACAGCGTTTAAGGTCGTATATTAGCAAAGTTATAGGTGCTAGTGCAAGTCACTCGGTAGGCAAGTGACTTGCACTAGCACGTATGACTAAATCATTGTAAACAAGGCACCGCGCACACGCTCCCAAGCCACCCCACAAGCACAAAATATTATTTAGTAGCAAGTTAAAGAAGATGCAAGTGAATTTTTAATTATTACTTCATTTATGAAATAAATAAATGAATTTATTGTAATTAGAGCGTACTATAAGACAAGGTAATTCCGAATCATCAATTTTATTTCAAACTAACATGATATTAATGTATTACAGCTGGGAACATTTGTCTCAAAAAAAAGAGAATATCCTAGAGTTACGGTCCATTAGGCCGCTCCAGTGCGAGTTAGTGGCTTAGTGGTAACAACGACTTGCTTTCCCGGGCAATAAGTATTTATATTCATTACATATCAAATACATCATTTTTAATTCACTTTCTGGATCAGCGTACTTGGGGCAGATATATTTCTGTGTCTGTTTTTATAGCCAGTACTCCCCTGACCGAAATTTTTATTAAATTAAGCCACGGTTGCGTTTCATGGATTATATATATCAATCAATTATGCGTTAAACCTAATATGTGGTTTAAATATGGTTGTGGTAAACATGTCGGTATGTCATTGAGTTATTATATTAAAAACTAAATGAATAGATTTAAAAAAAACAAATATTTTAACGGTTTGAAACGTAAAATGTATTAGTTATTTACAACTTTCACGTGGAGGGAGGACAAGGAATATTACACATTCCGAAACGTCG